GTTTTTGGCGTAGCTTACCAATTGATAAAGGTAGTTCTTCTTGTTGCTGTTTAATAATTGCCGTTGCATGGTGTTTTGTTTACTTCAGTTTATTAAAGAATGATATGCTGTCCTACACTCTAATATCGGTTACTGTACTTTAGAGAAAATGCCTTACAACAACGTCATAAACAGTACAAGATGACATATCACAGGGTCTGGATGGGGGTTCCTTCAATCCAGTATTCTTTAATATTTTAAGCCATTTTTCTCTATTCTTATAAATTTATATAAAAATAAGGAGATGTGGTATGATTGCCAATGAGACAACTATCCACCAAAGTTCAAATGAAGTGGATGTAAGCAATTATAGGCAACCGTACTGCCTTCAACAATGAGAAAAATCCATACCGTATAGTCGGCTATTAAAGGCACCGACATGAAAAATATGAAACAATTCAAACGAGAAAACTAACGGTCTAATTTAGCCCAATCTTCTATATTCATTATATTTCAACACACCTTTATTCTCTATTCTTTAATTTTTTAGCCTATTTTTGTCTATTCTTTATTTTTTTAGCCGCCTTTATTCTGCAAGTTTTGCCCATTATTCTCTATTCTGTAAACCCCACCCAGACCCTCATATCTTTGTGCAATGCAATGCAATTCAATGATAAAAATACATAACCTTGTCATACCGTTATTGAATTTTATGAAACTTTGGTGGTAGTTTTTTTCATGATTACAAGATATATATAATAATAAGAAATGTGGTAGGATTGCCAATAAGACAACTCTCCACCAGAAACCAAATAGATGTAACGGAACTGTGAAGAAAGACGGTCTACACTGCAGTGTTAGAGGAAGAATCAAATGTTAACACTGCCGAAGAAGCAGTTAAAGTGATAACACCCAGACAGATTATTACAGAACAAAGTCAATCGCATATTGAAAACGGCTCTTTTTAGAGCCACAAAACCTTCCAAAATCACAGGATGCTAATTTAATCAACATGTTAATTGCATACAAATTCAGTTTTGTCTCACAAAATTGACTTTTGTGTTTTAATTTCCATATCAGGTAACAAAAGTCAATTTATTTTGTATGCAAATAAGTTAATATTTGCATACATATTTGTTTTGTCATGACAAAAATGAATTTTGTCATTACAAAACTGAAGTTCTCATAAAACAAGTCTGTATCACATAGTTTTGTAAGACAAAAATGATTTTGTTATGACAGAATTGAATTTTGTGTACACAAAATTGATTTTGATTACAAAAAGTTCAAGTCCCATTCGGCACCTCGTAAAAATGACCTCTTTTAACATTTGTTTACATGTAATGTAAGAATTCTTGGAAAATAAGGCCAAACGTTGCTTTAAGAGCATTCCTACTTTTTTCACCTTCTAAGCTGACATTATTTCTTAAGAGCACAATTTGGTGAAAATTATACAATCAGAGACATATGATACATATGTATTTTATAGGTATTAGATGTCTCTAATACAATTTAATAGTAGAGATGGTGTTAAATTTTTCCTTTAAATTTACCTTAAATAGTTCAACTTAATTATTTTGGTTGAGTGATTCTTAAGTCTCCCGAGAGTTGGTGAGACTTATATAGTTTTTGTTCCGTTTTTATTCTATTATCATCAATGTCCTCCCTAAAGGAAGTTGGGCGACATATTGTTATCTCTCTTTTTGTATGGTATTCATGTTCTTCTTCTTCAAATTATTTGTATGGTTAATTTCTTAGAGATTATTGGACTGAACCCAATAAAACTTTACAGAAATGTTACCAGTCTTGTGTAGATGTACAACTATTATTTCTAAATTCCCAAATGGTCACCAATACCATGAAAACGCTGGAATAATTTAACAGAGAACTCTATGGGAACACATTAAAGTAGTATTTTCTTATAGAAAATTTTTGTAGAATTAAGGTATATTTTCCAGGAATCAAAAGGGTGAGGTTAACTCTAGAAACAGTGGAAAAATTTGTAAGGCTGTGCTTTAAATTATTTGAACTAAATATTCTTGTATTGACATTGAAATAAATTTTATTCAAATTTCCTGAAAGACTCTCTGACCAAAGAATTTTGAAAAAATTTACATAGCAACTATAAATATTTGGAAAAAATATTTACCTAACTTTTATAAGGAACAATTGGATTTCAATGATGCAATTCCAGTATTGGTAAATTTCCTGAAAGTCTGTGATGATATAGCAACCATATATTTTTGGAAACATTATACACAAACTTGTACATGGAACAATGATGTGATTCCAATATTGACATTTTTCCTAGAAGTTTCTCAGACCAGCAAATTTTGTAGAAAGGTACCTAGCAACAATATGTTTTTGGAAACATATTGATACAAGCTTGTATATGTAGCAATTCTGCTAAATTGAAATGGCAAGAACCAATAATTTTGGAAGTACTGGTAAGTTTATTTGCAGCCCTTTATTTCTGGAAACATATTGACCAAAGCTTTTATATGGATTATTTCTTGCAATTCCAATTTTGGTATATTGCCCGAAAGACCCAAAAGGCCCACAATTTTTCAAGAAAATTACAGAGGAACCATATGTTATGGGAAATATAATGACCAAAGCTTTTCCTTCTTCTACACTTACAGCCAAAATTGGAATCACAATATTTTGAAACCCAGTTACACAGTAGTCAGTCGGAACAATAATAATTGGGATAAGCCTGTAGCAACCACATATTTGGGCAAATGTTGACCTAAACTTTGACATGCAACAATCGAATTGCATAGGATGTGAACAAAATATTGGTAAAGGATTAAAGAGATGTCATAAGTGAGATTTTCAAATTTTTAGCAAAAAAAGGCTATATATAAGAACATTTTGGCTTATATAAGATAAAGCACTAGCACTGCACAAAATAATCTACTGAACTTCCTGTCACTCTATAGCTGTATAATCCATAAAAAGGTTTATTCTGAACCCAAACTACAATGTTTTCTTAAAATACAAAGATTAAATATTTGACTCTGAAATTCAGTGATAGCTTGAAATATATTTGATTTTTTAATTCTTTTTGTCCCTTAACCATACTTTCTCCTTTTCTGAAAGCCTCTTAGACCCACATTTTTTAAAGGATGGTACCTTGCAAGTTGCAACCACTAACCTAAGCTTTAATATGGAACAATTTCTCGAGATTCCAATTTTGGAAAAATTCTTATATGGTTGTTCATTATGTAATATCATTGTAGTAATAAACCCTTGTTTAAGACGCATATTACTGCAATAATGTGATATATGTTACCTATTGGAATTTTTGAAACAAACATTATGTAGAATAAATCGCAATCAAAGAAAATTTCGTAATAACAATACAAATATTTCGGACCCAATTTCTATTTTAAAAAACAACGATAGACACTATCTATTAACCAAGCTCTGTTCTTTGCCTGTTAATAAATTACATCAAATTTTGGAGGAATGCAACACAATTCCATATTGCAGTCCTAAGTATGAAATCGTCCAAATTATAATTGCATATTGTTATTCTAAATTGTTTCCTAAAATTGATCGCCCTGAAGATCACATCAAACATTTTATTAAAATTAAATATGTCAATAAAGGTTTTGATTTTGTAAATATTGCCGGTATTTTTAATGATCCTTCTGTCAAAGAACAAATTCCTGACTATTTTGATAATACTGAACTCCCTCTTATTTGTAATGTTTACAAAAAATCTACCCGGAAATATGTGTTTAATTACAGCGAAGAGTGTAAAGATGTTAATATCAGTGACAATACAACTACCTCATGCAGTAAATCCGAATACATTTATGGCCACATTTCCCATGTTATAACAGGAGACCTTAACATCATTCATGACCGAGAGTTGAAATCATTGCTCAGTAAAAGACCGAAATATCGTCCCCCGTCAATTATTAATTGGAATGAGTGTCGTAACATCATCGACTCTCTCCGACTCACTCCGTACTTACTGCTCTAAATGGATAAAACGAGAAAAGGCTAACAAGAAATCATTAGATTCTTTTTTTAATTCGCTAATGAACATAGTTGATATACGTATTCAACATTTTAAAGATCATTTTACTCCTAACAACAACCATAATAACCCAATTTCCCGTATTAAACATAAGCTTAAAGAACTCGCCAAGGAATATATTTTTGTCCCGGCTGATAAGGCTGCTAACAATATCATTATTGTTTGACGTAAACTTTACATTGATGTTCTACAAAAGGAAATCACCAATTCACCAACATTCCAACTGACTCCATTTCCGGAAATTGACATCTGTAACAAACATAAACTTTTAGCTACCTCTTTACAAGCAGAACCGAATAGATCTACAATGAAAGTTCCAACTATGTACTGGCTTCCGAAGCTGCAAAAAAAAGCTAACCAAACCTTTAAACAGACTTATTCGGAAAGGATATAGTTACGATACTGTTGTCAAGTCATTAAGGATTGCATATTTTGGTATTGATATTGATTCACTCATAGGGTCTTTACATCGGAAATAAACACATTTATTCTAAAACCAGTTGTTGGCATGATACAGGTTATTTTCTTCTCATATATTTAATGATGGTATGATACTAAACCCCTAACAGGAGGGATTGTACTTGTTTTTCATATGATGAAGACATAATCCTTCAATCAGTTTAATTGAGGCCTGGAGCCGGCATGTCAGTAACTGCTAGTAGTCCTTTGTTCATTTATGTATCATTGTCATTTTGCTTAGTTTCTTTTGTTACCTATTCTGACATCGGACTCAGACTTCTTTTAAACTGAGTTTTACTGTGCGTATTGCTATATGTTTCTTTATTCTACATTGGCAAGAGGTATAGGGGAGGGTTGAGATCTCACAAAACATGTTTAACCCCGCCACATTTTTGCGCCTGTCCCAAGTCAGGAGCCTCTGGTCTTTGTTAGTCTTGTATGTTTTTTAATTTTAGTTCATTTATATGTATTGGAGTTTAGTGTGGCGTCCATTTTCACTGAACTATCAAGATAGCACCTGATCCATTTAATAAAAATATAAAATACATCCTTATCACAGTAAGTAAACACAACATTTAGGCAGCTTTATATATATTCATATCAATGTTATAAAATATTGTAAATTTCAGCAATCCTTGAATACATGTTTTAGGCAGCTTTATATATTCATATCAATGTTATAAAATATTGTAAATTTCAGCAATCCTTGAATACATATTTTCTTCTTTCAATAATTAAACAAATGATCACGTGTAGAACTTCTTGCCTGTATAATACTGTAAATCAACTTATTTTTGTGTTTAGCCATATCTATTCAACTTCACAGCTATATATTTTTCAGATTTTCTAATTTTCTTGATGTATATATTTAAGAAAAGATCGAAGGTTAACATATTCATGACGATTTATATTTGTCAAAGTTGCAAAATAATAAATTGCTTGTGAAAATTAGTTGGTTAACAGTATTGTAATGTTGGGGTTGCTGTCTACCTGACCGTTTTCCTATCTCCTCCTTATATCCATAGTTACAAAGTTACATTCAAACTTAATTATATTCATAACAAAATATATTAAAAGACTATAACAACTAAAACATGTGTTGTTAAAAATAGATAATTAAAAACTTAATTAATGTATTTTTAAAAGATCTCTACAATTTCACACTCCTTCAAAAGCACTGGTTATTAGTTAAAGAATTTTGTAACAATATACATTTCTTCTTCAAAATGAGTTAAGTTGGAAAAGCAGTGGCTAAGCAAACTAACAGAAAAAAGTCACACAAGTTGAGACTGAGAACTTGATATCATCCCCGGTTAGTGTTGCTTAGTCTTTAGTTTTCATGTAGTGTTTTATAGGCTTGTTTTTTGCCATGAATTGGTCTGTTTATCTCATTTTTGTCAAGCCTTCGACTTTAGTCGAAAAGGCGAGACATAGCGATCCTACATTCCGTCGGCGTTGTCATCGGCTGCGTCCACAATTATTCACTCTGTGGTTAAAGTTTTTAAAATTTTAATAACTTTCATAAACTATCCTGGATTTCTACCAAACTTGGACAGAAGCTTGTTTATGATCATAAGATAGTATCCAGAAGTAAATTTTGTAAAAATAAAATTCCATTTTTTCCGTATTTTACTTATATATGGACTTAGTTTTTCTGCCGGGAAATATTACATTCACTCTGTGGTTAAAGTTTTTAAAATTTTAATAACTTTCTTAAACTATCCTGGGTTTGTACCAAACTGAGACAGAAGCTTGTTTATGATCATAAGATAGTATCCAGAAGTAAATTTTGTAAAAAAATAAATCCATTTTTTCCTTATTTTACTTTTAAATGGACTTAGATTTTCTGCCAGGAAATAACACATTCACTCTGTGGTTAAAGTTTTTAAAATTTTAATAACTTTCTTATACTATTTTGGATTTGTACCAAACTTGGACAGAAGCTTGTTTATGATCAAAAGCTAGTATCTAGAAGGAAATTTTGTAAAAAAATAAATCCATTTTTTCCGTATTTTACTTTTAAATGGACTTAGATTTTCTGCCAGGAAACAACACATTCACTCTGTGGTTAAAGTTTTTAAAATTGTTATAACTTTCTTATACTATTTTGGATTTGTACCAAACTTGGACTGAAGCTTGTTTATGATCAAATGCTAGTATCTAGAAGGAAATTTTGTTTTCTTCCAGTTAACATTACATTCAGTCTGCAGTTAAAGTTTTTAAACATTTATTAGATTCATAAACTATCCTGGATTTTTACCAAACTTGGACAGAAGCTTCTTACAATCAAAAGATAGTATCAAGAGGAATATTTTTATTGATTTACTTCCTCATTTTTTTTGAGCTTGCGATTAACAGAAAAGGTAGGCGAGACACTGGGTTCCGCGGAACCCTTACAAATTTTATTAGTTTTAATTCACCCTTTGGTATCTCTACTTCTTTTTTTATAACGAATAACAGACGATTGTTTTACTGTGTCTTTTACATACCTATAATATCAGTTTCTAAAATGGGAACAGTTAATGATAATGTTTGGATCTGTGACAACCACTTAACTTCTGCGGTATCATAAAGTGAAGACCTAAAAGCATACTTATTGATAATAAAATGCTATGCTGGGCACAGCTTGATACGACTGCAGAGGTCGAACCATGAACAGTTGGGGCAAGTATGGACACAACATTCAAGCTTGATACAGCACTGAATTTGGATTGTGATTAAATATTTGACACAGCACAGGTTTCTGACACAGAATGAATGTGGTCTAAGAACTTAAAAATTTTCATTTTACCTATTCAAACCATATCATTATTATTTGCTTTTATATATAAATCAGAAATAACCAATTTAAAATGGAAAATTTTAAAAGAAAAAAAAATCCCCCCCCAAATTTTTTGAACCCCCTTATGATTCATCACCCCCAAACTCACTCCCAGCCTTCCCTTTGTGGTATGGTACCTGCAGTACAATTTCAGAGAGATCCATACACTTGAACACAAGTTATTGTCTGGAAACTAGAAACATGCGTTTTTTGGCCCCAAATTCCTAAATGTTTAGGGCAATTACCACCAAACTCAAACCCAGCTTTCCCTTTGTGATATGGAACCTTGTAGTACAATTTCAGAAAGATCCATACACTTACACACAAGTTATTGTCATGAAACTAGAAAAATGCTTGTTTTTTGCCCCTTTTTTGGCCCCTAATTCCTAATATTTTGACGCAATTACCCCCAAAATCAATCCCAGCATTCCCTTCGTGATATGAAACCTTGTGGTACAATGTCAGAGAGATCCATACACTAACACACAAGTTATGTCTGGAAGTTACAAAAATGCTCATTTTTGGCCCCTTTTTGGCCCCTAATTCCTTAACTGTTGGTACAATAACCCCCAAAATCAATCCAAACCTTCCTTTTGTGGTATTGAATATTATGGTAAAATTTCATAGAGATCCATTGACTAAAACTTAAGTTAGAGTGCGAAAACCAATGTGTCTTAGGACGACGACGACGCTGTCATACCAATATACGACCACAAAAATTTTTTGCGGTCGTATAAAAATAACATATTTACTTACTGCATTATTGTTAATGGAATATCAATTTCGTATTTCCCTCAAACTACCAAAATTTCCCAACAAAATACATATTCTTAATTAAGATGATGATATTGGATGGTAATTTAGGATCCAGTGGCAAATTAAATGCATATTAATTTTGAGAACATTTTAATGTGATATGAATATGAGTCCTGCTTTGTACTAAACCAACACTTTGAGCAGGAGTTTGATCAAGCTAGTTCACAATGTAACAGTACACAGGAATACATGTCGCAAAACCTGGACACATTTGTCTGACTCAAGGCCAATATTTAATAGCTCTTACACCTAAATAATGGGTGGTAAGCAGAGAATCAGCAAATACCAATTTTCAAGTGTTTGGTTTGACCTGGCTGTAGATCAAATCCACAACCTCTTACTCTCCAGGCAGGCATACTACCAAGATGCCACAGAGGTGGTTTAAAAAAAAAACTGATACAAAGAAAAGTGTTTTCCCAAGTATAATTTTTCATTTACTTGTGTTACTTGTAATTTGTTTTCTGTAATTTCAAACACTGAAATGTATATGACTGTTTCTCCTTGATGTCAATGACTGTGGATCTATGATGACAACTTGTTTGAAAGTTTTCTGTGACATTTTACATACATTATCTACTCCACAATGTAAGACCTTACACTGACAGTATAATATACTGAGATCTTCATTTACAGAAACAGTACATATTTCTGAATTTTCTACACTTGTAATTTCTCCTCTGAATTCTTCAGTATATTGCCCATTCTTCTCTAAAAATAAAAAGAATAATATTTTACTTTCTGACTGTCATATAAAATAAATATTCTACCACTGTGTCGACTAAAATATAATAATTCTCACTGGAGCCTAATATTCTTTTTTAAAATTGACATGCAAAGATGCAAATGAAACTGCATATTAAATATCAAAGGCATATCTTACAAAACAAAAATCAAACCAATTACACCACAAAACAGACTTTCAGAGGTCCCCATACACTACTGAAACAGTAGTAGCAACTGATAAATTTTTAATCTTTTGACATTCATATGATCATATATTAAGGTTATATTTAACTCTCCCTGATTATCTTCAAGAATGGAATAGCAAGATACAGTTAAAAGACACATAATGGATCTGGTGTCTTTTTCTGAGCATCCCTTCTGGGAATATTGCAAAAATAATTCTTTGGTTTAAAAATACTTTCCCAAGTATCATTCAATATACAGCAGAAACATCTTAACCTTGAAATTTAAAGATTAAATTATCAAAAAATTTAGTGTCGTTACGTGTATTCTTTTAAAAACAAGGGCAGATAATTATACTGAATTTGAAAGGACAACTTGTGTTTTTTTGGACTTTTCAAGAAAATAAGGCATGTGACCCCTATATTTATTTGACATTTCAGAAATATTTATGAAAAGCAATTCTATCATTTAATTTTAACCAATTCTATAGTTAAATGGATTTCGTCAATAAGGAAAAATTGTGTTAACCCATATAAAATAATGGAATATGATATCTGAAGGATCCTAAAAAGTTTGTTGAAACAGAAAGTAAAACAGATCAGTGTAAGCATGAACATGTGTACTTTAATCAGATTGCATTCATCAGAAACTATCAGTGTAATTTACCTGATAACAAAACCCATCTTGATGGAGAATCTTCTGTCAGATGTGATCCCTCAGGTAAAGATATCTCTAAAGTGAACGTAAGGTCACCAATAGATGGCAGCACTAAGCATTTCATATCTTCAATCTGTCCTTTAAGCTTGATTTGCTGTTTCGGTCTTGAGTCAGTCTCATCTTGTGAGAATATAACAGGAAGCTAAAAATTAAATAATTTAATATTGGGCAGATTATTAATGGGAAAATGTGGTTATTAAAATAAATTTAGAAATAAGGGCTGATATTTGACTGAAAATCATAGGTAGAAAAGAGACTGCTTAGGACACAAACAACATTCACTGTATCACTGCGCCGTGAAACAAATTTTGGAGGGAAATTGATTTCAAATTACAATTCATATAGATATAGAGTATGAGGCTAGAACAGTTCAATCGAAATTAAAATAATTTTCAATACGAAATGAAGCAAAACATACTTTTAACAGATCTTGAAACAACCGAAGAATGAAAAAGCAATTAAAAACTTGTGCATTCTTTCAGGAAATCAATTGGTCAACAAAATGGCTGTTACACGATGCCAAAAAGGCAAATACCTTTTAAAAACTAAAGAAATCTATAGTTATATATGTGGTTTTAAACAATAAACAAATGTCTATGGGCACAAGAAAATATGAAAAGGTTAAACTAGTTAATGCCTTAAGATTTATATTTTTGATTTGATGTACTTACATTAGATATAGACTGTGTTTTGAGATCTAGAACTCTGATTTGATGGTTATTTGTATCAGCTATATAAACTTTATCCAGTGATACACAAAGACCACCTGGTTCATTTAGCTGGAACTGTATCACACCATCCCCATCTGTTTCAGGGCCAATAACTGTTGTACAAATAGAAGTCTTCAGATCTACAGATTTTATCTGTAATAGATAAAAAATAGAAAATGTACAAAGACTACTTTTTACATTTTCCAATTAAAGAACCTTTGTGAGCACGCTCACATACCCCACGCCCCCACATTGTCACTGGACAAACAAAGTCTCACCAGATTCCTACGTTCAAAGACTCATAACTCTACAAAAGTCAACTGATATAAATTTTCTTGTGGATATGCACATTTACATATTATGTCCTCATTAACTACAAAGTTTCATAAAGTTCTGTTGTGTGGTTTCAGAGGATTTGCGATGACAAACTGCTGCAGTAGTATATTGAGGCCAATAAGTTCAAAGAGGCATAACTCCTAGAAAAAAATTGAATCATAATTTCCTGTCGAAATGCACATCAACATAGTATGTCCTTATTATCTACAAAGTTTCATGAAATTCTGTTGTGTGGTTTCAGAGGAGTTGCGATGACAGGAATAGGACTGACGGACGGACAGACTGACAGACGGGTGAAAAACATTATACCCTCCGCAACTAAATTGACTCTCCGCAACTTAGTTGACCCTCCGCAACTTAGTTGACCCTCCGCAACTTAGTTGCGTGGGGTATAATAACTAAACATAAAGGTTAAATTGTATTTTATCTACAAATTAAACATCTTACTATCATATGTAAAATAAATGAAAATGAGAATATGTGTCCATAGGACACCATGCCCCACTCACACTATAAAATTTACATGTTCATGAATCCATGAAATATGGGTCAAAACTCTTTTGCATATATTTTATAGTTTTCTTCATAATGAATATGTGTACTAAGTTTCAAATTGATGTGATCACAAACTACCTGTAACCAAAACTTTAACCTGTTACAGGAAGGAGAGTTGCACAGAACAGAACAGAAAACATAATGCCCATTAACTATTGACATGGGGCAGGAAAAACAGCCATCTGTATGAAACAAAAGTATATTGGATAATAAAAACAACTTTGTAAAAGTTCTAGTTATATTTAATGAAAAGGTAAACAGACCAAGATAACATATCCGTACATTGTGTCAACTGTCCTGGAAAACACATCATATTATATTTTAATTTCCTGAAAGCAGATTTTGATTTCAGATTTTATGAATAAAAACATTGCTATTAAAACAAACACTTCCTCTCATGATCTCATGAGAAAAAAATGAAATAGGAAAATATGCTTAATTTTGTAATTATAACTCGGTCTAAGGACTTTGTCAGGATTTCTGAGTATCATACAGTTGTAAAGCTTTTCACATTCATATCTATAAAAAAAAATGTATATTATTCAAATATTCAAATACTATCAGCTGAAAATGATATACAGGTAGATGTCAACCAGGTACAGTAAAACTTGATTATAGGGAACATGCTTATAATAAACTTTTCAATAATCCCTGACAAAATCTATCAAAGATGCATGGCAAAATGTCTGGATATAACGAACTTGCTTACAGCAAAGTTTGTGATATAACAAATCATTTCTTAATCCTTGTAGTCAATATGCACATGTAATGAAGTGTAGTTATTGTGAAGTTTAGATGGCCAAAAGGTAAAATATTTTATTAACAATATGACAAGCCCTTATCCACATAACATCTAATTAGAGGTGGTGGCTTGTTTTTATTGCAATAAAGATATATAAAACTTGATGTTTTACATATTTTATTTAAAACAATCAAGGCAGACTAGATCAAATCGGGTTCACAATGAAGGATTTGGTTAATGTCGACAGTGAAGTTATAGAGACAGATTCCAAGTCAGATGATGCAATCGTTGAAAATATTTTAAACAAGGATTTTGACACTGACGATTCGGAAATAGACAACAAACCAACAGAGGAAATACTAACAAAAAGTGATTGTCTCCTTTTTTCAGAGGTTGGAAATATAATATAATTTGTTTGTATATGTAGTAATACACTTATTGATTAATTGGCCAAACTACCTTGTATAGTTCCTCCTAATTTCCCCCTTACACTGAATTCTTTACATTGTATTACGAAATTCGGTATATCAATATAATGAATTTCATTTATGGCAAAGTTGTACCATTGGTCCCCAGAAATTCATTATAACTAAATTCTACTGTATCATGTATTATGCTATAGAAATATCATTATAATAGATATTATTTATGACACTTTGAGGTTAGAAATTATGATAATGATGGATTGGTGTTTAACATCCAGTGTCAAATACTACATGCATATCAGGCAAGAACATGTTAAAGTGTTATGGATATAGACCCTGCTTTGTACTAAATGCTGAGTAAGATTTTCAATGAGCTAGTTCACAAGTTAACAGTCTGCAAGAATATATGTTACCCTCAACAAACACATTATTCTGATCAGTCTTTGCTCTTACTCCTTAAGCTGTGAGATCTTTTAACAGACCAGAGATCAAACCTATGACCTCTGAGACTGAGGCGATTACTACTAAGAGACCAGCTAAGCAATTTATGAGGTTCCAAATACCTTATGATTATATGAATCAGCAACCAGCAATGGTCCGCTTTCTTCTGTCACTATGGCAACACCTAATGGATGCTGCAGTTTACAGTCATAGCCTTTACCATCTTTGTCTCCATATGCAAATAAATTCTGTAAAAAATAATTGACAAAAATTATAATGCAGAAACCAGTTGTATATGTTTATCCAGTTTGGTAAAGTTTAGCGATATCTAAATAAATACCTTCATATGGACAGAAACCAAAACCTGTTGTATATGTATATCCAGATTGGTTAAGTTTAGCCTTATGTACAGAACTTCATATGGACTTAACACTGACCAATGAACCACGAAAATGAGGTCAGGGTCAATTGTCCATGTCAGACTGACATGTACACCTTACAATCATTTTATACACAAAATATAGTTGACATATTGCTAATGGTATTCGTGAAGCGTACTCAGCTACCAAAACTTAACATTGAAAAATAAACCATGAAAATGAGGTCAAGATCATGAATCCTACAAGATGTACACCTTACAATCATTCCAGATATGAAACTCAAACATCACTAACATAATATTCATACCATTGGATCAAACTCTCCTCCAACCAAAGCTTTGACACCCCCATCTTTCAGCGACACCTTTCTTACAGTAGAACTCTCACTGTCTGCTACAAACATTAAACCAAGTGTTGGTGACAGAGCCAAACCTGATGGCTGAGCAAATCCTGCTTTAGTAGGGTAGCTGTTGTTTCTATTTTCCTCCTGTCCACTGCCAGAAAATCTCAGACAGGTTCCTACAGAGTGGTGACTGTGTTAAAAAGAAGAAATATTCAAATTATAACACAGCTATATCTTATGTATAAAATAATTCTGCTTTTTTACATACAAATAATGATAGTTATCCAAAATGTTCTACCTAATTTATAACTTTATCTTTAATTTTATAGAGATTTATTTGAGAGTTCAAGATGGCTTAAATTAGAAAAAAAATACAAAATTAGCCATATAAGGGGACTAACTACATTAGAGAGTCTATTGATATTTCAGTCATGTTGACCTATTTGTAGATCTTGCTTTGCTTATCATCATCACTTGTCAAAGTTTCTATTATAATTTTCCAGATAATAGCCAAAAAATAAAAAAAATATGCCACAACTCCAATAAGAAGTCTATTAAAGATATCTGACATTTTGTACATCTTGTATTACAGATAATCATTACAGTTTGCTGTTTCTGTCTTAAATCATAGCTTTCAAAATTATAGGCAAAAATACTTAACTTGATAAAAAATCATTAATGTGAAGTTTTGGTCCCTCATTTTTTCTCTATGTATAACATTCTTAAAGATATTAGATGTTTATTTGTATGCAAGCCCCTTTTTCTATTTTTAGCCTTAGCAACCAAATGTTTGTATAATTTGCAAAATGACAACAGTTTGTAAGCTAGACAATATAAGAATGAACTTGGCCAAGCTTTGTCCAGATAGACCTGGTAATTTCAGAGAAGATTTTTTTAAAAATTATCACAACTATTTAGCCAATTGATGGCAACAGCTCACACTTGCCCTGAATGGCATAATTTTAATGTATGGTACAATATATATATAATTATCAATTTAAAAAGCCATCTTTTTTGAAAATTCTGTTATGAATGTGGTTGAACTGAAAGTTAGACTTTATCATAGTTTCCCACTTCCACTATTAAGCTGATGATAACCAGAAAGAATTTGATCATTAATTCCTGTCTGGTACATTTTGGTAAATTCTGAGAAGGAAAAACAATTCTAATAATAGATATACCTTGATTAACTTTCTAAATATGGTTTTCAATTTATGTTGAAAGTGGAGTGAAAATGAATTAAACATTGAAATATACCTCCCACCCAAAAAAAAATGGCCTCATGAATTAATATGTGAATAAAACAAGACAAACCTTCCTTTTAACCAGTCACTATCCTGCAAGAAGTAGACCCAGATCTGATGAGTTCCAGCCAAAGCTATATATAACACATTTTCCTTAACACTTTCTGGAAGAAAAAAGTTTTAGCAGGTTTAATATTAAAACATGAGTGGAACTGAGTTTAAATCAATTGAAATATACATTACTGGATATATATATAAATAAGGAGATGTGGTATGATTGCCAATGAGACAACAAATAAAGTGGATGTAAGCAATTATAGACAACCGTACGGCCTTCAACAATGAGAAAAACCCATTCCGTATAGTCGGCTATAAAAGGGCCCAACATGAAAAATATGTAACAATTGTACTTACCTGGGGATTTTCCTAGAACTACATCCCATGGTGAGGATAACTGTTGATTTGTTCCAAATTTACCACCCTCCTTATCCTGACCTTGAACTCCAGTTCCTGCTAATGTTCTTACTGTTTTAGAGGTCAAATTGATCTAAAAATGATAACCAAAAGTTACTTTTTTGTCTGAGTTGATAAAGCTTTAAATAAAGTGTCCTGTACATGTCTGTAGTTATCATCTATAAGCAAGGAATCCATTTATTGTATTTCCACATCAGGTAAAAACAGCACAGGTAAATGACTTACTGAAGTCAGTTTAATGTCCAGTGACCAATATTTGATGCATATTCTAAATGGAAATCCTACACCAAACTTTGGAGGGAATGGGATGCTTATAAATACAACAGGATATGTGTCATATTCTAATTAAGGCATAAATATTTATTTTTCACAATAAAAAATATTTTTAAGAATCAAATTCCTAATTTTCAAATGAACATACATAGTGTTTTGAGCACTTTTAAGTTAAATTACAGGTAATAAATTATTTTTTCTTTGGTACCAGAATTACATTATTTACAAAATAAATCTGGAAATTTTTTTTCAAAATGTTCCAGGCCGTCCACCCAAACCCCTCAATTCAAATTACCCTCCACTAAGAAGTATAACAATATCAAAGACCACAACAAATGATTTGAAGATCTCAATTTGCTTGTTTGTCAGTTATACTGTTTAGTTTCTCTCTATCAATGACTGTTTTCAAGATAATATTCAAAAACATCAAAATTCCATAAAAGTCATATCAAAGGGTAGTAACTTTTATATGTTGAAGTCATATTGGTATTTTAGTAGATCTTGTGTTGCTGATCACTTTTACATTTACAGATTCTGTTTATCTATTCACTTTTACATTTACAGTTTCTGTTTATCTATTCACTTTTACATTTACAGTTTCTGTTTATCTATTCACTTTTACATTTACAGTTTCTGTTTATCTATTCACTTTTACATTTACAGATTCTGTTTATCTATTCACTTTTACATTTACAGATTCTGTTTATCTATTCACTTTTACATTTACAGTTTCTGTTTATCTATTCACTTTTACATTTACAGTTTCTGTTTATCTATTCACTTTTACATTTACAGATTCTGTTTATCTATTCACTTTTACATTTACAGATTCTGTTTATCTATTCACTTTTACATTTACAGATTCTGTTTATCTATTCACTTTTCAAGAGGATAAACAAAAATGTATAAATTTGTCAAATATCATCATTTAAGGGCATTAACTCATGAAGAAGTCTGATGGTTCGGGTCCAATAGGCATTTTTGTAGATCGTGTATTGCTGCTCCCTTATTGCTGTTTACAGTTTCTGCATATACATTTCTATCTATCATAGTTTTTGAAATAATAGGGGTAAAACATGAAAAGTAGTCGAACATCGTCAATAACTCCTAAGAAGAGTCATCTGATAACTTTTGAGAAAATTTAATTAGGTAGACCTTGTCATTCTAAGCATTTTTATCATTTGTTGCATGTCTGTGCATTTTTAGAAAATAACCTGCTTCTTTTTAATGCTGAAACAATGTTCTATTGAAATAATATAAGACCAGTCTACTACATTCACATTTTCTCTTTGTTTCCTAATAAACAATACTTTAAGCCTTTAAATTTGCATCAAAACAAACAATTTATTCCCAATGGTGAAGGTGAGTATATATGGAATACAAGGCTACTTGACCAATCTATGAATAAGTTGCCCACTAGCTTGAGACTTGTTAGTTCGTACATAACGACAAAATATATAAAACAAACCTCTCTAATTATGTGATTATCTGTGTCAGCTACATAAACAATATCTCCATTGATGGCTACACCTTGTGGAGAGTTAAATCTGGCCTCTGTAAAACTACCACCTACATTACCTCTATCTGTTCCCCCAATACAGTGCTGCAGATAAAAATACACATGATGAAGGCATTAAAATTGCTACAGATGCAGATATGTAGGAGGTGCACTAATAAGGGGTCCTATTTGACCCTAAAATTTAAAGTATTGCAAATTCAAGAGATTTTTGTGTTTAAATAATTTGACAGTTATGTGATAAATTTAAACTGTTAGGTTATCCAAATATCAGGAACATTCACTGAGATTATCAGTCAGGACTTAAATTGACAAAAAGCATAATTAAGACACATATTTGTGAGTGGAAAATGAAAAAGTTCATACTACTTTTACCAAATAAATATTTACATAAGAGGAAAATGTATAGTTCATATAGACAAACACCAAGGGGTAAATCATATACATTGTTGTTGTAGTCGGCACTTGTATCCACCAATCATTTAATAGTTGACCAAATCTATGTACTATTTTTGATCTAAATGTTTAGAAGTAGCTTTTTATAGTATATAACTGCATTTAGTTTTTACAAGAGATTCTGGAGCCTGCATATAAACTACTAGTTTTGTAGTGTTCTGTTACCTCAATTTAAAAAAATACTATAATAGTAGTCAGTGGCTGGCCATTAGCAGTTAACTATGGGAGTCCACACAGTTTCCCACTGTATTGTCTTTTTTGTGATCTTGTAATATTTTGTAAGATGAAATATATATATATATATATATATATATACCTGTACAACACCTAATGGTGACAAAATTAAAATTCTATGGTGGCCTGTATCTGACACTACCAAAATTTTACCATCATTTGAAGTGGTTACTTTCCCAGGAAACTGAAGAGGAGTCTCATTTATTTTTTCTTTCTCCAAAGATAATTTCAAATCACAAGGATTTATCTTGTCTTTAAAATATGCCAATGATTCATCTATAAACTCCAGTAAATTTTCTCTGTGGCCTTCTCCAACAAATGTTTGAAGGAACTGGCCGTCAGGTCCAACTACAACAAACGTTGGCCAGCATTGGATCTGAAGTTTGTTCCAAAGCACTGCATCATGGTCATTTACAACCGGATGGTGAATGTTGTATCGTAGTATGGCACTCAGAATGTTGGCAGACACTTTTTCATTTTCAAATTTGGCAGAATGAACACCAATGATAACTACCCCATCATTCAGCGAATATTTTTGTTCTACCTTCTCCAAATCTGGTAGAACATGAACACAATTTATACAGCAGTAGGTAAAGAAGTCCAAAATTACAATATTTCCTTTTAAATTATTATACAGTGACAAGGACGATGCAATATTTAGCCACTGTAAATCTGGAAATAAAACAAAGAAATTTCAGGACGCACAATGTATGATCATTTCTCTAATTTCTTTTGCAATTTAACTCTTCCTGGACTCAAAAATTTAATCAATGCGTGGTTGCCTATGATCTCAGTAGATGATTGGCTAAACTTGGTGAATCAAAATGTGCTAACAGATGTTAGAAAAATTGGCTACTTTATAAAACATTTTATTTCCTTAAATGCAATGTTTTTGATCAGAAGTGGTCTTTATTAACGTTTGCTACCATTTGATCCAGAGATGCATAAATTAGGTGCATCAATTTCTTAGAGTATGAAGTAGAAATCAGGAATGTGAAAGGCACTCAAAAGGGGAATTTGTTTTTCAAAAATGAAAAATTATTTGATAAACATCAGTGAAACAGATTCTTACATAGTTACTCCTGGATTATCAGATTTATCCAATCTTGATAGCTAAATTGTTGAATTTTAAAATATGAGCCTCAGATAAATCCGATCATTGACGATAATCCACTGGTACCAATGAAAGAATCTATATGATTCATTCTAAAGAGATAAACTAATATATGAAAATTGAAAATTTGTTGATGGAATCACTTTACATGTTGTATTTACTCCTGTTGAATAAAGATTTGTTGTATATGGTATATTACCACAGTGTAACCTACCACAGCTAAATATAGAAGGGTTCAAATGCCTTTTTAACAATAAGGAGATTTGTTATATACAAAGAAAGGTGTATGAAGATAAAAAGGAAAAGATAATTAAATTTGAATGAAAGCACTGGAGAATGAACAATTATTTGTAGGTGACAGATTAATTGATTGAATGTTGTTGTTTAACACAATTTTTAGCACTATTGTGAATTAGCTATATCATGGTGGTCAGTTTTTATAGGTGGAGAAAGCTGCAGCGAACCACCAACCTTCTGCAGGAAACCTGACAATCCTAGTTAAATAAGATTGGATTTGAACGCACCTGCCACATGCAAAGTTCAAGCTCATAACCTCAGAGTTGACAGGGAAGTGATACAGTAATTGACAGATGATTCATGCATGTTATAAGCATCAATCAATTTTTGTGGGTTCAAAAAGAGTTCTAACTACTGGTAATTAGTGATTATTTTTATTCTTTGAAAAAAAGACTAGTAGACTAAATCTTTTTAAACATGTTTAAAGATATTTTTTTTCGTTTATAGGGAAAGCACATTCCAAGTCTTCGAAGACAAGACCCTGATTAGACCATACTTATTTACATAATGTTTTTTTTTAAACTAATATTAACAAAAATATTTAGATTTAATTAAAGAAGAGTTTAGAAACCAATATTTGTACAATCCAAGGAATCATAGATTGAAGTGTCCAAATAGCACGATCATTGGTCTAAGATAAACGAACAAAAAGTTTGCATCAAATGTGAGATACATGATTATAGTGATATTTAAGCTTAGGATCTGTTTTTGTAATTCAATGCAATGTGAAACCTGGATAAATATATCTACCTTTCTCAAATTCTGGCACCTGATATTTCAATTTAGTATCTATTGTTTGTATGTGTTTTCTTATTCTTTCCTTTCTTTGGTTATCTCCCCTGCTTAGATTTGACAGATCTTCATCAAGTTCAGAACACAATGTCAATAATTCCATCAAATCAGCCATGTTTATGCTGTAAAAATCATATAACAAAACATAACAGACAATTATATCTAAAACTTTTATAATGTATCATCATCTAAGAAGAATTTGCTTTTACCCAAAGTTTCACCAACAAGACACAGTACTAAGTTTATCTTATGGGAATTTCCGACATATTGACTGTCTGTTGAAAAAGTCATATCATGGGACATTTTAAAATCTTTCTCACAGGTTAATTATGTAAATGGAATAATTTTAACAGGTTCCACTTTAAAATATTCAATGGCTTTTCTATCTTGACCACTTCGTCATGTTGTAAATGTCATTTGAAAGTATGGAAAGGTAACATTACCCATATGTCGTCAGTCATTTGTTTTCATTTCCAATGTAGTTTTCTAATGAAAGTACAAATGTAACTGTTTGATTCTTGACATTTTATGGACTATGTCATTAGATCTCAGTATGAACTGTTTTGTTTTTTTTACATTTATAAGATATATAAAAATGTAAAGAAGGTGGGGTCAAAGAGACCAGTGAGGCACAGATGGGATGTGTCCCCCAAAAAAAAATTCTGGCACAAATGATATCCAAAAATTTTATGGAAATAGTAAGCATTGCCCTCCTTTTGCCCTGGATGTGCATGGAGACAGAAACCTCATGACATAATTAACAAAAAGACATTAACATCAACAAAGAAGTCTCCAACAACAGACAAGTATTTACAATAATGTCAAGCTCTAAATCATCCAAAGTCTCCAACAACAGACAAGTATTTACAATAATGTCAAGCTCTAAATCATCCAAAGTCTCCAACAACATACAAGTATTTACAATAATGTCAAGCTCTAAATCATCCAAAGTCTCCAACAACAGACAAGTATTTACAATAATGTCAAGCTCTAAATCATCCAAAGTCTCCAACAACAGACAAGTATTTACAATAATGTCAAGCTCTTAATCATCCGAAGTCTTCAACAACAGACAAGTATTTACAATAATGTCAAGCTCTAAATCATCCGAAGTCTTCAACAACAGACAAATATTTACAATAATGTCAAGCTCTAAATCATCCAAAGTCTCCAACAACAGACAAGTATTTACAATAATGTCAAGCTCTAAATCATCCAAAGTCTCCAACAACATACAAGTATTTACAATAATGTCAAGCTCTAAATCATCCAAAGTCTCCAACAACAGACAAGTATTTACAATAATGTCAAGCTCTAAATCATCCAAAGTCTCCAACAACAGACAAGTATTTACAATAATGTCAAGCTCTTAATCATCCGAAGTCTTCAACAACAGACAAGTATTTACAATAATGTCAAGCTCTAAATCATCCGAAGTCTTCAACAACAGACAAATATTTACAATAATGTCAAGCTCTTAATTATCTGAAGTCTTCAACAACAAACAAGTATTTACAATAATGTCAAGCTCTTAATCATCCGAAGTCTTCAACAAACAGACAAGTATTTACAATAATGTCATGCTCTAAATCGTCCAAAGTCTTCAACAACAGACAAGTATTTTCTATATTGTCAAGCTCTTAATCATCTGAAGTCTTTTAAAGAAAGATGTGGATAACATAAACAGAAACTTTCTCAAATTCTAACCCCCTCCCCTCCCAACCAAATTTTCTTATTTAAATACACAAACTCTCTCTTTGTTTTCATTATATTTCAGTGTGTAGGCATTTTGTGTTTTATATTTTACTTTCTCAGTTGATTTATTGAGAAGTCTAGATCTTTGGTCACAATTTTTGACAATATGGCCAACATAGATTAGGTTTGAAATGTTAAAGAGTTTGGAGGGAAAAAATGGATTTTTACTTCTTTGTAACACATAACATGCTTAATACATTTCAAGATTATTTAATGAAAATTGTTTAAAAATTTCTTACAGACTTCTACAGACTGTTCAGTATGACCAGATATTCATTCAGTAAAACTGAAAATTTTTTGTTTGTTTCAGCATATAACCATCCTTTAATATTGTCTCTTTATGTCACAACTATACAAGTCTCAGATGTAGCCAGCCAAGTGTGATGACTGATTTTGCCCAACAAAATCCAGGAAATAATGGTGCACAAAATTGAAATTTTCATACACAAAAAAATAAGGGAGACTTCTACATAAGGAATGTCTGTATCAAGCCAGGAATATGACAGTTGTTTTTCATTGGTTTGATGTGTTTTGAGCTTTTAACTTTGTAAGGGACTTTCCGTTTTCCTTTGATTTTGGTAATTTTGTTATTTTAAAAAGGTAAAGAAATATTTTGTCAGAAAAATTCCAACTTCCAGAATATCAAATGTTTGTCCCCTAGTAATCCCTTTTGGGATTCTGTGTCTGGAGCGGTTTTTGATTTGGCCAAATCAGAAAATCCCTCACGACTCAGAATTCCAAAAGGGATACATTTGTACGTCCCCTAGCCAGGAACATATATATAGATATTAGACATGTTAGATATACTGTTGTTCCCAGTCCTAGCTAAAGCTCTGACACCAGACAGCACCTGTTTCACATCATTAGTCAATTATTCAAGGGAAATAGGAATATACATATCGGACCAAGATAATTGTAAAACTTCCTACTCCTGGTGAATTTTTGAAGATCAATTCATTATGCCATTTATGGATCTAATTGACCCTCCCCCTTTTCATTGAAGGTTTCGTTACGTTGATTTTCCTATAAATTGTCGTATTCACATATAAATTAGGACTAAAAAACGTATCCAAATGCAGCAAATTAAAGTCGTTTTTGATTCTATGACCCAATGGCAATGCAGTGTTTTTTCTCTCTCAATTTTTTGTTTCCCGGAAATACAAAAAGTAACTTATAAACCAACAACGGAACGGAACTGGGCTAATTACGTAATAATCGATACGTTCTGACCGTCAAACATGTTACATTCTCCAATTTTCATGATGATTTACCATTGTGTGGGAAGGTTTAATCAAAGTGCTGGATAGCAACAGTGGAAAGTTTGCAACGGTAGTGTGTAATATTTCAAAAAGGTTGTAAATGTGTAGATTGGGTGTTTAACTTTTTTTCCAACTTTAAAAAAAAAATTACTTAATACAAGAAATAATTGTAACATGATGCTGTTACGAAGTCTCCAAAACAAAGCTCCCATAATTAGTCATTCTCAGGAAGGGGGTGGGAGTGACCCCAGGGGATTCGCCTTTTATTTCATTTGATTTGTTTTATTGTGACATACAAGAACATGTATGGTTTCAGGGTGGGGATCTTGACCGTTTAAAAATTCTCAAAACAAGATGGAGTGGGGGTGACACCCAGGGACTCCCCCTATTTTTTATTTGAATTGTTTTATTGTCCCACACAAGAATATATATGGTTTAGGGGTGGGGATCTCGACCGTTTACAAGTTTTCAAAAAGAAGGGGGTGGGGTGACCCGGCCCGTGGACTTCCTCTATATTTCATTTGATTTGTTTTATTGTCCCATACAAGAATATATATGGTTTATGGGTGGTGATCTCGACTGTTTACAAGTTCTTAAACAGGAAGGGGGTGCAGGTGACCCCAGGGGACTCACCTTTTATTTCATTTGATTTGTTTTATTGTCCCGTACAAGAATATATATGGTTTCGGGGTGGAGATCTTGACCTTTTACAAGTTCTCAAAACAGGATGGGGTGGGAGTGACACCCAGGGACTCCCCCAATTTATTTCATTTGACTTGTTTTATTGTCCAATACAAGAATATATCTGGTTTAGGGGTGGGGATCTCGACCGTTTACAAGTTTTCAAAAAGAAGGGGGGTGGGGTGACCCCTGTGGACTTCCTCTATATTTCATTTGATTTGTTTTATTGTCCCATACAATGATATATATGGTTTAGGGGTGGGGATCTCAACCGTTTACAAGTTTTCAAAAAGAAGGGGGTGGAGTGACCCCTGTGGACTTCCTCTATATTTCATTTGATTTGTTTTATTGTCCCATACAAGAATATATATGGTTTATGGGTGGTGATCTCGACTGTTTACAAGTTCTTAAGCAGGAAGGGGGTGGGAGTGTCCCCAGGGGACTCACCTTTTATTTCATTTGATTTGTTTTATTGTCCCGTACAAGAATATATATGGTTTCTGGGTGGGGATCATGACCATTTACAAGTTCTCAAAACAGGATGGGGTGGGGTGACACCCAGGGACTCCCCCTATATTTCATTTGACTTGTTTTATTGTCCCATACAATAATATATAGGGTTTAGGGGTGGGGATCTCAACCGTTTACAAGTTTTCAAACAGGAGGGGGCTGATCCAGAGGGACTCCCGCTATATTTCATTTGATTTGTTTTATGATCCTGGGATCATTTCTGAAAATACCGTGTGTCTATCACTTACTGTTTTCACGTTATAGTCATTTGAAAATTAAAAAATAAATAAATCCCATAGGGTTCTATTGTAAATCCCTCCCTTCTGTTGGCCACTCAAAATACCCCTAAATAGACCTCAAGAAGAAAAATAATAAGAACTGAGCAAATAGTATAAATACGAATTTTGTTATAGTCCGATTTTCTGATGCCGATTATGTAATAGGCCGAGTTTATTATAGTCCGAGTTTGATGTGGGCCGAGATTAGATACTTTCGATACACTCGGGCTTTTACGTCTTTAATAAACATTGTAAAAATCGTAGTAAGCGTCGAAAAATGTTCATTCATGGAATATTTTAAACACGGTATTTATTTTTTTTCTTCAACCGGAGAAAGGGAGGAAACCCCTGAAACCGGGATTATAGTACTCCCGTTGATATGGATCTCACGCATGTCTGGGGAATACCGATAAAAGCATAATGTCTAAGAGAACTTGACCAAAAGTTATAGTGCGGCTTCATCAGACTTCTTTTTATACTATTAAACTTATTTTTTATTTAAACTATTTTTATATGAAGTTTTTATGTCATATTAATTTGTGTAATATCATTTTTTGTATGTCGAAACTATAAGCCGTTTACATGAAGGGACCCCATTGGAAACAAGCTCTAGAGCTTTCATGGGTTATCCCTGATAAAATATCAGCAAATTTTTTCCATGCACTTAAGGATACTACACTCATAAAATGCCATTATATTTTACAAAGCATGTGTTAGTTTTGTCTTTATGTATCATATATACTTGAGTATTGTATTAACTCATATGCTTGATATTTTATTGAATAAAATATTATTATTATTATTAACGTAGAATCTGCTGTCTCGTGTAGATGTGTATTGATTTTACTTTCCGCACAGCGCAGATCCGCGAAGTAGTGTTTGTGATAGCCATTTTCAAAATGAAGTTGAATTATCGATGAACATTAAGTACATTTTAATTCAAACTGTAAGCTAATCAAAATAGAAGTAACTCAAAATTTCAAAAGCATCTTCCTAGAATTAGTTGTCAAACACCAGTACTACATTATCTAGGAGTAGAACACACATCCTAAAGTAAGATAGTCTGTCACTTCCGGTTTGATGCCGATGCCTTAGGAAAGTTTTTGCTATAGCAAGCTATATCAAACTTTCCAAAAACAGGACATGCAAAACATGGACATTTTCACCTGTAACTTCAAAAGTTATAATTGCCACTGGACGTTAAGCAACCAACAATCAATCAATCAATCAAAAGTTATAAACCGTTTACATATTGTCCAAATTTTTACAGTCTAGTCAGCGGCGGATCAAGATATTTTCACAAGGGGGCCCACTGACTGCCATAAGAGGGGACCCGCTCCAGTCATGCTTCAGTGGTCCTTTAATACTCAACCAAATTTTTCCATCAAAAAAAGGTGGCCCCCCCCCCCATAAATCCGCCTCTGATAGTAAGGCATAATACTAACTTACATCATCTAAAGTTTTTGAAAATTAAGAATTGACAAGATAAAAAAAATTTGCCAGGCCTTGCGGTCATAAAACTTTCGAGCACGATTATTGTACTCAGACTCAGAAATCAACCAATCAAAATACTGGATTTGGTGTTTCGAGCACAAATTTGGTACTCCGAGTACTGAGTAAAGTTTTATGACCAAGGGGCCAGGACAATTAAATTTTAAGAAAACAAAAATGTATGAAATTTCTGAGGAAAGTTTACTTATAATTGAAATAATTTCCGCAAAACAACTTTTTGGCAAATTATTTTTGTATGATTGCAAAGTCTAGGAAATAACCATTCCAAAATCCACAATACGATATTGTTTTCGTCATTTACAAGTAAAATGTTGTACCAGGAGTACCGTATTTGGTTATTATCCGAAATATGTAGTTGGTACCAGGGGTGCGGATTATAAATAACTGAGAACGGTTTTCGATTTGTTTAAAAAAAAAATTCTTTATTGAACTTATAATATTTGAGACTTTTTTTTCAATTCTTTTATTTTTATTTTGTTTATAACTTTTTTCTTCATAATTGACTATCCTCATAGTAAAGGTGTTCAATATCATAATCTCAGGCTCCCAATCAACATGATCAATGAAAAGAAAATATAGTATTAAAGAGTTTTAAAATTTCAATTACTGCTAATTAATTTAGATAAATGTTTGATCTCTATTTTCTATTGTTCCATAATATTCCAATTATTTCTTTTATATTATTTGAACAGTACATCAGCTTGGATAAGCTTAAGCAAATGTTGATTTTAAAAGGGATCTAACAAGGTGAGAAACCCACAAAAATTAAAGACTTTAAATTAATCCCATTGAAATTGGTTAAAAGATTTGTATTTATTGTCAATTGAAGATTTCTTGCTATTGTGCAATACTGTGTAATTTAAGATTTCTTGCTATTGTTCAATACTGTGCTATTGTGCAATACTGTGTTGTTGCGCAATACTGTGCTATTGCGCAATACTGGCCAATTGAAGATTTCTTGCTATTGCGCAATATTGTATAATTGAAGATTTCTTGCTATTGCACAATACTGTGCTATTGTGCAATAATGTGCTATTGTGCAATACTGTGCAATTGAAGATTTCTTGCTATGGCACAATACTGTGCAATTGAAGATTTCTTGCTGTTGCCCAATACAGTGCAATTGAAGATTTCTTGCTATTGCGCAATACTGTGCTATTGTGCAATAATGTGCTATTGCGCAATAATGTGCTATTGCGCATAACTGTGCAATTGAAGATTTCTTACTATTGCGCAATACTGTGTAATTGAAGATTTCTTGCTATTGCGCAATACTGTGCAATCATTTAAAATTTCAAAAATTTTGAAGAAAAAAATTATGAACCCCCCAAAAAAATTGGAAAAAAAAATCCCCCCAAATTTTTTGAACCCCTCCCCCTTGGAGTAATTACTCCAAATTAATCCCAGCCTTCCCTTTGTGGTATGGAACCTTGTAGTACAATTTTAGAGAGATCCATACACTTAAACACTAGTGACTGTCTAGAAACTAGAAAAATGCTTGTTTTTGGCCCTTTTTTTGCCCCTAATTCCTGAACCGTTGGGGCAATTACCCCCAAACTCAATCCCAGCCTTCCCTTTGTGATATGGAACCTTGTGGTACAATTTCTGAAAGATCTATGCACTAACACTTATGTTATTTTCCGGAAACTTCAAAAATGCTTGTTTTTGGCCCCTAATTCCTAAACTGTTGGTACCACAACCCCCAAAATCAATCCCAACCTTCCTTTTGTGGTATTGAACCTTCTAGTAAAATTTCTTAGAGATCCATTCACTTAAGGGAGCTACCATTTGATTTTTATGGGGGGGGGCTACGATGAAAAATTTTGTCCTGCATTTTTTTTAAGTTGCAATCTCTGTCCTGCCTTTTTCATCCTAGCCCCCTCCCCCATAAAAATCAAATGGTAGCTCCCTAAACTAAAGTTATTGTCTGGAAACCAAATGTATCTTCGGACGACACCATAGTATTATACCACGCGTATAAAAAATGAAAATTGAGCAATAAACCGTGAAAATGAGGTCAAGGTCAAATAAAACATGCCAGACTGACATGTAAATTTTTAAAATACTTCCATACACCAAATAAAGCTGACCTATTGCATACAGAATTAGAAAAACAGACCAAAACACAAAAACTTTACTTGAACCACTGAACCATGAAAATGAGGTCAAGGTGAGATGACACCTGCCAGTTGAACATGTACACCTTACAATCATTCCATACACCAAATATAGTAGACCTATTGCTTATAGTATCTGAGATATTGACTTGACCAAGAAAACTTAATCTTGTTCACCGATCCATGAAATGAGGTCGAGGTCAAGCAAAAACTGTCTGACAGGCATGAGGACTGTGCAAGGTAAGCAATTACCAAATAAAGTTATCCTATTACTCATAATTAGAGAGAAAATAAACAATACAAAAAATCTGAACTTTTTTTTCAAGTAGTCACTGAACCATGAAAATGAGGTCAAGGAAAAAGGACATATGACAGACTGAAACTTTATAACATAAGGCATCTATATACAAAGTATGAAGCATCCAGGTCTTCTACCTTCTGAAATATTAAACTTTTAAGTAGTTAGTTAACGCCGCCATTGCCGCAGAATCACTATTCCTATGCCGAGCTTTCTGCGACAGAAGTTGCATGCTCGACAATAAAAATCTACTCTAACATTGTTAGGTTGATTTTCTAGGCACTTTATATTTATATATATATGTATATTTAAGTCAAAACATTTGTGCAACAGTAGATTCTTTTATAATTTTTTCCTTATCTGCGCAGTATTGCCTATTCTAGATGATACAGTACATATATAATATTCATAGATATTTTAATTTGTTTATGTACTTGTTCCAAATATGATCTCTATGTTTCATCTCATAATAACTTGGGAATGTTACCAGTATAAAAACACAAGGTACCGGTGAAAAATGAATTCTGAGGCAGACCAAAAATAAAGGAAAATATGCCGCACAGCCGTTTTTTTTTACCTTTGAATAAAAAAGTAGCGCATATCAACTTTCCATTCTAGGATATAATTTTTTTACGAAACTTCATAGTAAAAGTTGCACAGCTTTAGCCGCAAAGGGAGTTCCTATGGGAAATTGAATTGTCTATATTTACAGAAGTGCAACCTATATATATATATTGTCTCTAATGAAATACCACCAGTTAAAAAAAGATAAATTGCTTCGCAAAGAGCAGCTGGATACGACCGCAGAGGTCCAACTATGAACAGTTGGGGCAAAAATGGACACAATATTCGCGCTTGATACAGGTCTGAATTTGGATTGTAATTCAATATTTGACACATAACAGGTTTCTGACAAAGAATAACTGTAGTCAAAGAACTTAGAATTGGTTATATGATTTTAATTCATATTCAATTTTTTGCTTTTGTGCAATACACTATGCTGTTGCAAATTGACCTCCCTCCCCCCTTTAAAAAAAAAAAAAAAAAAATTGAAGGATTTTCTTTTTGATTTCTGAAATCTTGAGGAGAAAAAAATTGTCCCCCCCCCCTCTTTTTCCAAAAAAAAAAATTCTTTCCTCAGTCATGGTCATAATTTCCATGGAGTATGCAACCATAATAACCCATTTAAATACATCATAAAAGTCTTAAAATAGAAAATGACTTACATAATCATAGCTAAAATTAATTTACCTTAATCAGCATTTTTAAGATTATTATAATTAAAATAGTAACTTCTAAAAATGAATTGACAGCTAATCACCTCAAGACAATACAAAAGTTCTTTATACATAATTTAAAAGCAGTGTAAGGGAGGTAATTCAAAGTAGTTTTTGAATTACCTCCCTTACACTGTAATTTGTACTTAAGTTATTGTCCATTAACCAGGACACCCTTGTTTTTTCTTACTTTTTTGCCCCTAATTCCTAAACCGTTAGAGCCATAACCCCCCAAAGCCAATCCTAACCATCCCTTTGTGGTATGGAAACTTGTGGTCTAATTTCAGAGAGATCCATACACTGTTCCACAAGTCATTATCATGAAACTAGAAAAATGCTTATTTGGGCCCCTTTTTGGCCCCTAATTCCTACTTTGGGACCATAACCCCCAAAATTGATCCCAATCTTCCTTTTGTGGTTATAAACCTTATGTTTAAATTTCAATGAGGTCCATTCACTTAAACTAAAGTTATTGTGCGAAAACCAATGTGTCTTAGGACGACGACGCCAACGTCATACCAATATACGACCTTTGTGGTCGTATAAAAAGCTAGAATTTTGTCCTATCTGCAGAGACAGTCCATCTTAGAATGCCAAACATAGAGATGTTAGTCCATCAGCAGCAATAACTATTTGTACAAAGCTTTATATTTTCATATCTTGTAAACAGATGCCTAATGTTACAATTTAAGCTGTATCATATTATGAATGTGAAATATAAAAAAAAATCTCAATTGCAACATGATTAAAAAAGATTTTATTCAACTCACATATTGGATGGTTTCAGATATTCCATGCATTAATTACTGAATTTTCAGCAGTTTTCAGTGAGGGACTACCAACTGTAAAATTATTGAACTTTTCATCTCAGTTCAATCCTGGTTTTTAGTGGGTTTTGCAATATTAGTTTTCTGTGCAATGCTTTGTGAGCCTTTGTTTTCTTTTGAACATGGTGTTGTCAAACTTTTTATTTTGATTTGTTTATGCCCTCATACTATCTTCTATTATTTTTATATCACAGGTTACCAAATTTTCTTTTAGGTTTAACATCTATAATGATAAAAAAACTAGAACTGTGAGTGAACTCGTAAAAGGATACTTTTACCCTGCCTTGCAATACTATGAGAATATAAAAGAAAGTAATTTTTGATTATCTCCCCTGTAACACATGGAACCAGGATATATTGCTTTAAACACATCCTCAATTAGTGTTCTACAATTATGTAAAGTGTTATCAAAATCCATCTAGCTGTTTAGGAGGAGTTGTGCTTACAAGGCATACAGGTAGTCCATCACAGACATATTGAAAGCTGTAATTAGATTTATCTCCCCCTTAACATTTTGGGCTGGGTTCCTCAGGTAGACCCTACAACTGTGTAAAATATCATTATCAGTCTAGCCTTTTAACAAAGTTGCACAAAGGCCCAAAGAAAGGGTGATTCCTATACCCTCTTTTATTTTGAGTGGTATATTAAAAAAAAAAATGTTTGCTGTTGATTCCAAGGTACCTGTACTTTTTTTCTTAAAACTGATCAACAAAAATGTTATTAAAAATTACAACCATATATATATATATATATTATGTAAATGAAATATTATCTAAAGTGCCTTTGCTGACATGACAATCACCAATCAATCATAAAGTGTCATTTACTCCAAGTATTCCTTCATTTTCAGAAAACCCTTACAGTATCATCCCCCTCTCCCCCCTAAATATGGTATTGGAATTGTTGTCAATACATCTCATGTCAAAAGTTAAGAAGAAATTTAATACATTGTACAACAAATATTGATGATGCACATTAATAAAACAACACATGACATTTTATTAATAAATAACAATAACAATTGCAACAATCTATAATTGTTCACATTCCCGATATTTCTTAATCCTTTTCCATTCCCCAGTTTGATAGTTCATTTGGAAAAACACATCAGCCAACATAGGTTTACTTGTATTATCTGCCTGTAGTACCATCTCCTTTGTTTCACTAAGTCGTATACTTAAAATATGACCTTGTTGAGGACATGGGTTATCTACAAAAAAAAAAATACCACATTGTTCTTGCTGATGGCTTAGGACATTAAGGAAAGAAATAAAAATGTATTACTAAATTTGTGCTGAATTAGGGCTAGAGTTTTCTAGCAAAACAAAAATAAAAACACACTGATTTTTCTTTAAGTTACACTATCCAAAACCTATAACAATGAATGCACAAAAAGAAATGCATCTTCAAATTTCTGAACGTATAAAATGTGGTTTAATAGGCACAATTCAAAGGTTGAACTATTGTATCAACACCAGTATATTGTTGATGACTACATGTTGCCCTCAAGATGTCATTTGGTTATTTTTCTTCTTATGTTTCTGACTCATTGACATATACTAAACATCTGCTCTCATTCATGCTAGCCAAATCTTGGATCAGATGTATAATGGCTACCTACATCTCTATGTTTTTTCTCTTACTATACACAGTAAATCTATGTGAAATATCACAAAAAAATCAATTCAAAAGTTTCACATAGTTTGATTTCAGAAGCTGCTAATTAACAAAAAAAAATTATTTTTAAAGAGCCTTTCTCATTTTTTTATATGTTGCTCAGTCTTAGTTTTCTATATTGTGTTTTGTGTAGTGTTGTTTGTCTTTTTTCTTTATTAGCCATGGCTATGTCAGTTTATTTTCAACTTATGAGTTTGATTGTTCCTTTGGGTTCTTTTGCCTCTCTCTTAATTTCTAGAATTTTATATGAAACAAGTTTATCAAACTATGAGGATGTTTTTAAGATTGGCTAGTTTGGTCTCTCTTAAAACAAATGGAATAATCAAGTTACTGACAAGAAGACAAATCCTTATTAGGTACAACAAATAACTTCCATCCACTCAAGGTTGGTAAGAACATACAAGATCTTAGCTTTATAACTGGTTCATAACATACCTCTGGAACCAGCCATAAACCCTAAAATTAATGCCTTTTCAGGTCTGGTCACAATATTTGATGTTCTAAACATTTCTTGTGCTTCTAACATTTGTTCTCTCTGAAATAAAACAACATTTTGAAACAGTCTTAATAATTGTGACTTTTTTTCTGAAATCAGATTGGTAGTGTTCCAAAGGTTTACAGGTTTTGTGGTCTCGATAGTCTTAATGATTAACAAGATCTAAATTGATAAATATAAAGAGTTTAATTACTTGACAAAAATCAAAATCTGTCCAAAGAATCAATTTCACTGAAAGTAGGTCAACAGCACTAATTGTACTATGGTGCATGATCTGAAACATCTCATAAATATACAAATAAATTATTCTGAATATCAGCTCAATTTTTCAGGTACAGAAATGACATATTTAATGCTGACAGTATAAATTTTCATCTAGAAATTAACTATATTCTTCAGTAAATGACTGTATATTTGTTCCTCAGTTGGGATTTGTCTGGAAGTTATGTAAACAATGCTTTAAAGGCCGTACTTAAACCTATAATTGTTTACTTTTTACACATTGTGACTAAACAACTCTCTTACTATCCATTGGTTAAGTATAACTATGGGAAAAGGGGGAGGGGGCAATGAACTGCACAATGGAAATTGTAAAAAAGTTCACAATAATGTATAACATATTTACATTTCAAAAGGTTTGGATGTGAGATACTAAAATTATTGCATAGAAATTTATTTTATAAAGGACAGATATATGCATGGAAGGGGATACAAATCAATAAATAATTTCATGGTCCACTACAGAGATATTAACATGAATTGATCTTACTGTCAAAGATAATCCTTTCTTTGGAGCATTTTGCTGCTGTGTCGTCTGCAGCTGAGGTTGTTGATTGTTTAGTTGCTGTATTGGTTGTGTAGGTGGTTGCCCAGGCAATGAAACAGGAGTGGGTTGTAATGGATTCTGTGATTGGACAGGCAGTGATGACTGTGTTCTGATCTGTGATTGGCCTAACTGTTGTTCTAACTGTTGCTGTAAATTATCCCTAGCCTGCTGTGTTCTGGTTGCTGATGTCATTGCAAGTGGTGCTGTGTAAACACATAAAACATTTGTCAGATTCAGTGCATAACATGAATTACTGTAAATGTAGAAATTTTTGCATGCAATTTTGTTATTTCCATTTTTGTAGGATGAACAAACTAGAGGCTCTAAAATGCATGTGTGCATCTTCAACAATGGACACTCGCTAACATTGTATTTTTTGTTGATCTTTTATTGCTGATAATTTTTTCTGTTTACAGTTTCTCTCTATCTTAACTTTTTGCCAAAAACACAAAAAAAGGGCAAACAAATTTTTTTTCATTTAAGGGCAATCACTCCTATAAAGAGTATACCAACGATTTCGGCAAAATTTGACTTATTTGTAGATCTTGTCTTGCCGATCATTTTGCTATTTAAAGTGGCTAACAGTTTTCAAGATAAGAGGCAGAACAATAAAAATTGGTAAAAAGTATTCATTAAAGGGCAATAACTCCAAGAAGAGGTGAACTGACGATTTTTGCCAGTAGATTCATTTGTAGATCTATTCTTGCTGATAATTTTTGCTTATTTGATCTATATATTATATCTATCTATTATAGTTTTTCAGATATTAGGCAAAAATCGCAAAAAATTGGTTAATATTGTCATTAAAGGTTAATAACTCCAATAAGGGGTCTTCAGACAATTTCATCTGTGTTGATGCATTTGTAGATTTTGTTTATTGAAGTTTCTATCTATCTATTATTGTTTTTCAGATATTAGGCAAATAGGCAAAAATAAAATGCTCCCCTGGGCGCAGCTTGATACGACCGCAGAGGTCGAACCCTGAACAGTTGGGGCAAGTATGGACAAAACATTCAAGTTTGATACATAACTGAATTTGGATTGTGATTAAATATTTGACACAGCATAGGTTTCTGACACAGAATGAATGTGGTCTAAGAACTTAAAAAATTTTAATTTACCTATTCAAACTATATCATTATTATTTGCTTTTATATATAAATCAAAAATAACCAATTTAAAATGGAAAATTTTAAAGAAAAAAAAGGACCCCCCCCCCCAATTTTTTGAACCCCCTTATGATTCATCAGCCCCAAAATCAATCCCAGCCTTCCCTTTGTGGTATGGTACCTTGCAGTACAATTTCAGAGAGATCCATACACTTGAACACAAGTTATTGCCTTGAAACTAGAAAAATGCTTGTTTTTTGGCCCCTTTTTGGCCTCAAATTCCTAGACATTTAAGGCAATTACCCCCAAACTCAAACCCAGCTTTCCCTTTGTGATATGGAACCTTGTAGTACAATTTCATAAAGATCCATACACTAACACACAAGTTATTGTCCTGAAACTAGAAAAATGCTTGTTTTTTTGCACCTTTTTGGCCCCTTATTCCTAAAATTTGAGGCAATTACCCCCAAAATCAACCCTAGCCTTCCCTTTGTGGTATGGTACCTTTCAGTACAATTTCAGAGAGATCCATACACTTGAACACAAGTTATTGTCTGGAAACTAGAAAAATGCTTATTTTTGTCCCCTTTTGGGCCCCTTTCCTAAACGTTTTGGGCAATTACCCCCAAACTCAATTCCAGCTTTCCCTTTGTGATATGGAACCTTGTAGTACAATTTCAGAAAGATCCATACACTTACACACAAGTTATTGTCATGAAACTAGAAAAATGCTTGTTTTTTGCCCCTTTTTTGGCCCCTAATTCCTAAAATTTGGAGGCAATTACCCCCAAAATCAATCCCAGCATTCCCTTTGTGATATGGAACCTTGTGGTACAATGTCAGAGAGATCCATACACTAACACACAAGTAATGTCTGGAAGTTACAAAAATGCTTATATTTGGCTCTTTTTTCCTTAACTGTTGGTATCATAACCCCCAAAATCAATCCCAACCTTCCTTTTGTGGTATTGAACCTAATGGTAAAATTTCATAGAGATCCATTCACTTAAACTAAAGTTAGAGTGCGAAAACCAATGTGTCTTCGGACGACGACGACGCCAACAACATACCAATATATGACCTCAAAATTTTTTTGTGGTCGTATAAAAATTGGTAAAACTGGTCATTAAAGGCCAATTACTGCAATAAAGGGTCATCAGATGATTTCAACCAGATTTTTTAGTAGATCTATTTTGCTGATAATTTTTGCTAATTTAAGTTTCTATCTGTCTACTATTGTTTTTCAGATATTAGGCAAAAACGCAAAAAATTGATAAAAGCGTCATTAAAGGGTAATAACTCCAATAAGGAGTGGTCTGACAAATTTTACCATGCAAACTTTCTTGTAAATCTTGTCTTGCTATTATTTTTGCTATTTAAAGTTTCTTTTTATCTATTACAACTGTATCAAAACATTGTATCTAAATGTTAACTGCAAAAAAACTTAGTCAATTTAACAGTAACAAATGGAAAAATGAAGATACTTTAAAAATTTTGCTCTGGATACTATATTTTGATCATAAAAAAATTTCTGTTGAAATTTCACAAAATTCCATAAACATGATAAAGGTTTGACAAATTTATTGATGTCTGAAAAACTTGAACCACAACTTAAATGTTGACAATGCAGATGATACGATGGCTATATCTTGCTTTCTCAACAAAAATATTGCAGGTTCAACAAAATATCATCTTTGTGTTATTTATTAGCCCATATCTGCCATTTTTTTCAATGTTTACTTTGTGTATTGCTTCACTTGTCATATGTTGATTTCAAGCACCAAAACAATATTGCATAAATTGTCTATTTACAGTGGCAAAAACCAAATTACATAAAGTGCTGATTTTAGGCTTTATATAAATAAATATTAATAATAAGAGAGTCTTTGCAACATCTCTGCTTTAAAGCTTAAAATTCATGTAGGCATAATATTACTTATGTCATTTGGGATATTAACTGTTTTGAAAGGTTCCTGTATGGCAAGCCGTTTAACTATTTATTCTAACTTTAAGATATCTAATAAACTTTATATCTCATATAGTTTATAAGATATCTTATATAGTTTATAAGATATCTCATACAATTTTCTTTATATTGACATATAAACTATATAAGATATCTTATAAAGTATATGAGATATCTTATATATCTTATATTAGATATCTCAAATAATATATAATATATCTTATAAAAACAAGATTTTATAAGATATCTTATAAAATTTATAAGAAATCTCATATACTTTATAAGATATCTTATATACTTTAAAAGATATCTTCTAAAGTTAATAAGATATCTGGTATAGTTTATCACATATCTTATATAGTTTATAAGATATCTTATATAGTTTATAAGATATCTCATATAATTTATAAGATATCTCATATAATTTATAAGATATCTTATAAAGAAAATTATATAAGAAATCTTATAAATTATATGAGATATCTTATAAGATATCTTATAAACTTTAGAAGATATCTTATAAAGTATATAAGATATCTTATAAGTTTTTATGATATCTTATAAAAACTAGATTTTATAAGATATATGTTCCAAAGTTTATACCAGTAACAAAATAAAGTTGTTAATTATCACAAGAAGGTGTGAAACTTCCTAATCGGTTATGACAAGTGACAAGTTTTTGAAAGGCAAACCCGTCATTCAGTAATCAATTGTTGTCTTTGTGATACCTTTTATTTCCCTCCCTAATTAGCAGCGTGAGGTTTTTAATCTAAAATATAAAACACAGTTATGAAATTGTAAAGAAGGAAAGATACTTTTCTTTACCATTCATGGTTGTTGCCTCTTTTCTAAATTGTTGTCATTTGGTATTTAGCCATACCGATACAATCATTGATCCATGAAACAAGAAGAATGTGTCCATAGTACACGGATGCCCCACTCGCACTATCATTTTCTATGTTCAGTGGAACGTAAAATTGGGGTCAAAACTCTAATTTGGCATAAAAATTAGAAAGATCATATCATAGGGAACATGTGTACTAAGTTTCAAGTTGATTGGACTTCAACTTCATCAAAAACTACCTTGACCAAAAACTTTAACCTGAAGTGGGACAGACAGACGGACGGACAGATGAACGGACGGACTAACGAACAAACAGACACACAGATCGAAAAACATATCTAACTAACGTAGGTGGGGCATAAAAACCAGCTCCACATTGTGGAAGTACAAATTACACGACCAGGGAATGTACAGAAAAAATGAAGTTTCCTTAAATCTATTAGAAAGAGATAACCTATTTTAAAATCTGCAGAAATGCACCATCAATTACTACATCAGAAGAAATTGCAAAAATCATCCGACTTGAGGATCAAAGCTTAAATCTTGGATTTCTGACATGAAAACGTCATTTGACTTAAAAGTGCATTTACTTTTACTGGAGTATCAACAGTAATTTGTAATCAATAATGAACTTACCTGTAAGCTGTGTATTAGCTCTAATCTGTGGAACATATGACACTGAAGGGCCCAGTGATGGGGTAGTCCCAGTAACAATAGCTTGTATTGCTGGAAGTTTCTGAAATGATAGACAACATTATTTTTAAAATAAATTTCTTATAAAATCAATTCTAAAATATATAGAAGTTTCCTTTTGGAAGTTTAAATATTTGTTTTATCATAATGGGAGCAAGCCAAACAACCTTGATGTAGTAACCCTTCCTGTAGCAGTGGGCATACTTACTGATAAGACAGAAAGTACCAGTCCAGAGTCATAGTGTGGTGTATAGGACACTGTTGATGTTAAGGCTTTCTAGGCAGCAGTGGATCTACTAACTGATGGGGCAGGAAGTACCAGTCTAGCAGCATAGTCTGGTGTATGGGACACCGTTGTTGTTATTGAGGCTTGCTCGGCAGCAGTGGATATACTTACTGATGGGGCAGAAGGTACCAGTCTAGCAGCATAGTCTGGTGTTGTTGTTGTTGATGCTTGCTGGGCAGCAGCAGCAGTGGGTATAGTTACTGATGGGACTAGATTTACCAGTCCAGCAGCATAGTCTGGTGTATAAGACACTATTGTTGTTGTTGCGACTTGCTCGACAGCAGTGGGTATACTTACTGATGGGGCAGGATTTACCAGTCTAGAAGCATAGTCTGGTGTATAGGACACTGTTGTTGCTGAGGCTTGCTCCAAAGCAGTGGGTATACTTACTGATGGGGCAGGATTTACCAGTCCAGAAGCATAGTCTTGTGTATAGGACACTGTTGTTGTTGTTGAGTCTTGCTCGACAGCAGTGGGTATACTTACTGATGGGGCAGGATTTACCAGTCCAGCAGCATAGTCTGGTGTATAGGACATTGTGGTTGTTGAGGCTTGCTCCAAAGCATTGGGTATACTTACTATTGTTTCAGATAAGGGTGAAGGTTTGGTACCGTTAAAACATTTAAACCCGCTGCAATTGTTTGCACCTGTCCTAAGTTAGGAATCTGAGGTTCAGTAGCTGCTGTTTGTTGATGTGGTTCATAAGTGTTTCTCGTTTCTCATTTTTTATATAGATTTTACCGTTGGTTATCCCGTTTGAATGGTTTTACACTAGTAATTTTTGGGGCCCTTTATAGCTTACTGTGCAGTATGAGCCAAGACTCCGTGTTGAAGACCGTACTTTGACCTATAATGGTTTACCTTTATAAATTGTGACTTGGATGGAGAGTTGTCTCATTGGCACTCATACGACATCTTCTTATATCTATTTACTGATGGGGCAGGATTTACCAGTCCAGCAGCATAGTCTAGTGCATAGGACACTGTGGTTGTTGAGGCTTGCTCCAAAGCAGTGGGTATACTTACTGATGGGGCAGGATTTACCAGTCCAGCAGCATAGTCTGGTGTATAGGACACTGTTGTTGCTGCGGCTTGCTCGGCAGCAGCAGCTGCAGCTTCCTTTTCTTTCTTAGCTTGCTCTGCAGCCTCCATTTCTGTAAGATACCAATAAAATGTTAAATTACTTTGGCTAATTTTGGAAAAAAAATTATTATCAGTTCACAGAATATACAGAATGTTTCTTATGTTGAACATTAAGAGACTTATCAACCAATGTTAAAAATCAAAATCATCACATGTATTTTTTTACATGACTACATCTTGGGTTTACTGCATTTATCACATTTTGCGAGAAAAAAAAAAATTTAGGTAAAAATTTATTGCACATCGTCCACCATGTTTATTGTTTTTTGGGTTTCTTCTAATTTTTCTCCGATCAGTCAGCATTCTGCTTTTTAACCATGAACTCGTCACATATTCTGATTTTGTCAGATAAACTATTATAATCATCTAACTGTAAAAAGGTAAAAGCATTTGATGACTATCAGCAATAATCTATGTTTTAAAATTTTAACATTTCATATTTCAAGAAAAGGTACAGTGTTTGGAATAGGTTGTTTTCTGGACCAGCAGTTTCATTTAAAGAGGTAAATGTGTTTTTGTACCTACCAATATGTATTGGAATCAGAATTTAAAGTGAATATAAGAAAATGAATTTGGTTTGAATAAATTGTTCGTTTTGCATCATAGTAACTCGCCTATATTTAATATGTTTTACCTTGATCTTTTGTTAAAAGTGATAATATTATACATTACAAACTTGAAATTATTTGAAACTTCTCATGTTTTACAATCATTCAAACTCATTTTACCCTTCAAGCCAGGTTCAAATAAATTATTACCTGCATGAAAAGACTATTAGCTTTGAGGCACTCAATTCAAATGTAATGACAAGTTTTTTCTTGCTAAGAGGTTGGCAACTATGCTCATGAACACATAATAATGATAGCTCAACTTGTTCTTTTTTCCCAATAATATCAAAATCAATGAAAAAGATGATTGCACTACTGTTTACCTGCAATTTTTCTCCTTCTCTTTGCCTCTTTTGCACCAAGCGGTAATTCTTCCATGTCTAATAACTGTACAATAAAAATATCAATTTTACCAACAAATCACTTACATTTGTGCAGTAGTCCTACATTGTTCTGGTTAATATTACCTTTTAATTGGCATGCATATCATAGTTTCTAGTTTTTCAGATTTTCTCCATCAGACAGAATATAATGTCTATTAAAGACTATTCTATCACTTTTAATGCTTAAAAAAAACCCAAAATAACACAGAAATGTAGGTTAAAACAGACTATTAGGGATTATTCAAATCTCTTCTTTTTTAATTGATTTGAATAAGCCTCCTTCTCAGACCCTTTTAATTTTCTTAGTCTGAAGACAATCAAACCACATCTCCTTATTTTTATAATCATGAAATGATGTAAATTACTAAAACTCTAAAAGTACTTGGTTACGTTTTCATCTCTCAGTTGGTACCTAAGAAGTTGCACTTGTTGTCCTGGCTAAGCATACACCTGCCTGTAATTCAACAGGAAGTAGGTGTATAACAGATCAGAAAAGCACTTACACATATAATAAGTCATCTCTCAATCTGCAGACCGGATATAGTCATTCATATAAAAATTGAAGTGTGTCTGACAAAAAATGTTCAATATATTGAAAAGTTCAAAGTATGAAGTTACAGGATGTTGGTGTCTGTCAGATTGTAAAAGCATTCACTCATTACAATTTGTCACTATCAAGCTGCTACCCAAATATGAAGTAATTCTGTTCAGTAGAACTGGAGAAACTTGTGACGGAAATATTAAGTTAATTCAACATTGAAAATCCCAAGTATCAGTAAACAGAGAGAAGCTATCTGACATTTAAGAAAAAATAAGTTCAAAAAGGAAATAGATGTTTCCGAATACTTATCCTATAATACAAGTTTTGCGGATTTACTAAGTGTATAGTAATGAGTATTGTTTACAGTGATTAATATAGACAGCATACTTTGTATGTATTGTGTTTAGACACTTGTCTATTGATGAAGACTGTGTATTGACCTTTGTATGTCATTTGGTTTTTTGTGATTGTGGATTGCTGTCTATTTGATGTATACCTCACATTCAACATAATTCATATATAGAATTAATATGAAAACAAGAGTTAGTTTTGTACCTACTGAATCAACGCTGGTTGGACACTGCAGATTGCTGACTATAGAAATTTACTATGCAGTTCTTTGTCAAAACAAAATCAAAAATCTGAATTGTAATAACTTTTATTTTCAGAAAATGATTCAGATTATAAGACCTCTGTTAATATGTTGATGTAAATGCTTTGTAACTTATACAGCTTCAACAGGCATATTTCATAATCACTAAAGAAGCATATCTATTTGTAGTTTTGGTAATTTTGATATGCAGCAATGCTACCAAATCACAAATCTGTAAAAATGAAGTCTATAGACATTTTCAATAAATCTTACATTTAGCATTTATAATCTTCTGAACTCTGTCAGTCAAGCAGAGTGAACACTATACTGTGACGACAGACATGATCAACTCTTTTCGATGACGACAGACAATGTTGAGCACTCAAATCTTCTTTGACCGACCCCATTAAATACTGGACATCAATACAGAATACTTCACTTTTATGGAATATTGCCACTTCTGTATAAAATATTTCAGTCAAATATTCATAATCCTGTATTTTTTCTGAACTTTTAAAATCATTTTGCTCAGCACATTTGAATCCATTATTATTATTAAAAGTTAGTCATTTATAAAATATTAAGTTTTACAATCACTCATTTTTTTTTCTTTCATGTATGCCTCTGTGATGAATTAAAGTTATAAACCCAAATCTGCTAACATTTTATATCCTTCATTCTTCTGACAGGATTTCTTTCTTTAACAACCAGATCTTGGTTTTAGTTATATATATAAACTTGTCTGATTGTTTAAATCACGAAGAGAGACTTCCTGTGATGGCACTGAAAGACAACAATATCATCTGAGATTCACATCAATCTTACCTTTATACCAACATCCTTGCGTACTGATGTAGGCCTGGCCATTGGTGTTGTAGGTGTAGGATTGACTCTGCTTGGGCCTGAAGTCCCTGGTGATCGAAATCCACTGGATGGTGGAGTCCTATTTGGCAGTCCTTTAAGTGGTGCTAATTATGTTCAAATTATATTTTGAATTAAAATAAATCAAATCAAATGCAGTCTGACAGTGAATACCATATACGTTGTGTAATAATGAGGTATTTTCTAAACAAAGCAAAAATCTTTCCAAACAATACTTAAGGATGTAGTTAGTTGAAATTAAAAAAATCTAGAATATAATATTGATAATCTAAGTCAGAAGAGCGTTAGTAAAGGAACAAAATAAGCTAAAAATATTGAAAGGTTATGGACTCCTTTTAGCGATATTTGATTTTTAAAAAAAATTACGGGAAAAGGCTGATTGGGACTTTTACCTCATGTTTAGCATTGGCATTATTTGGGTCTCAAATCATAAGAAAATAATGGGGAATGTGTCCATGGTATTGCATATAACGTCATAAAGGGACATAACTCAAGAACTGTAAAAGTGACGCTACCCAAATTTGTACTTGATCTGAGTTTCGTAGTAATAAGCATTGTGTATAAGTTTCAAAACATTTGGTTGAGGCAAACCTAAGTTAGAGAACGGAAATGAAAAATTTAGCAATTTTTCCATTTGTAAAGGGCATAACTCTAGAACAGTATAAGTGATGCAACCAAAACTCAAACTTGATTTGTGTTTTGTGGTAATAAGCATTGTGTATAAGATTCATAACATTTGGTTCAGGCAAACTCAAGTAAGAGAACGGAAACCAAAAATTCAGCAATTTTTCCATCTGTAAAGGTAAAAGTGACGCCCCCCAAATTCAAACTTGATATGTGTTTTGTGGTAATAAGTATTGTGTATAAGTTTCATAACATTTGGTTGAGGCAAACTGAAGTAAGAGAACGGAAACCAATTTAGGGACGTATGGAGGGACGTACAGACAGACAAGGGTAAAACTTTATGTCCCTTCTGCTACGGCGGGGGCATAAAAATGCTTTGAATCATGCAAATACCAAAGCACTGGCCAGATTGTACGCTCATGGACTGATAATTCACCAGCAACGGTACCGACTAAAAGGTATAGGATGCCTTTGCTCACAAAACATGAATAACCTTCAAGAAGTATGCGCAAAACCAAAAGTAGGAAAAGCTCTTACAGTCAAAATGTTTAATATTATACCAAGATTGTTTCATACATACTTGCATCGTCCATTTTCTTAGCAAAACTTCTGACTTTTAGTGGTAAACTACTGCTTGGATTATTTTTTTTACTGCTGGCAACTTCAGTGGCTATAACAAATAATGTTCATTTTTATATAAAACTGTCTGTGACACAACATACATTTTTTTAATATCAAAATATTTAAATAAAAAAATTGATGAATAATTGATAACAAATGCTCAATCAGCATGTTCAAGAGTGCGAGGAATTGGGTACATAGCTGTGACTTTTTTTGTGTGTCTTTGGGTTGATGTCTGATTATGCATACCTCATAATCTTTTTTTATTCATATTACATGATATTACTGTTTAAACTGTTTCAAATTGTTAATAAGTTGTGAACAATTGTTTATTTGAGAAAGTTTGAGGATGGATCAATACAAAACCAATTGACAAACATCAACCCCTAATATATAGGTATGAATAAAGAGAGGTGTGGGTATATCTTATTGGGACCTAGATCCAAAACATAGCATATACAATAAAATGCTCCGCTGGGCGCAGCTTGATACGACCACAGAGGTCGAACCCTGAACAGTTGGGGCAAGTATGGACACAACATTCAAGTTTGATACAGCACTGAATTTGGATTGTGATTAAATATTTGACACAGCATAGGTTTCTGACACAGAATGAATGTGGTCTAAGAACTTAAAAAATTTTAATTTACCTATTCAAACCATATCATTATTATTTGCTTTTATATATAAATCAGAAATTACCAATTTAAAATGGAAAATTTTAAAGAAAAAAAAAAGGAAAAAAAGGAAAAAAAAATCCCTCCCCCAAATTTTTTGAACCCCCTTATGATTCATCACCCTCAAACTAAATCCCAGCCTTCTTTTTGCGGTCGTATAAAAATTAAAAGACCATGTACTTTATCTCTTTGTTCTATTGTCTGTATGCTACCAGTCTATACAGAAAATACCAACTTTAACATCTCTGGTTGACCCCAACAACCCATGACCTCCTGCACTGTGGTGAGCACATTGTCACGAGACCAAAGTGCTGAAGAATACAGAAAGCAACTTTTGACAAGTTGCATAATGATGGATCTAAATTTTAAATATGCAAACTTAAAGAACTATGTTTTGCATACATTTTTGCAGTAGTTCAGCTCTCAGTATTGCAGATTTAGGTTTTCTCTTCAATGCAAAATGTTTAATAGGTTGTGGCTGCTGTCCTGTAGCTGCAATCAAAGCTGTTTTGTTCAGAAACTGACATTCCAATGGTAGCATCCGTGCTCCAGCTGCTTTCTTTACTGAAATTTATTCAAAACTTTATGGTTTAAGTAAAGTAAATCATATTTGAAGTTCAACACTGTCATGCTACTCTGCTAGTTATAATTATATAATGTGTGTGTGTGTGTGAGTGAAGACCTTTAAGATTGGTTGATGTTTGATCTTGAAAGATCGAGTCAAATGAAAAATACCTGTGTTTATGGTTTCGCTATTTACTCTATGTTTGATGTGTTTGCCTCAACATTTTTATTGCCACTTTTGATAGCTGTGGCATACTGTAGAAATATGAAATATTTTCCTATACATTCAAAGGCATTAAAGTATAATCAGCAATACAAAAAATAATTAACAGACATCTATTCAATTGTCATGTTTATATGAGAGGTAAAACATACCAGCTTTATTTAAATCTGAAGTCATTTCTGAAAAGATGCCATTATCTTCCAGATCTAGATTTAATGTTCCCATTGATGGAAATGTCTTGAGAATTTCACCAATCATGGACACCCACTGGTCAGTGTCATGTGTGGCCATCAGAAGTATTTCTTCCAGATCAGCTCTCCACTGAAAACATGCAAAAGTTATTGTAAGTTTAGTAACAGCATCTTTAAATATTTGCATTGAAAAATTCTTTTGTACTGTAACTCATAGGGTTGCAATGAATTCCTAACTAACAAACAATGTTTGATCATGTATGAAGTTGATAGCTCTTAGTTTGATATACATGTAGTAAATGTCTAAGGAAATATTTAGCTTTACTAGACTTACATTTGTAAACATTTTCTGAACATTTTCAAACAATGTTCACAGATGTAATTCTAACATATCTAAAAGCTTTCTGATCTTAATAAACATTTTATCAACTTACCGGGTAACATGTAAATATCAACTATTCATGATCAAACAAAATTTTACAGGATTATTGTCAATGTCCAGAATTCCCACTGAGTAACTGTTATAATCTTTTATTACCACTTGTAAGTTACTTGGACAAATTCATTTGTTTTGTACATCACATGTAAATTTTGTCTCCCTTTACAGTCATGACAGTTTTAATGCAGATACACAAGAATTACTATTTAGCCATTGACTGCATTAACCAAAGGACTACTCACGACAATTCTATAGTACCATGAGTACGTAGTATAAATAACTTCGATGATGAATGCTAACAGATGAAAGGTTCCATGAATAAAAGTTTTGTTTAAAAAAAAAACAACTGAAGAATAAAATAACAATACATGTATCAAGCAAAAATAGTAAATACATTAACAGTTGGAAGTTTGTTTGACTGCTGATTCGCTCACAAATACTGTAAACCAAAAAAAAGTTCAATGTACAACAACATACACCTTAACTACTGACAAAATGATTGAGTATTGTTATACAAGAATATATATCTGTTTTCTACGGAAGTCCATTTAGGACCTCCCAAAAATATAAATCGAAATCACGAATTAAAATCGTTATCAAGAATTTATGGAATTAGTTTTTTTTTTGTATTTTCGTAAAAACAGATTAAGTTTGTTATCTCAATTTTTTGTAATTCAACTTTTTTTTTTTTCAATTTGTGATTACTGATTAAATTTGTTATCACAGATTTTTGTAATTCATGATAATGGTTTAAAACCATTATAACAAATTGTATAATTTGTGATAACTGTTACTACAAATTTGTGATAACTATTTCTACAATTTTTTTTTTTTATAACGAATTTAATAAGTTATAACGATTTTAATCCATTATCACGAATTACAAAAAAATTGTGATAACTGTTTCTACCAATTTGTGATAACGATTTACACAATTCGTTGATTTAGAAAATTTGTTACTATGATTTAAATCTGTTATCACGAGTTACAAAAAATTGTGATAATGAATTTAATTCATAATTACAAATTATACATGTTATAAAAACTTATATTTTTACAGACACCATCACGAGTTGGTTGACCGTTATGGAATATCCGTTTCACAGATGATAGCGGAAATGTTCCAAACGTCGTAACTATAACATGTACAATCTAGAATGTGACTTACCGAATTAGACTTATTACTGGGTTTGTACTAACATGAGCAACAGGACCAGTGCCACATGTGGAGCAGGATCTGCTTACCCTTCCAGAGCACCTGAGATCACCCCAGTTTTTGGTGGGGTTCATGTTGCTCAGTCTTTAGTTTTCTATCTTGTGTTTTGTGTACTTTTTTTTGTCTGTTGGTCATTTTCTTTTTTAGCCATGGCATTGTCAGTTTATTTCAACTTATAAATGAGTTTGAATGTCCCTATGGTATCTTTCGCCTCTCTCTTATATAACTAATTCCAGAAATTCGTAATCACAAATTTAATTTGTTTTTAACGAATTCTTCTATTCATGATAACGATTTAAATGTGTGATTTCTAATTCAAAAATATATTTTTTTGGAGGTCCTAAATGGGCTTCTGTAGTTTTCTGAAATGGATGTGACTTCAATTATCCTTCTCAATATTTTCTTCAACTTTAGCATTTTTGGCATTTAATATTACACATGGCTAGTCATGAAGTTGAGCATGGAATTTTAAAGAGATCTGTTATAAATTGAAGGTATGCAAAATTTAATCTGGAGCAATTGTTTGTCATACTGTAAGTAGCTTTGTACAAAAAAAAGTAAATAATTTTGACATAATCATGATAATTAGCCCACTGAAAATAGTTTTTATTTCAACTGTTAAAATCAAAATATATACCCTATTGCAGGGCAGATTGTTTTTCCTATTAACAAAGTCACATAAAATATAAGCTAAAACAGTGGTAATATATATCTCAATATCCAAATCAGTAGTGGGACATGATATTTCTTGTTCAATTGATCTTTAATGAACATGAAAAAAGGCAGTTTAAGGAAAAATTGTAGAAAGATTTAAATTTTCTGGGCCCTGATGCAATTTTATATATCACATGTATATATTCCAAAAGTAAAAATATGAAAATCCAGTGCTGGACTATAGCTACCAATTAATGTTTTAAATTTAAATTAATTGTGCATGTTTTTGCATGATATTTTAAAGGAGAAGGTCCGGTAAGGGCTAGTTTTGGCCTAATATTCGCAGTACATCTAATGAAAGATTTTAGACATTTTTTTTATCACTTTAGTGTCTACTTAGGTCGATTCAATTAGTTTATGTAAAAGATTTTAACTGATTCGGTCATTAGAGAAGCTCAAATTCACGCTTTAATATGCAAAATCTATCAAAAATGCCATAAAACGTCATTTTTCAGATGTTTTTTTCTCTAAAATGGAAGTGGCCGCATTGGTGTTCAGTCTCAACCTTTATGTATGATATGTATTATCATCAAATACAACATATTTCTAAATATTAAGAATGAACACAAATGCTGCCACTTCTGTTTTAGACAAAAACCGTCTTAAAATTAGCACAAATGCTAAAATTGTGAAGATTTCAGTAATATTGCACGAATTTATGATGCTATTTCCTGCTGCATGTGCATTTTATTGTCAAAAACAGCCCATATTTAAGAAACAGATATATTCTATTTTCCAATAAATAGCTAAAAGTTTACATTTTAACATATTTGTAAATATGCTTTATTTTGGGGCCAAAAAGGGGTCTTACTGGGCCTACTCCTTTACTGATAAACAACTGAAATCTTTAAAAAAAACTCAAAAAGAATTCTTACCTCCATTTGGCATTTGGAATACCTCTACCAATTTACAACAGATACAGACATCATTTGCATGTGTAAACAATGTATAGAAATAACATGAAATAAACTGTTACATGTAGATGGTTCTGTTGTATAGTTTAAAATCTATTTACTCTTCATGAAAAAAATCAATTATTGTGTCAGCAACTGTTCAGATATCCTGTTCTTGATTTTCTGATTTGGACGGCCACAAAATACTTTTCGTAGCCACACAAAAATAAAGTAAAAAAAAATAACACATCTTGAACCAGTGAATTTTTAACCTACAGCAACATTTTGTACTCCCTCCCCCTTAAGTAAGCTGTTTCTCCCAGACTTGTTGAAAATATAAATCACATCTATTCTACATTTTAATATTCTATCATTTAAACATAAAAAATTTGAATTTTGTTTTAAATTTGAATAAAGGTTCAATATTGTTAAAGTTTACAATCTTTCTCAACTTATTTAGGTTATTGTTTGCACATAAATATGATGGTATGGTTCAGAGCTCATATAACTACGCAACTAGGGCAAAGAAGTAGCTTTTAATACTATCCATCAATTCACTTTTCCTGACCACTAAAAGTGATACATGTATCCAAGTGTTCACAACAAATGTGTTTAAAATTTCAAGTAGTTACTAATCGTCATATTCTTTTCCAAATCACTTGTCAAAGATTGTTATTCTTGAAAGTTTTTCTTTGTCTGCCATTAAAAAATATATATATTCAAGAATAACAATTAGTAACCACGGACAAACAGGAAAATAAAGAGCCAAAAAGAGAAAAATGTGCTTTCAAAATGCAAACCCATAATTCGACCTTAGAACGTTAATACACATATTCCCAATAGAAAAATATATGTGACAAATGATATCAAATGAAAAAGTATAATTTCTGTCAAAATATATATATTGGTTTCAACATTGTCCTAACAACATGAACAAAGGGCTAAAACCAGAAAGGTTTGGTAATATTTCACCTACAGGTTTTTTTGTACCTTCAATAACAGATGTCATTCAATTGGGTCATCTGATGGCCTGGCCAGTCAATTGGCTTGCATAATCAAGACATTATGTATAGATAAATATAAGAAGATGTGGTATGATTGCCAATGATACAAATCTCCACCAGAGACCAAATGACATAGAAGTTAACTATTTTAGATCACTGTCAGGCCTTCAACAATGAGCAAAACCTATACTGCATAGTCATGATAGTAAGAAATAAAAGGCCTTGAAAATAGACCAATTTCGAGGTTATTTTTATGAATGAGTAAAGCCAGCTTAAAAATCAACTCTTATAGTGCAATTAAAATATACATGTGTGCATGTTTTAAATGTTATGTTTGTAATAAGATGATATATAAAAGCTCAACAGAGCTTCAGAGATGCAAACAGTTTTTTTTCCAGACATTTGGGCCTACAGGGTAGCAAGTTTTGTCATACCCATCAATTTTTTGCCAGACCTACATTTTTTTATATCAGCTTTTTATACAGTAAGAGAACGAAGATAGGATGTCTTTACAGTGACAGTTGCTTTAGTGGATTGTTTTTAGAAATATCTAAAATTCAATTGAGTTCTTTTATTTAATAATTACTACAATATATTTTTAATTTTTTTTATTGTGTACCACTGAACTGCAAGCTAGGGCCATTCTCCATTTTTTTGACAGTTCTCTAAGATTTTTAATTGATTACAACTTTCTCAGGAAAGTGAGGACTGAAAAGTCAATTCAGTTTTAAATTTCCCTCTTTAAAGTTCTCAGTTACAACTCTCATCACAGGGATACATGTACTAACAAAAAATCAATCAGATTGATATAATCTGTGTGCTAATTGTTTCCAGATCTTACTTTTTGTTATCCTTGTATATTTTGATATATTTGTAAATTGCATGAACATGATGAATAAATATATGTTTAAACTTCAAAAAGCAACATTTGAAAATTTTATAACTTTTTTACCATTAATGTTGGTACACAAAATTTTGTTTTAATGGAAGACTACTTTTCATATAATAAATGTCACATTTTAAGTGTTCAGATACATTAACTTTTATTTTGGTGGATAATTACTCATCAATTGAGGTGCTCCTTTATTAGAAGAAGATTCGCAATACAGTTACAGTTACAGAAAGAATGAAAACTGCTGTTTCTCTCCCCAATCTCATGTATCCCCATTGTTTACCGTGAAAGTTGACCTACAAAGTATTGATGTTTGAATCATATGATCTACAGCAAACATACTAACTTTAAATTAATAAATTTTCAACAAGGCAAATTTCAATTCCCCACTAATAGGTTAGCACCAAAAATGCTAAATCTTACTAAAATCCTAGAGAACTGTCTGCCGGTCATTGCACAAAAGCTCAATTTCTGCCCCCTCGGGCCAACAGGTTCGACGATTAGTTGCATCTCTGGAGCTTATGTTTTCTATATACTGACTTTGTCTATAAATAAAGCTTTTGAACTTTGAACTTGAACGCACTGTGACATTAAAATGTATGTGAAATGCAGAAATGTGATTGTCATCATTATGGTGGTTAGTCCGAGATTACTCTGACGTCCAACGGCTGTTTTGCCAGACAAGCTGGGGCCGTGGGACGTCAGAGCTCGTCCCATATCAAAAAGTGGATATTTGCCCGTCCAAAATAGATGCGCTGCTTCGTCGCTTCTGGTGCCAACGGACGGCCTTGGAATTATATAAATCGGGTATCAATTTGTTCATTTTTCATTTATCTCTTCATTTATGTAAGTTTCATCTACCTGCCACCCTTTATTTTCTCATATTTAGACAGTTTTCACAGTGACCCATCGATTCAGACATTTTTACTTTTATTTTCAAATGTTACGAGAGATTTTGCGACCTCGAGACTCAAATATGCAAATATTTATACTTTTTTCACCTCCTTTATAGGAGATCGATATTTAACATTTAGTAGCCAACCACGATTTTTCACCTCCTTTACAGGAGATCGGTATTAAGCATTTAGTGCCAACCACGATAACATTCGAAAGCTCTCGGATATTAACATTGCTTGCATCGTAAATGAGCGAGGTGTTAGATTATATATTCATATTGACCTAGGGTCATATGCATACATCATTTCCCATAGTCCATTGTGCCTTACTTTTTTCTCGTGATCACATGACAATCTTTCAAAATGAAAGTCAAAATGCCAGAATCGGTGGGTCACTGTGAAAACTGTCTAAATATGAGAAAATAAAGAGTGGCAGGTAGGTGAAACTTACATAAATGAAGAGATAAATGAAAAATGAACAAATTATCACCCGATTTATATAATTCCAAGGCCGTCCGTTGGCACCAGAAGCGACGAAGCAGCGCATCTATTTTGGACGGGCAAATATCCACTTTTTGATATGGGACGAGCTCTGACGTCCCACGGCCCCAGCTTGTCTGGCAAAACAGCCGTTGGACGTCAGAGTAATCTCGGACTATATGGTGGTGACTTTAAAATGCATGAAATGACATCTATCTATAATGGACATATGTTTCGTTTATAAAATGAAAATGCTTTATCTATATTGTCTCATGTGTTTAATGTGTATTTACGTGTAGTATCTATGTCAGTTTTAAAAGCTCTAATGTCTAGTAATGAGCTTGTTTTGTGTAATGTCATATATATGCACTTCCTCTAAATAAAGCTTTAAATTGAACTGAATTGAATTAATTTTACTGATCAACTTTCAAACTAGATTGAATTAGCCTATTTGGGGATAGGGTCATATATCACTTTTTATCAGTCGTTCGAAATTTCTAATGCATTGAGTTTGCGATCTAACCTGCTCTACATTCCTCCTTGGCAAGTGAAGAAATGACAACATTAGTTTCACTTTAACGTGTGGTTGAAGTGCATTGTAGCAAGCTTGGATATTTTGTAATTTTGCTTGGTTTATTTGTGAACATATGGTCTTTCCGGACCATAAATCGTCTGTAGAACCTAATTTGTTGTGCAGCCACAGAGCTGTGTCACCAGCAGCCATTTTGGAGAGGCTACCGAAATGCAAAATGAAAGGAAAACAACAATTGGGTGATAAAAATAGCTTTTAATTAGCATAAACTTCCGGTCAAAAAGAAAGTAAAACTTGTGAACAGAAAAGAAGAAAAAGAAGAAAGAACACAAAAACTAAAAGGTAAAAAACAAACATTTATTTGACTTATCAAAACATTGCATTCTGCCAATCGAGGCACACCTATCATTTCAGAGGACAGTGTCAGTTTAGTGGCAGCACATTTAATTCCTTCTTTATGTATTGTTTACACTGTTAGTGTTATATGTATGCATATTTGTATAGGGTAGGAATGCCCTTTACCGTCAGGCGTCACAACGATCAGTTTCGGCTACCGTTAGCGTCAAATTGGTTAAAATTTTACCGTGATTTGTCAAAATATCCTTATCATGATTCGTCAGAGGGCCCAAATAATTATTGGTACCATTACTTTTGGAAAAATATTAACGTGATTCGTCAAAATCAGTCGATTTTTTTATCGTCTAAAAGAAAGAGTACATTTTAATGTCATGCACCAACAATTACCGTTAATGTCATTTGGCAAGAATTTCTACTGTTATTAGTAATGAAAGTACCCCCATTACCACCCTTGTGTATTCATGAATTAGTTTACATATGATTGGAATAGTAAAATATGTGTTTACACATTATATCTATCATCTACTGCCAATTTTAGACATGTTATTTGCCCTGAAACTACGAAAAAGAGATGTCCAACATCTAATAAATTTTAGCAGAGACATATAAAACACTAAACTCTAAACACATTAAAACACTGAATCCCTGGGATGTGTTTTAGTTGATTTTAGTCTCTGATGCATGATTTTTTATTATTAATTGTTTTTAGCTTTTAACTAGCTTTCAGTATCTGCGAGTACTCTCAAATTGTACTTCCGTGTAAATTTGACCTGTTGATACAATTTGTAATGTATTTTTGTTATTTAATGTTTACTTATTCAGTGTTATATCTAGTCTCACTATTTTTAATATATACCACCTTTGATAAGTGTTTATAGTATGACTATAAATTTTCACTTTTGCTCTCGTACTAGGAAAAACAAAATTATTTATTTTGTAAAAATTATTTCCGTACGCCTTGTTTACCTTACAACAAAATTATTTTTATTTACCTGTGTACATTATTTCATTTGGCGGCATTTTGTCCAGGGTTATGGTTGTCTTTCTGATATTGTTTTACATCTAACTCCCTTGTTCTATTAATTTTGTATTTACATTGTGTCATAGATCAAATTTATTCGTTCAGTGTATGTTCACTTATTTTTGTTAATATGTCTTTTGATTGAATTAAGCCATTTCAGTTGATATTTTATAGTGTATCTTTCTATGTTGTGATATTATACTATTGTTTCAGGTAGGGTGAAGGTTGGTGCTTATTAAAACGTTTAAACCCGCTGCATTTGTTTGCACCTGTCCTAAGTCAGAAACCTGATGTTCAGTGGTTGTCGTTTGTTGATGTGGTTGTCGTTTGTTGATGTGGTTCATAAGTGTTTCTCGTTTCTCGTTTTTTGTATAGATTAGACCGTTGGTTTTCCTGTTTGAATGGTTTTACACTAGTAATTTTTTGGGGCCCTTTATAGCTTGCTGTTCGGTGTTAGCCAAGGCTCCGTGTTGAAGGCCGTACTTTGACCTATAATGGTTTACTTTTACAAATTGTGACTTGGATGGAGAGTTGTCTCATTGGCATTAATACCACATCTTCTTATATCTATAAAACATTTACTTTTTTTATAATTGTATTATATGTCTTTAATTCAACTTATTGTTTTCACTTATTTATGCACAGTATTTGATTTTACTCTAATTGATACAATTATACAATAACAGTAATTTATAGACATAATCAGATTTTACTATTCCAATCTTATACATTGTATAAACAAGTTCATAAATACATGTAACAGTGTAAACATGATTTAAGATTCATGATATGTCTTCAACTCAGAATTCTTAAAATCTGAAGTTGATCACATAGATCCAGCATGGCTGGATCAAAAATGTAACGGCAATTGGCTGGGTAGAATTTATTCAAAATTCTTAAAATATTACCCAGGATACTTGCAAAATCACATGTCTAAAGACTAAGAATAATTTATCGTGAAATTTAATTTAACTAATTTATTAATCATAAACCTGATATGGTGCCAGTAGCTCTTTTCAAAATAAAATCTTAAAGCAAAAATTGATCGTAAGTTATACTGAAATGTTCATGACTTACAAGTATTTTTTCTCGTAAGATTTTTTGTGAAATGAGTTGCAGGAAATAAATCCAAAACTTATTGACCTTTTCAGAATAATATGGGCCTTGAAAATTCTTTATTGTTAGAAAATTGTAAGACAATAAATGATTAAGTTAACCAAATTTAGAATTAGTGCCAATGACCTTGAAATAGAAAACAGAATATGCAAAGGTGTAAGCTATGTAACAATGACATTGTTTAAGATTCAATCCATTTTCTACTTCAATGTCCATCACTTTAACTGAAAGGTACACTTTTATTTCTGACATATTATCTAAATTTACTAATTTTAAATCTTTAACTAAATAATAAACAATAAAAATGTACATGTATATGGTTGATGTATTAAAGATTCTATACTATAGATATCAATATGGTAATAAAATTGTTAAATACTTTATTCAAGACTAGAAGAGTCAAAGTGATCCTCCAGCTCTCCCAACACTTTATTTTAAAAACAGCAAAATTATATCTGAAGTTATAGTTAAATTAATTATATGTCCTATTGTGATCAGTCTATCAATCCACCTGTCTGTCCGTCCGTAACAAATTGTGTCTGCTCCATATCTAGAGAACTGTTATGATTTCATACTTTATACTTGACATGTATATTAACCAACACCAGAGGTTGTGTCATAATGTTTGTACAACTTCCTAGGTTAAAGGTCAAGGTCAAAAACTTTGGTTTCAGTTGACAACCCCATGTCCTATGGTAAAGATCGTGTCTGCTCTATATCTTGAGAACCTTTATGATTTCAAAGTTTATACTTGACATGTATATTAACCAACACCAGAGGGGTGTCATAATGTATGTACAACTGCCTAGGTCAAAGGTCAAGGTCAAAAACTTTGGTTTTCAGTTGACAACCCCATGTCGTATGGTAAAGATTGTGTCCGCTCTATATCTAGAGAACTGTTATGATTTCAGTTTATACTTGACATGTATATTAACCAACACCAGAGGGTGTGTCATAATGTATGTACAACTTCCTAGGTCAAAGGTCAAGGTCAAAAACTTTGGTTTCAGATGACTACCCCATGTCCTATGGTAAAGATTCAAATTTTTTAGCACACGTTATTCACAGCGGGGCCCACAGAGATGGCTCCCATCTCAATGATGTCTAGTTTATTTCTGTTTCTTTTGCAGACTTACTTGGACCTACATTCCACAACTATGGATTTATTTAGTTTGTTGAAGAATAATTTATCACCATCCAAAAAGATGATAAATGCAATAACTTCAAAAGATGTTTCATTATTAGAAGAAATTATGAGGTCTGGATTCAATGTGAATTCAAGAGTATATGAACAAGGAGGTGAAACTGCTCTTCATATAGCTGTGTCGAAGGATAATTATAGCAAACCTGTTATTGAAAAACTCATAGAATACAACGCAGATCCATCTGTTACAAATGATTTTGGTGTCACGGCTTTACACAGAGCTGCTATGAATGATGACGCAGACATTACATTCTTATTACAACATGACAAAAGTTCCACGTCTATAAATGACTTCTGGGTCTCTTTCATAAGGGATTTTACTCACTGGCTTCAACATCATACTGTATCACCAAAAACATTAATGATTCTACTTATAGCCACCCCAAACTTTGCTAAATACCCAGAAAATGTTAGAAAAACTATGTTTACCACCGTTTTAAATAAACAGACACCATTTTATAATTGTTTAAAAGTTATGGCTGTGATAGATAAAAGCTTAAGAAACCAGCACATTGCACAAATTCCTGATGATGATGAAAGAAAAGAATTTCTGGAATGGTTAGAAAATTTTAAACGTAAAGTTCCAACTCTTCAGCACTGCAGTCGGATGGCTTTAAGACAAGCACTTGATAACAAATGGAATGTGATATATGGAGCTGAGAGGTTATATTTACCAAAATCTCTAAAACAGTTTGTTAAATTCAATGATATAACCAGTGTTGGCTTATCAACTTAGGGGATTCCAAAAACTGCAAAATAATGTTATTAAATATGTTAAAAGTTTCTCATGTATGATGTTTTATATAATTCATTGACTTTTAGGATAACGAAAAATAACAAAAAGGGTGTTTTGTCTTTGATACTTCATCAAACAGTAAATTGTATAGCTTATAATATTCTTCTATGGTCCTTCCAAAATTCATAACTAAATATCTGGATTTTTTATACCCCACCTAGGGGCATTATGTTTTTCGGTCTGTCCTGCTTCAGGTTAAAGTTTTTGGTCAAGGTAGTTTTTGATGAAGTTGAAGTCCAATCAACTTGAAACTTAGTACACATGTTCCTTATGATATGATCTTTCTAATTTTAATGCCAAATTAGAGTTTTGACCCCAATTTCACAGTCCACTGATCATAGAAAATGATAGTTCCCATTCAGGTTAAAGTTTTTGGTCAATGTAGTTTTTGATGAAGTTGAAGTCCAATAAACTTGAAACTTATTACACATGTTCCCTATGATATGATCTTTTTAATTTTAATGCCAAATTAGAGTTTTGACCCCAATTTCACAGTCCACTGATCATAGAAAATGATAGTGCCCGCTTCAGGTTAAAGTTTTTGGTCAAGGTGATTTTTGATGAAGTTGAAGTCCAATCAACTTGAAACTAAGTACACATTCCCCAAGATATGATCTTTCTTATTTTAATGCCAAATTAGAGTTTTGACCCCAATTTCACGGTTTACTGAGCATAGAAAATGATAGTGCGAGTGGGGCATCCGTGTACTATGGACACATTCTTGTTTCTACAAATTTGGGGTTTATGGCTCATTAATCCCATTTTAATTTTTAGTTATCCTTCTTTAACCTAAAGTCTATAAAGTATATATCATAAAATATCATTTTCAATTGTTATTAAAAAGCTAAATATTATAAAAAGATCCCTAATACACCAATGGGAATTTTTGAAGGTCCATACACAAATTAAAAGAGCCAAGACCTCAGACATCAACAAGTTTAAATCCCTCACATTATTCATTTTCCCTAACGCAAGTTATGATGACAAGTGAACTATTAAATGAAGAGCAGCAATAAAAGTCCAGTATCTTTGTTCTATGGTTGTCTGATTTTATAATGTTTCATATATCTCTTTATTTTATTTCACTGGCAAACAAATAACATTTTTTCAAGTGCCTACAAAGTTTACAGTGATGTTTACATTTCCTAAGATTTATTACGTTTACTTTATGTCCAGTTGGTAGTTAGGATTCCATGCATATTCAATACAAGAACGTATTATACAATGAATAAATGAAGGAGGGTCTGATTAGTACGTTGACCAGGAGTCTAGTCATGAAATGCTGTACCCAAATTTTTGACATTTTTACATATTATGTCTGTTTGTTTTGCTCATACATTGTTGTCAATATAATGGAATTCTATGTGACTGTCATACAAGTTAGAAGTTAAGCTAGCTATGAAATCAGGTTTAATCCACCATTTTCTACATAAGGAAATGCCTGTACCAAGTCAGGAATATGACAGTTGTTTTCAGTTGAGCTTTTCATTTTGCAAATTTGATAAAGGACTTTCCGTTTTGAATTTTTCTTTTTTATAGAGTAGGATATTTTTGTTATTTTACTTTTCACTAGACAATATTGGCATTTGGATTTGACATCATAGCTTATTTTTATATAAGTGATATAAATTGAAATATTTCTTTATTATAATTTCTTTTGTTTCAACTAAATAGTATTTTTGTGTTGCAGGTTAAGTTGAGAGGAAGCTATAATTTTTTATTTCTTTGGAAAAATTAGTAGTGGCTCTCCTAAGCTTATGCTGATTAATTCCTTAAAGCTATCAGGATCAGGGATGGGGTAATCGTAATCTGTAATCGTAATCGATTGTAATTGATTACATGTTTCCCTGTAATCGACAGTAATCTGTAATCGTAATCGATTGTAATTGATTACATGTTTCCCTGTAATCGACAGTAATCTGTAATCGAAGACATTTTCGATTACACGTAATCGTAATTTAATCGATCACAGCAAAAATTAGGATGTAATCATCGATTACTTTCGATTACATTTCAATTACTTTTAGTGAAATAGTTTGATGAAATTAAACCTATTTTAAATGAAAATATATATGCATTCATCACTTTATAGTACAGATAAAATAGAAAGTATTTAGACTTCAGAGCTTATCAAATGCCTTATTTGTATCTATTGTCTCAAACTGCATTATGATCAACCAGAACTCCTGCCAATTTTACTGTATATCCAGCTTTTTAAACAATTGACTTAACTGTCTTCAATGCTTGTCAATTATTTAAAGACCTTTTATTTTGAAATAAGTAAATAGATAAAAATAAGAAATGAGTATTATGTTAAGTTCTGTACTACTTTGACATTGAAGTGTAATTTTCAATAAGATTTGGAATTTTAGCAAAACTAGATACACAGTGGATTCGTTATAATATTATGATATAAAAATCAGAAAGTACACATTGTACCAATTGATTTGCATTGAAATTCTTGTTCAGAAATAGATACATGTACCAAAATTGACACTAAAATGTATCTTGTTAAATATCATGATTTTGAATAGAGTGTAGAAAAATCCCAACAAATTCCTGTGTTAACTAATCAGATGATCAAGGACTTCTAATTATTAAGATGTTTTGATTTCAATTATGTCTAATTAAGAGGAGATTGACATTATATTTCCCAAGGTTATGAAATGTACTCCATTGGCAGTTTTATAACCTGTAATTAGGGAGATTATCCAAACAAAATAATTAATTCATGCATGTATTAGTTATAAATATAATAAATTTACATCTTTGAAATTAGCTGAACTAGTTAATTATTCTTCTTTTTACATTTTAATTGTTAAATATATACTAAATCAAATATAGTTAAAAATTAATAAATACAAAATACCTAACTTAAGTCATTATGACAGCAAAACTTGAAAAATATAGAGACATGTGAAATAAACTAGACTATAAAGAAGTGACTGAAGCCATGTGGTGTCATTGCAAGAACTTTATTACATCTCACTCATGTAGATAACCAGATTTTAAAGAATGTTTGAATATTTCAAATCCTCAGTGAGAGCTTCTATCTGGAAACAAACTGTCAACTTAAACTTTGAAAACAATGCTTTCAATGAAGTTTTGATCAAGTTATAAATTTCCCCTATACATAACAAAATGTTTGTGTTTAACTTACTTTATTATCTTATGTAATTTTATAGCATGTAATTGACAGTAATCGAAAAGTAATCCAATTACTTTTGATAAAGTAATCGATTGCAATCGATTACATACAAAAATCAGAGTAATCGATTATTAATCGAATACACAAAAATCCCTCAAGTAATCGATTACATTTGTCAGTAATCGTGCCCATCCCTGATTCAGGATACAAACAAGTCTTTTCTGAATGAACACTTTTAAAAATGTTTTTACCATAGTACCTTTGGTACTTATAGATTATTAGAATAAAATTAAAGATTATGCTTAGAGAACACAGTTGTCATTCTTCAATGTTTATATAAAAAGATTTAATCATTTAGTTTCAATCAATTTATTGTTGAATTATTCAAAAAATAATTCGACACAGCTGTCAACTTGTAATATATATGTATACCAAAAAGCAATTTTTAAGAGAGATTTTCACTCATACATCTAAATGAATTTGTACCATAACTGATCATGTGATCACTGAAAGGACCAGGAAGTACATGTAAATACTAAATCTGAACCAAGACTTTGAATTCTCAGATTACTGCGCCAAACTTTGGAAATATCATACTCATCTATTTGAGAAGAATTTCTGTTATGCCTCTGAATTTGTCCAATATTATATATCATGTATATGTGCTTTACTATTTCCACAATATTTAATATGGTTTTGACATCTGAAATGAATAAAGGGAGTTTGAGGTATACGTCTGTGGGAGAGAAACCCATCAGCTATGGTTAATATTTGGATAAAAAAAATATACTGAAAAACAAAATTCTAACCCAGTCGAAAATTGTTTTATTAAAGTCTTATAGAATTGTTAGTATGCTTTATTTGACCACTTTGCACTTGGATGACTTGACTATGCAGTTGGTCAAAATTTATGATCAATTGTACAGTTTGATTTGATAAAACAAGTCACAGAAAACAAATCCCAAAATGGTTCATGTCACATTTATCCACTTTGGTAGTTCTATCGCATAACATTGGTATGTACATTGTTCCAGTCTAAACTACACAAGATTTATATTTTTCCATGTCACTACGTATGATCATGACCATTTGATTAACATTATTTTGGATGAAGTATTCATCTTTTAAAATCCAAGTAGAATTCTTGTCTGGCTTGAGATGATGTAGAGTTAGCAGAACTATGAGTGTCAGTTATATCACATGTTGCTTTTGGTTTCCCATCTGTGCTTTTGTTCAAACCTGCAAAACCATGAGTAATTTTAAGACAAAGAAATAACATTTACATTAATTATAACTTTTACATAGCTATGAAACATGTTCAATGTAGCATGAAATTAATAAAGTACGCAAGGACATACTGAAATGTCAACTTCTTCAATCCTAACATGAACCTGTTTTACTGTCTTCCACTAGCATGCTACAAATCTGGATCAAATTATGTTGGTCTAGAAAAAGCAGTGTTCATATTCATATAAGCATGTTTTTAATATGATCATGTTTGAATAGGTACCTTCTGAACTTTAAAACTTTAAACTTACATCTATCTTTGGTATTAATAATTCTTGGATCAACATATGTTTATCTTTTTATTATACTTAAAAATAAGTAGCATTGAAAATTAATACTAATCTTACCCCCAGTTTAATTTCTTCTTCTTTCTTTTTGAGCTTTCCTCTTCTAATTTCTAAAACAACAGTTTATGAGTTAATTACATACATTATAAATTTATAAATCTTTTAACATAGAAAATTCTACAGACAAACCATAGTTGATCTAAAACTTATAATAATTGAGAAACTAATCAGATTTCTAGGATAGATGAACCCTGTCAAATGGACATGCACACCTTGAGAAACTAATCTAATCAGATTTCTAGGACAGATGAACTCTGTCAGATGGACATGCACACCTTGTAATATTCATGTAGATCAAATAAGTTTACTTATTTCTTTCAGTAGCACAATTTTTGAAACATAAAAATAAGAACAAGACCAATTAACATATATATGAAATGGAAATTTTAGACAATCAGCCATCTATGCGCACATTATTGAATGTCTAGATCTTCTGAAATACCAAAGCTTGCAAATGATTGATCCAGTCATCAGATTATCATAAACATGTCTCACATTTACTGACATTCATCTCAGGAAAGAAACATCTTCTTAAGATGCAAGTAAGTTACTGCATCTTCTGTCACTCAAAATAAAACATTATATATTTAAATTCCTCCTATATATCCTCTTTGAAGACTATAATCATTATTTTGAATGTGTTTTATGAATACATTGTATTATGATATGAAACAGATCAAAGGTTTTAAAATAAGAAAAATCACTCTGCTGCTACAAACAGCTTTATTTAATCAAAGAGCTGATTGCTCTGAGGTGGAAGAAGATGCATAAAAAGTAACTTGAATTACCATAAAAGCAGCCCACACCAACCCAGCCTGCTTTGTCCCTTTATTGCTTTCTACGTATATTTTTCTTCCAAAAATAAAAATACTCATAACTCAACCAAAACTCACTATACTTAACATAAAAATCTGCAAATACTGTTGATTCAAATTAAATTTTCTATAACTAAATTCCATACATTCGTCTCAGCATGGTCAACTTGAAAGCAATTTCGCCAAGCAATTATAACAGTAATTGATTTGGTTTCACTTGAAAGTTTTCTGTCAAAGGCAGATAGTTATCTTTAAAAAAAACTGACCACCAAGATTTTAGTCAAGTTTGCTTAAATAAGGGTTTTTCATTATAAACAAATATTGAAAAATTCTACATATATCCAATGCAGATATGTGTCAGGCCAAGGATTGACCGGTCATGTCAGGTGATGACCTTGCCATGTTATTGCGATAATGTAGAGTCAAGCGCACACGTGAATCTGCTGGTGTTTTACACATCAAACGATGCACCGTCAGTTGACAGAATCACGTGTGCGCTTGACTCTTTTAGCATTTCAAACCCGTTCATTTAAAGTGTTTGACCCATATATCATATTTGTTTTTCATCTAATATTTTTACACAAAAGTATGAGGATAGGAATGGCATTTTCCGTCAGGAGTCACACAGCCCTTTTCTGAAATTTTTCATAAAAATAAAACTATTGACAGCAACGAATTACTGGTTCCGTACTCGAGCCTCAATAGTGTGTCATTTTTGTGTGTACCTTAATGACGAATAACGGTAAAGAGCTGGACTATTCAGTTGTTAAATCCCGTTTTTATCACTTCTAAAACTTTGAAACGTATTAAGGCAATAAAGGCAATCATTGGAGACATTCCAACAATGAACGACATGAAAACTACGTACTTTCGAAATGGAATCCGTCAACAGACATTAGTTTGTACATTGATATTTCTGTCAACAGACGGTGCATCGTTTGATGTGTAAAACACCAGCAGATTCATGTGTGCGCTTGACTCTTCATTATCGCAATAACATACTTAAATATTCTAACTTTCGTTTTAAAAAAACACATGTTGTCTAAAACTGGAATATGACTTAATTGATTGCATAAAAGATCTGAACGCAGACGGAACAATTAAATCCGTGTATTTTTTCAAGCATCATTGATTTGAAGTCGTACTCTCCACGTATATACTTGGCTTTAACTCAAGATGGATTGTATGATATGACAATTGTGTTTATCATTATTTTGAAACTTTCAGATGCACAATTAAATTTCCCAATTGTGCACATGCGCATATACGTAACCAACGTGATTTAAATTAACCCGAATAATCCAGTTGTTTTATTCCGATGATTCCAATTATTAATCTACCAAAGACAATTATTACAACAATCAGTGAAAATTATTATCATGACCTATTAATGCTCCAAAACAAGCCATCAACTTTTAATTAATTTTTTTTCATGTGTGTTCATGAATTTCGAGAATTTATACCATATAAATATCTGAATAAGTTTATTAAACTTTAATACCCATAATATTATTATTTTTTAATAATTGCAATGACGTATAAAACGTCCTTGATAAAAGCAGTCAATATAATACTTCCACGATAAAAGTAAGGAGAAGTAACTCAGGGTGAACGTACTCTATGGGGACGAACTCAGGGCGAACGGACCAAGGGCGAACATGTAATCAGGGCGAACCGACCCGATACCAAATTCACGCATGCCTACTACAGACTTTACTTTAAAGACATCCGGTAACAAGTAAACAAATAACGTTCATGTAAGATGAGATGAAATCTAATAATTTACATAAATAATAGGGTTGATATTAATATATTAAAACATGAGAAATTATAACACTAACGATAGTGATCGTTTTTCAAGCCTAACTAATAAATTAAATGATTCAATGTGTAAACATCGGTGTCAAGATATGGCACGGAAGTTGCTATGAAATTGTAAAGCACAGAAAGGGATACGGCATACGTCCTGGTGACGGTTCAATGATTTTACAGCCGGCAGTAAAGGCTCTCAGAAGACTTGAAGTCTTCTTCCACCAAAAAATTACTTCTATAACAATTATTTAAAAAATTTTAAACCCAAAGCTAGCGTTGTATTACACAACGTAAGACACTGTCTCAAGAAAATTCCTCAGACTACCATTCCTTCACAGCATGGTTTGATTTCTATGAATGAAAACAGACTAAAGTCAATCAACTGGATATAAGATGTTAGAACCTTTATAGAGTTTTACATTGGCACTGTGTCTAGAGTTTCTGAGATTATACTTGAACTATGAATTGTTATTCATTACCTTTTTTTCCATGTAATCTTTAGCTGTAAAGGCATCTGCTATTTTCGTCCCAAACTGTTGCAAAAATAAATAAAAATAAGTAGATACAGAAACTAAAAATTCAGCAATTTTTCTATTTGTAAACACGCATAACTCTAGAACAGTTGTGTATTAGTTTTATAACATTTGGTTGAGACAAACTTAAGTTAGAGAACGGAAACAAAAATTGAGCAATTTTTATGTTTATAAAGGGACATAACTCAAAAATGGTAAAAGTGTCGCCACCAAATTTCGTACTTAATCTGTATTATGTAGTAATAAGCATTGTGTATAAGTTTCATAACATATGGTTGAGGCAAACTAAAGTTAGAAACTGGAAACAAAAAAATTGTACTTGATCTTAGTTTTGTGGTAATGAATATTGTGTATAGGTTGCATAATGTTTGGTTGGGGCAAACTTAAGTTACAGAATGGAAACTAAAACTTTTGCAATCTTTTGATTTATAAAGGGGCATAACTCAATACTGGTTAAAGTGACACTACCCAAATTCAGCTTGATCTGTGTTTTATCAGTGGAAGTCAAAATTAAACATTGCATTGTATAAAGCATTCATTGTAGTTGATTCAACTATAATCATGGACAAAGGAAGATAACTCCAATTTTAAAAATTACTTGATATTTAGAAGAAAATAAAAATTTTGCAATTTTTCCATTTATAAAGGGGCATAACTCTAGAACTGTTAAAGTGACGCCACCAAAATTCAAACTTGATCTGTGTTTTGTGGTAATAAGCATAGTGTATGAGTTTCATAACATTTGGTTGAGGCAAACTTAAGTTTAGAAAACGGAAACTAAAAATTTAGCAATTTTTCTATTTATAAAGGGGCATAACTCTAGAACAGTTAAAGTGACGCCACCAAAATTCAAACTTGATCTGTGTTTTGTGGTAATAAGCATTGTGTATAAGTTTCATAACATTTGGTTGAGGCAAACTTGAGTTAGAGAACGGAAACTAAACATTTTTGCAATTTTTCCATTTATAAAGGGACATAACTCTAGAACGGTTGAAGTGACGCCACCAAAATTCAATCTTGATCTGTGTTTTGTGGTAATAAGCATTGCATTTAAGTTTCATAACATTTGGTTGAGGCAAACTCAAGTTAGAGAACGGAAACCAATTTTGGGACATACGTACGTACGAACGTACAGACTGACAAGGGTAAAACTTAATGCCCCCACCGCTACGGCGGAGGCATAAAAATAAATTTGTTTTCAGCACAATATTTCATGTTTTTTATGTATAAACAGAGAGATTATTGTTGGTATTACTTTGACAACTACATACCAAAGATAATATAACTAGGAAGTAAAATAAAGTGACTATATTGACTTGAATAAGTTATAGGTTAAACAATTACTATCTCACTGGGAGTCAGGAACTGAACTATTGTAATGTGTCCTTTTTGTGACAGGCATGTCTAAAATTGGGAAGAGTTTAGAGGTGGTCAATAATTTCGGAGGGCTCACCTCCCCTGATACTATTCAAAGTACTTTAAATTCATTCAAATGACTTGAATGTAATTTTTATGTGTGCATATCATTACTTACCCCGGTATTGTAAGTCTTACTAAATGAAAAAAAATATGCAAAGTATGCACATTTCTATTTACTATAGGTCGTATAGAACTAAAGCAAAAACAAAATTATGTAACTTTTCACATTTTGCCAAACAAAAAGGTTACATCAAGGTTTTTTTCCAAAAATCATCTAACTATATGTCATGAAGCTTGTTTTCTTCTAATTTTGTAAGAAAGATTATGTGCAAAGGAAAAAACCTGGACAACAAAATTTTAAAACAAAATAAAACGAGATATTTTATTAAATGCTCTGAGGAATTAATAAAAAAAAGTACCTTAGTTATCATTTTAATTTTCTAGCGACATAAACAATACATGTGTATTGAATAGAATTTAATTTGTAATAAAAATCAAATTTTCTGAGTTATCTCCCCTCATAAATCAAATTCTTTAAATCATCAATATTTTATCTGTTCTTGTAATATATATGGTTTAAAAATTTATTATCCCAAAACTTCTCAATATGTACATGTATGAAACAAGCTAACATAAATCTTATGACTGACTATCTTATCAGTTATATCTAAATACCTCACGAGTAGCTAATCTATCGCTAAGTTTTTCTGCTGTGTTAAATTCCCCTAATTCTATAGCATGATCAATTTTCCTCTCTAATCCAGTCCTGGGAGCTGCACTGCCTCTATTAATACCCTTTAGATGGTCATTTACACCTAAATATTGGTTTAATACTTTAACATCTGTTGTAGTACTATCTTTTTTGCTAAAATGATTTGAAATAATATGAGATTAATTAACAAATTTTACTTTCACAAAGAAAACACATGACTTCATATGATAGTGTGTATTCTTAATATAATCATTGGTAATGATTTTCTCATCAACACTTTAATTTAGCATCACTATAGTTAAAAGTTTGAAGAAATCACTTCTGTCTGTTCTGCCAGCATGTTTTAGTAAGTTTGTCAAGGTATGTGGTTCATCAAGCAGGGTAGGGAAACACTGATAAATGAAACGACACACAGTTGGATTCAACTCCATTAAGGCATAAGCAGACAAAATTTATCAGTCTTTTCCTGACATTAAAAGAACAGTCTTTCCTATACAAGAAAATATTCAACATCTACACTGATTTGAAGCAAACGCAGTTATTTTATCATTCTCCAACCCCTAAAAGTGTACTATATACATACAATCAAAATGCACAATTCATGTACATCTACATGTAATATGAGTGCACACTTAGTATTTATGAATAACAGGTGACATAGGGTATACAATATGAGAGCGCAACCAATGACACTATTCTGACTCCAGGTCTTTGTTGTTACTACCGAATGCTGAGTACCTGGCTGAGAAGAAGCAAATTCCAATCTTAAACTCTTTGATTTAATACAGTTGAAAATTGAGGCCATGACCTCCTGCATTTCAGGTGAGCACACAACCATTAGACTATAAAGGTGGTTGACTAGTTTGCAGTAAAATCATGTTATTTGCAAATAAATATAATAATTCATTTAAAATAAAATCTAGCAGAAACTTGATTAAAACTGTGGATTATATCAAGTTTAATTTTTCCCTGAATAAAAGAAACAAACAGGTTTTACAGCAGATGTGAAGTATTCCAAACATTGGTTATCTTCCTTTGTACCTGTTGTTACTTGTTCTTGTTTCATCAGCATCATCAGAAAGCAACCGTTTTCTATTATCAACAGAAGGACCAAATTTCACATCATATTTTCTCAGAATTTCTCTGTCTTCTGGTAAGGTTATTTCTTGGTGAACTAAAAAAATATAACCTTGTAAAAATTCTGCAGAAATTATTTTATAAATTGGTCATCTACTCAATTATTATTATTTCTGCTATTTGATTTCTCATCAATTATTTAGACATTTTCAGTTGATAGATTCTCAAAGCCTTGAAAAATATACTATATAGAACATATATATAACATGTATAAGCTTTTCATCAAATGCTAAGTCGAGAAAGATCAAATAAACAAGACCCATACTGGGTCTGGACCTCCGTCGATGCATGCAGTTGATTGAGGTTACATGTTTTCAGGAGCATAACTGATCATTCCCAGACCAAATATTAAAATTATTCACTTCAATTGGAGCCAAGAAAAGTTTGACAGAAATTTTCCTTGTTCAATGAGTGATGTAAAATTTCAAACTATCGGCAAACAGGTAGTGACTACATGGCAGATGCAAAAATTGCTTACTCGCTACAACTCAACATTATCAAGCTGCCAACCAAATATTAAATCATTCATAGAAGCCAAGAAAACTTTAACGAAAATTTTCCTTGTACAATAAGTGTTGTAAAATTTCAAACTTTTGCCAAACAGAAAGTGGCTACAAGGCAGATGTAAAAATTGCTTACTCGCTACAACTTAACATAATCAAACTGCAGACCAAATATTAAATCATTCCCTTTCATAGAAGCCATGAAAAATCTAATTTTTCTTCTGGGATGGGTAAGAGGTGTGTTCTTGGATGGGTAAGAGATGGGTTCTGGGATGGGTAAGAGATGTGTTCTGGATGGGTAAAAGATGTGTTCTGGGATGATTAAGAGATGTGTTCTGGATGGGTAAGCAGTTTCTGTTCTTTGTGTGGCCTTGATCACTTGTTCGTACAAGAATTTTGAATAATTAGCTAAACATTTATCATGCTTGATTTTACATGTTATAAATGATTATTTGAAAGATTCTCTGTCAGATATTCAAGATTAACCAGATCCTGAAACTAACATAATTCACTGTAAGAGCCGGTAAACAGAAGAATCAAAGTGCTTGTCAGCACAGAATGGTAAAGATTGAATTCATTTTGCAGTTGGAGCTAAAAAATAAACATTGCATTGTATTAAGCATTGGAAGGCAATACTATGAATTGGAACTATAATTGTAGTTGGTTCAGCTATAATAAGGACAAGGGAAGATAACCCTAATCATAAATATTGCTTTACATTGCTTTAGAGGTGTAATACCACCATTGATTTTCCCCTATTAGTCTTTGTTCAATTTGCACTTTTCAAAAAATAGTGTAGAATTTATCAAATAAAGAAATACTTGGCATGAGTAAAGTTTTATCCTGTCCAGTACTATTGACAAAATTTCACATAACATTTCATTGCATATAAGAAAATAACCATCACTGGAAGTAAACCAATCAAATTTTCACCCCTTTTTTTTCCTCGTGTGTACAAGCTTTAGTAACCATGTAACCTCAAGTTTCCAAAATATTCTATAGAAACACCAAATAAAAAAATAAGGGTACTTTGAAACACTCAAGATATATGTTTATGACTCAGAAATTTTTTACTGCAACGAAATGTAGGACTAATTTCCTACATCTGTCAAATTCAAGGGAATATTTTTTTCGACCCTTTTTCGTATGCAACCGGATGTGACATACTATGATTTGGTGGTATTACACCAAGAACAAAATTAAGAAATAATTCCTTCATGTCATGCTCTAAGCTCATTTTAACAAAGGTAGGCATTATGTTTGACCATATTTTACACCTCATTTAATTATTTCGATTCTGATAGGAATAATATATTAATACAGCCTTTTTATAAGTCGAAGTGTACGAAAATACCATAGGAATGTTTGGCTGTTCCTGTTTCCTCCCCATGAACTATGTACATTTCTTTTTCATATTTAATAAGTTTGAAAACTAATAGCAGGGTGAATATATGATGTTTTAATAAAAATATATAATAAAATCTTATGTAAGCAGCTAAAATATATATATTTTATTAGGCTAAAAATGAAAACAAAGAGAATGTAAACAGTCAGTTCGTGCGCATGTGTCAAACATATTTTGTGCCAATTAGAACACGGCTTTGTTTACAAAGCGTAATAAGGACATCATATTAGAATAGCAGATTCATGCACAATTCATGTAATTTTCTTGACAAGTATGTTATACACATATACATAATTTTGTAACTTGAATATCTGAATCTATATTGATAACTATTAAAGTCAGCCCCATAAGGGTGTTGATTGACCTAAGAAAGCCAACAGTAGCCTTAAGTTTGGTGAGAATGTCCCAAATTTGCTTGCCAGGATTATACTGTCTAATTAACATATAACTCTCGCACACCTTCTTTTATTCCTATTACAAATTAAATTGGAAATTGAACCATACCAAAATTACTAGATGAACATATCATTAAGGCCTATCATTACTTACTATACCTTACAGGTTTTGCTCATTGTTGAAGGCTGTAAGATGACCTATAGTTGCTTAAATCTATGTCATTTGGTCTCTTGTGGATAGTTGTCTCATTGGTTATCCTACTACATCTTCTGATTTTTAAATACATATTGACAGACAAAGATACAATGAAATTTCTGTCCAAGGAGTATTCAGGGTTGGGTAGAACAATATTTTCTCTTAGTCAAATGGCCATGTAGAAAAATAAACACCACCTTTTAAAATTGGTGAAGATTAGTATAATAAAAAAACCTCTATATGTGGTTAGAGTCATCTATGAAGTCTCTACAGAAAGATTATACCTTTCTCTTTTATGGATTTTTGCAGGTATTTTAATCTTTTCTCTCTTGATCTTTTTGTCATGTCATCTGTTCTTTTTTCTATTGCTTTGAACCTCTACAAAAAAGATAGTAAAATAATTGCATTTCATTTGAGACCAGAAAATTAATGAGTGCTAATGTAAAGCAAAATATTGTCCTCCAAGATAATATTTCATGACTATGTATCATGAAATATTGTCCTCATCTATGAAAAAATGTCCAGAGTAGGACAAATTTCCATAGTGATATTTTGTCTGTATATAGACAATATTTCACAGATAAATACTATGAAATTTTGTCCTGTTAAAGGGAGGTTATAATTTGTGTGTATTGAGACAATATTTCATAGACAGATTGTAATGAAATTTTGTCTCGTGAAGGGGAGGTTATCAACAGATATCATGTTGGATAATGATATCATTAAAGTGTTTTATTTGACTGATAATAACAAATAAACACAAATTAATATTTCAGTTACATTGTACTACTGTACCTCCAAAACGCTGTCGCAAAAAGATTAGTCAATCTAGTATTTACGTATACTATTAGAATATTCAATTTTGAACATAAATAAGTGATTGTCAGTACATTACTTATATTTATACAGTAAAATGTAGTACAAAGGAACATACATTAGACAATTCTTTAATCTATAATTAACCATTTATAACTTAGTATCTATGCAAATTTGAAACTAGCTTATGTTAGAATAAATATTAGTTTGTCCTTTGATATACATAAAATACTTACTTTACCAAATAATTTCAGTTATAAGTCTAAAAATGTGCATGCTGCATGCTTTTGTACTATTTTTAATTTTGTAATAGTTTGATTAAGAAATATATTTTCATGGACAGTATTTCACAGTGAAATATTGTCATGGACAGAATTTCACAAAGAAGTATAAATGTCATAATAGACAGTCTTTCATAGTGAAATATTGTCATGGACATAATTCATAGTGAAATATTGTCATGGACAGAATTTCATACTGAAATATTGTCATGGACAGAATTTCATAATGAAATATTGTCCAGAAGGAGGTGACAAAATTTCATGGACAAGGACACTATTTCATAATGAAATATTGTCCTGGAAATAGTGTCCACAGACAATATTTTATATGAAATTTTGTCCAACGGACAATATTTCATTGGGGACAATATTTTATGTTACACTGAAAGCACACTTTTATTATATATGTTTTTTTCTGCATGTTTTGTTTAGATTAAAAGGGTTAAGATCTTAGAAGAACCTTGTTTGACTCTGAAACATGATCATGTGCCTATATCTCAAAACAGGTTCCACATCAATCGTTGCTTTTTGTAATATATCTGTCACTTTGGGAATATGGTAGTTGATGGCAGATTTTTTTTTAGTCTCAGTTTAATTTATTTTAGACTCAGGATGACTTAGAGTTTTTGTTGAAGACTCCCAGTGTAATGTATTTAACCTACATGTTGTATATTGAGCAGAGCAGCTGACATATTTTATATTTATACAAGGACAGCCTGATAATCAATTAATAAATGTACCTGTATACATGTATGTGGGGAGGTTGTGGGTTCGAACCCTGGCCGCATCAAACTGTAAAGTATTATAACCAGTAAGGCGTTTATATCATAAATGATTCGTTCCAGTTAATACTTGGATTCAAGCTGTCCTTAAACAATACGGTGATACCAAAAATCTACAACTATGTATATTTATGCTATATCAGTCAGGGATATAACTCTATAGGGTTATTACAGAAAAATAACATACATTTGTTATTGTGGACTAAAAAATCAAAGAACTGTGATAACATATGTATGTTACATGTTTCAAAGAGACAATATAAATCACTAGTTTAGTTAAAATGCATACAAGTTCTATTGATATTACTATTGTCTTTATGTATACTTAACTATAGAAAGATATAACAGTTCATAGTTTGCCAATTTTGCAAAGTACACCTATATGTTATTACAGAAAAAATATGCCTGTAATAACTAAAGGGTGTTATCACAGCTTCTCTATATCACTCCAAAGCATTTTCTCAGACGTAAATCATGCTTAATTACAATGTATTTTAATTTATTGTAAGAAATAATGACCAGAGCATATAATGAGGTTCTGCGCAAGCTTCCCAGTAATTCCCAAGTGTCTCATATAATAGGTTACATTCCTTTAATAACTAAGCTATTTTATTACAGCTAATTGTATCCCTTAAAAGCCTCATCTCATTGATTTACCATGGTTAATCAAAAATGTATTAATTTAATTAAAAAATTAATTATCAAGGCTATGCATTTAGTTTCTGCACAAAGTCTCAAGAGTTCCCTAGTGTTATGTATATGTATGGTCGTATGTGTTTTATGATAAAGTCGTGAGAGTTGTGTCCCTTTGTATAATGATGCATATTTGTCATGTGATGTTATCTGTCTCTTTGAAATAAACGTGCTATGGAAATAGATGTTTTTGTTGCTCCGAAGCAAATATAACTTTAGCGGCATGGGGAGGCAAGTATATGTCCCCCCATGTACGTAATATGGTGGAGGACTTCAAAACGGTCCCTTTGAGTGTATTTTATGTGAGCTGTCCCCAAAGATGAAGAATCAACTTTCTAAAAGTCTAAACCACGAGGCTGGCGGCGCCATTATTAAATTTTGACCATGTTGAAATCTTGGAATTTTCGTTCAGTGGAGTATAGCAGTACCATGCAGTTGACACTGGAACCAATTTTTGGATTTTATGTTAAATTTTGATGTTTTTAATTTGGATTTAGCCAATATTCAGAAGTCACCATGGGAGTTTTCATCAACAAAAGAAAACGGTAAAATTTAAGGAACTGTTTTTAAACTACATTGTACATGCATATTAATATCAAAAGTATTTCGCAATTGTTTACTGTCATCTGAACTTTAATTATCATTTGGACTGTTGGACGCGATCGAAATTTCTACACAAACAATTAAACTTTTAACCGCAATTTGGCGTTGGTCTAACATCAAGAAATACAGCTGTGTATGTTTATGTGTGCAGAAAACTGTAGCATGTGTCATGTGACGTCCCGGCCTATCATCTTAAAGTACTTGGAAAATAGTTGCTTAGTAATTGGCATTATCTTTAGTAACTAATCAGCTTGACCTATATGTGTATTTAGGATTTAGCAGGGAAAATGTGTTACAGTTTTGAACTATTTAAATTCTACTACAGACGGTACGTGTGAGATTTATCTCGTCGTACGCTACCCAAGGACAAACACGGACTTATTTCGAATATTAATTATGAATTCAATTTTGTCTCAAGGATTTTTCTATGAATTATCTGGTATGAGTGTATTGTTTATACACAACATTTCTGTTAACAGTTGGACTGATTTGACAGCGGATTGTCAGTAGCGATGGGATAATAGTCATAAATAAAACCTAGGTTGATATTGACATTTCTGGAGCTTTTCATTTGTTTCATCTTTATTTTATTTTTGTGAGTGTGAAGTATGAGAGATTGGACATGTTAGAGAGGGAGAATTAGTCGTATTTTCTTTTACTGACATATGTTACTTATGAAGTGTTTCATTGATGTAATATTTACCATTTTTCTAAGAGTTAAAGGTCTCTGATGATTATCTATCATTTTGTTGTATACAGCTACATTTATGACAATATTCTAGTATTTTCCATTTAGTAGACGGAGTAAATGTATCAAATGCATATTTTTTTTTTGTGTTGTTGAATGGACGTAATGCATGCATAAGGTCCTAAGGGGGAGATCGAGATGCCAGACGTTCGGATTTTTCTGCATTGTTGATACTGGTGTGTATGCCAATGGATGCTGGATGTGAGAACTGGTCAGCCACGAACATTTCAGTTATTATAAATGTATTTACAAAGATTATTTGGAAACTGAATTTAGTCTTATACGGAAGTGATTATATATAGTTTGAATTTATAGTGCAATTTTTCTTCTTCTTGAAATTGTATATGGATAAAACACATACACCTTTTGGATAAAATTTGGGAAATTTTCTTTTTGGGGCGGGGATGTTATGTATATGTATGGTCGTATGTGTTTTATGATAAAGTCTTGAGAGTTGTGTCCCTTTGTATAATGATGCATATTTGTCATGTGATGTTATCTGTCTCTTTGAAATAAACGTGCTATGGAAATAGATGTTTTTGTTGCTCTGAAGCAAATATAACTTTAGCGGCATGGGGAGGCAAGTATATGTCCCCCCATGTACGTAATACTAGAGCCCATTATAAATTAAAATATTTTTGATTTATTTTACAAATAACAAACATATGTTATTACAGATTTAGAAAATTTAAGGAATAAAGAGGAGACAACTCATGAAAGTATCTGTAATAACACATGCAAGTTATTTTCTGTAATAACCCTATAGAGTTATATCTCTGACTGTATATACAACGAACTAAAATATATATTCTCAAGCGCTAAACATGTATCGATTCTTCGTATTTGTAACCTTAGCCAATACATTACAAAACCAAAGACTTTAAAATTGGTATTTGCTGCTTCTCCGCTAAGCACAGCACACACCATTAAGGAATAATAGCAAAGACTGGTCGGCTCGGAGTCAGTATAATGTGTCCAGGTAAGGTGACATGTCTTTGGTTCCATGTCTTCCTGCGAACTGTTACCTTGTGAACTAGCATGTTACAAAACAGGCTCAGCATCATGGTCTAGTACAAAGCAGGGTTAATATTCATATATTTTGACATACTACATTAACATGTTCTTGTCCTGAATATGTGTATTATTTCTGAATATGTATATTGATTTGACGCTAGACTTTAAGTAGCCATCCATCATCATTACCATGTTAACTAAAACAGTATACAAAATGTACTAGTAAAAATCTGACTCATGCAGCTTGTATAGTACAAAAACAGGATTCATATTCATACCACAATAACATGTTCTAGTCTTGAGATTCATGTAACATTTGCCACTGGACTTTAAACATCATCAATCATCATCATCACAAAGATCTCAGTTTCTTTTAGATCAGGTTATTTAATAGTGTAGGCACATGTGATTTGCCGTACAAATGTGGATAGTAAACCTCCATTGACACAAGTGCCTGTGAGTGTAGGATATAAATTTGATTTGATAATCGTACTTCTAATAAATGAACTGGAACATTTGACGCCCTTTTCTCTTCTTTGACTTCACGTTTATCTGTTTCTTGTGTTCTTTCTGGTCCGACTAAGAGAAATTGCTCGTCATAATTTTCCATTTTTAGCACTTTCAGGCTGCCGCAGTTTTAACATGGTCTTCCCGAACCGTAGGAGAATTATCGACAATATTAAACTTCCGGAACGCTTCACGTGCTGAATCATTCGACAAAGCGAAAGTTGAAGGAATTTCTAACCTGCTTTAAAGTGCTCTAAGCACTTCATGTCATTAAGATTGATAGGGAGACTAACACATTTAAAGCCATCAATTAAGTTGAAATTACATCTCCAATTATCTCCAAAATTTGCAATTCAGAAACATATTGTGCAGCCACTTTCTCACTTCTGTAAGTTTGTATATTGCAAGCCTGCCGTTTTAAAAAGTTGGATTACAGCAGATTTTTCAAGAATATTTAATCACCAGTCAACATCAGCTATGCCAGAAGCAAAACCATTCGAGAGGTTGCCACAGACCCTGTCACCGGTCAATTACAATATTCGTTTGAAACCAAATTTGAAAGCATTCACATTTGAAGGATCAGAAGATATTGATATTGAGGTATAGCCATACAGCTCCTTATCACATATTGCATTTTTATTTTACAAAATTTTGAGTGTAATAAGTATTAAAACAAAATAAATAAAATTATTAGGAGCAAGTGCTACCTGATGGTGATATCAGAGACATATAATACAAGAGATTCGCAACTCGGCGAAATCCCGTAAAAACACGCGGCCACTAGTTAAACCTCGCGAGATCTCCTTAGGTAATAAAGTCATGAATAAAAGTATTAAAAGTACTCGAAGTAAGGACGAATGTTTAAGCATAACATAAACTGTTTCAGTGTTAAATTTATCATAATTAATTAAATAATTTGAGTTCATATATAATTATTTATTTTAATGTAATTTTGATTTAAGATTTGTATTATAGAAAAAGAGACATAATTTGATATTGTATTTTAAAAAAAAACTGATAGTAAATAATTAACACTTGATAAATTGTGTCAGAGTTCATTTTATTTGATAGTTTCATAATAGGTTTCCATTGAATATACACCTGTCTCGGAGACATAATTTCACAGTGTGACATGTATATTAGGTTTGAATTATTCGATGACCAGGTAAATCACGAACATGTTATAAATAATGAGTTTTAATTGACATCCTGTAAACAAGAAGTTGTTACACCACAGGTGTCCACACACGATTTCCAAAAATACAATTCACAAAATGTAAAATTAATGTGGAAAAAAAGTTAATTTATTTGTTAATTAATTGTTAATCATGAAAAGCTTTGTTTTCTATTCTTGATATTTATAAATTATTAAAATTTTATTTATTTTTATATTCATCATTAATTGGGCTTGCATTGAGTTTTTTCTGTGGGATTGCCGGTAAATGTTTGATTTCTAAGAGTTGTTTGACAGTTTCTTCATAGGCTTGCATTGAGTTGTTTTTTAATTGATTGTCGGTAAATTTATGGTTTCTTCATGTTCGAAGTGTGTATTGAGAATTAATATTTAAGAAAATTACATTTAATTTCTCATTTGAATAAAGCTTCATTCATGTGCACGCAATATGGAAAATTCCGATTTTATTTCGTGGGATGACAATCTTAATAGTTACTACTTAGATACTCTCCTAGTTGATAAAACTGATAACGAACTCTTTGTTGATAGTGAAAGTGACGAAGACATAAGCGAGAGACCCACCAACAAAAGCAATTGACAATACTGCATACATAGATGGATATGTGTGTCCTCGAAGCAACAAAAAATCTATAAAAAAACACAACATTGAAGTGGGAGCCGAGGTCATACATCAAAGCAACATGGAAGACACTATTTAAAAAGTTTTTTATAACCTTTTTTCCACGAGACAATCATTTGTAGTGGTTTTTGTCTTTAAATCATTTGTAGTGGTTTTTGTCTTTTTTATTCTGGGGTAAAGAGATGGCAGTTTAAAAGTAAGTGTGTATACATATACAAATCCTTGGTGTAAATACATTTTTTTATTATCAAATATATATATATATATATATAACTTTTGCAGTCACCATTGAAATGTCCTTAATACGATTTTAATTTAAAAATGAATAAGTTCATGATTGAATGAGAAGCGTAGTCTGAAACGACAACAGATGCATGAAGCTCATTCATAATATTACGACCAGCAGAAGGTTTCCTTTACTAGGAAAATTTTACTCCTTTTGTAAATTTACTGCATTCGTTCATCTTTGGCACGCCACCCTAAAAGGAAGAAAAAAACAATGACTTCAGAATAGGAGATTTAACAGTCTTCGAATTTAGCCACAAGTCCGACGGTCCTGGCCAGTAAAATCGGCCGCGGACTTGTCAAATTTGTTGTTCAAAAGTCCGACTGGGCTTGTAGATTTTTTGGTAGTTGGTACGCTCTTTGCGTCTTTGGTAATTAGTGATACCAATAAATCGGTTTCTATTTTGCGCTTTTTCACATGAATTAAACGTATTGCGATAAATACTGGATCGAGACATTGTATGAAATGACAGATCATTGGTTTCCTTCCCCCTAACTTATATTCCCAAAATGTTTCTTCGGCAATGTACTGGCGGAGCTCGTCCGGGGAAGCCGTTTTAGCCCCCCGCCGATGAAAATGTAAGGAGGAGAAAGTACGACGCTACATGGTCGCGTCAGTTCCTTTCCAGTTGGTAAGAAGGAAGTCTGTGGTTGATGTATGAGTTGAAAAACAAAATGTTCTGTTCATGGTGCACAGAACATAAAATGGATTCACAGTTTGTGACCCCAGGTAGTGACAACTTTAAACTGGATACTATTAAAATTCACGAGAAGAATAAGAGTCACAAATTTATTGCTCTAAATATGAGAAGCCTGCAGCTGAACCATCAGAGGCTAAAAAATGTTACAGCATTCTAGAGAAGGCACCTTCTTTCTAAATTTTTAAGAGAATAAAATTATTATAACAGCTACTTTTTACTTTTTTCTCCAATTGTCAATGTTATTCCTATTAAATTTATCTTCAAAACATGACACTCAAAGCTCTCAGAATGCAGGATTTTGCATCTAATTTTTCAAAATTTTTCTGGGGGGCATGCCCCCAGACCCTCCTAGCTGGTTCGCAGCGCTTTGCACTGCTCAGCGGTGATAATAATTTGTGTGGTCTTGTAGAATTTTCTGGGGACTTGTAAAAATTTATGAACCACAAGTCCTACTGACTTGTAGGTTGAAAAGTTAAGTGTGAAGACTGGGAGAAAATAAACAACTTTGCCATAAACAGAATGAAAAATGAATAAATTGCCAAACAAAATGCAGGCTATAAATTTCATAGTGCACAAAAATGAAGAACTGATTTAAGGAAATTTGTCCATGAACAATTTCAATATTTAGCCAGTTTAATAAAAAAAAAAAGAAATTGGGAGTAATATATATCCTAATAATATGACATATTTATTTGTAAATTTCTAGTTTTGACGAAACAGATTGAAATAATTAGCATAGCTGGCTTTGTGTATAAATAACAAAATAATAGTCACCTTTGTTGATATTTTTAGAAATAACTGTTGGATCAAATTTTACGAAACTGGTCTTATTTTAACGACATAACATCTGAGAGTAATATAGCCCCATACAATTGAATATTTATTCGCACATTTCCAAGTTTTACGAGATAAAATGATAGTTCCAGCACAGCTGGCTTCGGGTATCAATAAGAAAAAATCGCCACATTTGTTGATAATTTTGAAAAAAAAACACTTTAGGATCAAATTTTACGAAAATAGCCTTATTTTCACGAAACAACATTTAGGAGTATTATTGCCCCATAAAATTATATATTTATCAGCATATTTCCAAGTTTAAAGAAAAAAATTGGGAGATCAAATGGTTTCTACGGCAATAGGAGGTGAAGTAAAATGGGCCGAGTTTTAACTTTGTTTGTATTTGATTAATCTCATCATTAGAACACATTTTATCAATAACAAATTATTAGAATTCGTTTTTTGTAATTTTTAAATATACTTGCATGCTTTAGCTGTGAAAAGTATCGGCATTATCCATTATAAAAATCGTTAGGCGTAGGACCTTTTTCACAACAATGGCGGATTTTACCCAAAAATCCATCGGTATAATCAGCTTTCCAGTGGCCAAGTCATTTCATTGGCTGTTGTATAGACTCTACTAGAGTTGTGAATCTCTTGTATTATATGTCTCTGGTGATATGCTCTTGAAGGTTCATGTGGACCCTTCGTCTAAATGGGTTCATTTTCACCTCAAAATTTACTTTGAGTGCAGACAAAACTGTGCATCTGGGAAAGTTAATTTCCTTATGTTTTAAGGAAAATTTGAGCTAATGACCACAGCCACAAAAGGGCAAATAAATAGCTAATTGATTTCAATTAATTGTATATACATGTAGCCATAGTATTAAATCGGTAACAAAATATTCTGAGCTTGACTTTGTTTCCTGTATTATTATTTCATATTTAAAACAGTTCTAATATTCAGAGATTTAGATAAGTATGGAGTGGTTTTATTAGAAGCTAATACAATGTTTGACATCAACTTAATTGCCAGTTAGGCCTAAAAAAAATATATGTCTGTTTAAGGTTACATACTTTAAAAAAATTTACAACGGAAATAAAATGACTTAGGGTCAGCGCTCAAAAGTAGGGTCGGTCGGGTAACCGTAAACAGACATATATTTTTTTTTGGCCTTAGAAAAGTTATCAGTGGGAACTACCATGACAATGTACATCCCACCTTTTCATTTTTTTTCAAATCAGCCTGGTACTTAACAATTTGATATTTGCTGTTTATTTTAGATAGAGAGAAAAAAGATAAGGTTACACTAGTGTTCTTCTTGTTTCAGGTGGTAAAGCCTATATCAGAAATAACTATTAATTCTGTTGAGATAGAAGTGCAAGAGGTGTCTTATGTTGCCAATGGTAAGAAAATTTTAACAAACAATACTTAATAATTTAGAGACTAGACAGACAGACTGCTAAAGTATATTCCAAATAATTGTGATTTAAATATTTCATTATGTTTCATGATGATAACAGTTAAAGTGTCCTCTATTCCTGCAGATATTTAGTTGATTGTTGAGATTTTATATTTATGTCCTTTTTGGTCATATAGCTATACAACGGTTTCGGTTCTTATACATCCTTGGTTTTCAAATATTCTGCTTAAAGCATTCCTGAGTGATGAAAGTAAATCCAGGTTTCATTTCTTTATCTTAAGTTTGCCTCAAACGTATGTTATGAATCTTATACACAATGCTTATTACTACAAAACACAGATCAATTTGAATTTGGGTGGCATCACTTTTACCCTTCTAGAGTTATGTCCCTTTACAAATGGAAAAATTGCTGAACTTTTCATTTCTGTTCTCTAACTGAAGTTTGCCTCAACCAAATGTTATGACTCTTATACATAATGCTTATTACCACAAAACCAAGATCAAGTTTGAAATTTGGTTGCATCACTTTTACCGTTCTAGAGTTATGCCCCTTTACAAATGGAAAAATTGCTGAATTTTTCGTTTCTGTTCTCTAATTTTATTTTTCTACAACCAAATGTTATGAAACTTATACACAATGCTTATTACCATAAAACTCAGATCAATTTGAATTTTGGTAGCGTCACTTTTATTGTTCTTTATGTCCCTTTATGATGTTATATGTAAGCTGAGGCATCATCTGTGTCCCATGGGCACATTCCACATTTATTTTAAGGATAAGTTACAGATCACAATGCAAAGTGAATGCAACTTGACCTCTCAGGACTCCCAAGTCCCAAGTGCTTTGATTTTTGTTTTTGGATTGCTGTCTCTTTAACACACTGCACATCTTGGTTTAATCATGATAAGGTAAAGTCAAAACCAATTCATTTTTAGCTCACCTGGCCAATCACCGAAGGGCCAAGTGAGCTTTTCTCATCACTTGGCGTCCGTCCTCCGTCGTCCGTCGTCGGCGTTAACTTTTTATACGACCGCAAAAAAATTTTGTGGTCGTATATTGGTATGACGTTGGCGTCGTCGTCGTCGTCGTCGTCGTCGTCCGGCGTCGTCGTCGTCGTCCGGCGTCGTCGTCCGAATACATATTGGTTTTCGCACTCTAACTTTAGTTTAAGTGAATGGATCTTTTTGAAATTTGACCATAAGGTTAAATACCACAAAAGGAAGGTTGGGATTGATTTTGGGGGTTATGGTACCAACAGTTAAGGAATTAGGGGCCAAAAAGGGGCCAAAAATGAGCATTTTCTAGTTTCCAGACAATAACTGTGGAACGGTGTATGGATCTCTCTGAAATTATACTACAAGTTTCCATACCACAAAGGGATGGTTAGGATTTGCTTTGGGGGGTTATGGCTCAAACCGTTTAGGAATTAGGGGCAAAAAAGGGGGAAAAACAAGGTTGTCCTGGTTAATGGACAAATACTTTAGTACAAAACATAATTTAAAGCAGTGTAAGGGAGATAAATCAAATACATCATTGAAATTATCTCCCTTACACTGCTTTTAAATTATGTATAAAGTAATGGTTAATGAACAATAAAGATAATCTAAAACAGTGTAAGGGAGGTAATCCAAATACAACGTTTTGGTTACTTCCCTTACACTGCTTTTAAATTATGTTTAAAGAAATGCATATTTATAAAGGAAGACCAGTAAAAATATCTGCAAATGTTTTCATCTTTTTTTTTTACAAAAAAATCCATATGAAAGATTTGACACTATATTTTTATTAATTCTATTATAAAATAGATTAAGTTAGCACTATTGTAAATTTAAATGGGTAATTATGGTTGCCAACTCCATTGGAAATTTGAATTGAGATTATGACCATATCTTGAGGGAAAGAATTTTTTGGGGGGGGGATAAAAAGAAATTGTGGGGTGCCAATTTTTTCTCATTTCAGATTTCAGAAATTAAAAAGAATTATTCTTCAAATATTTTTTTTTTTTCAAATTTCAAATATTGAAAAATTTCAAGAAGTAATCTTTAATTGCACAGTATGGCGCATTAGATTTGTAAAATCTTTGATCACATTTATTTATTTGTTATGCCGAATCTAACAGTGTATTTAGATTTTTAATTTTGGGTCCAGTTTTCAAATTGCATTAATGTCCAAAGGGTCCAAAATTAAACTTTGTTTGATTTTAGCAAAAATTGAATATATGAGGTTCTTTGATATGCTGAATCTAAACATGTATTTAGATTTTTTGATTTTTGGCCCAGTTTTCAAGTTGGTCCAAATTGGGGTCCAAAATTAAACTTTGTTTGATTTCAACAAAAATTGAATATATGGGGTTCTTTGATATGCTGAATCTAACCGTGTATTTAGATTTTTTATTTGTGGACCCCGTTATCTAATTGGTTCATATTGAGGTCAAAAGGGTCCAAAATTAAACTTTGTTTGATTTCATCTAAAATTGAATTATTGGGGTTCTTTGATATTCCAAATCTAACCGTGTATTTAGGTTTTTAATTTTGGGTCCTGTTTTTTTAAATTGGTCTACATTGAGGTCCAAAGGGTCCAAAATTAAACTTAGTTTGATTTTAACAAAAATTGAATTCTTGGGGTTCTTTGATTTGCTGAATCTAAACATGTGTTTAGATTTTTGATTATGGGCCCAGTTTTCAAGTTGGTCCAAGATAGGGTCCAGTATTTAAACTTTGTTTGATTTCAACAAAAATTGAATATATGGGGTTCTTTGATATGCTGAATCTAAACATGTATTTAGATTTTTGATTATGGGCCCAGTTTTCAAGTTGGTCCAAATTGGGGTCCAAAATTAAACTTTGTTTGATTTCAACAAAAATTGAATATATGAGGTTCTTTGATATGCTGAATCTAACCATGAATTTAGATTTTTTATTTGTGGGTCACGCTATCAAATTGGTTCATATTGAGGTCAAAAGGGTCCAAAATTAAACTTTGTTTGATTTCATCAAAAATTGAATTATTGGGGTTCTTTGATATTCCAAATCTAACCGTGTATTTAGATTTTTAATTTTAAGTCCCGTTTTTTAAATTGGTCTACATTAAGGTCCAAAGGGTCCAAAATTAAACTTAGTTTGATTTTAGCAAAAATTGAATTCTTGGGGTTCTTTGATATGCTGAATCTAAACATGTGTTTAGATTTTTGATTATGGGCCCAGTTTTCAAGTTTGTCCAAGTTGGGGTCCAAAATTAAACTTTGTTTGATTTTAACAAAAATTGAATATATGGGGTTCTTTGATATGCTGAATCTAACCATGTATTTTGATTTTGGACATTGGACCATAATAGGTAAATTAAAAAAATTCAAGTTCTTAGACCACATTCTTTCTGTGTCAGAAACTTATGCTGTGTCAAATATTTAATAACAATCCAAATTCAGAGCTGTATCAAGCTTGAATGTTGTGTCCATACTTGCCCCAACTGTTCAGGGTTCGACCTCTGCGGTCGTATCAAGCTGCGCCCCAGCGAAGCATTTTATTACATTTTGAACTTCTTCTAGAGAACCACTGAATGGAATGAAACCAAACATGGCATGAATGTTCCTTATGAGGTGCTGACCAAGTGTTGTTACTTTGTAGTGGATCCATCATCCAAGATGGCCGCCAGCGGGGGACTTAGTTTAACATAGGACCCTATGGGAAATACATACAAATGTCTTCTTTTAGAAAACCACTGAATGGAATGAAACCAAACATGGCATGAATGTTTCTTATGAGGTGCTGACAGAGTGTTGTTACTTTGAAGACGATCCATAATCCAAGATGGCCGTCAGCTGGGGACTTAGTTTAACATAGGACCTTATGGGAAATACATACAAATGTCTTCTTTTAGAGAACCACTGAATGGAATGAAACCAAACATGGTATGAATGTTCCTTATGAGGTGCTGACCGAGTGTTGTTACTTTGAAGCCGATCCATAATCCAAGATGGCCACCAGCGGGGGACTTAGTTTAACATGGGACCCTATGGTAAATACATACAAATGTCTACTTTTAGAGAACCACTGAATGGAAAGAAACCAAACATGGCATGAATGTTCCTTATGAGGTGCTGACCAAGTGTTGTTACTTTGAAGCGGATCCATAATCCAAGATGGCCGCCTGCGGGGGACTTAGTTTAACATAGGACCCTATGGGAAATACATACAAATGTCTTCTTTTAGAGAACCACTGAATGGAATGAAACCAAACATGGCATGAATGTTCCTTATGAGGTGCTGACCAAGCATTGTTACTTTGAAGCCGATCCATCATCTAAGATGGCCACCATCGGGGGACTTATTTTAACATAGGACCTTATGGGAAATACATACAAATGTCTTCTTTTAGAGAACCACTGAATGGAATGAAACCAAACATGGCATGAATGTTCCTTATGAGGTGCTGACCAAGTGTTGTTACTTTGAAGCGGATCCATAATCCAAGATGGCCGCCTGCGGGGGACTTAGTTTAACATAGGACCCTATGGGAAATACATACAAATGTCTTCTTTTAGAGAACCACTGAATGGAATGAAACCAAACATGGCATGAATGTTCCTTATGAGGTGCTGACCAAGCATTGTTACTTTGAAGCCGATCCATCATCTAAGATGGCCGCCATCGGGGGACTTATTTTAACATAGGACCTTATGGGAAATACATACAAATGTCTTCTTTTAGAGAACCACTGAATGGAATGAAACCAAACATGGCATGAATGTTCCTTATGAGGTGCTGACCAAGTGTTGTTACTTTGAAGCCGATCCATAATCCAAGATGGCTGCCTGCGGGGGGACTTAGTTTAACAGGACCCTAAGGGAAATACATACAAATGCTTCTTCTAGAGGTGCACTGAATGGAATGAAACCAAACATGGCATGAGTGTTTCTTATGAGGTGCTGACCAAGTGTTGTTACTTTGAAGCGGATCTAAATCCAAGATGGCTGCCTGCGGGGGACTTCATTTAACATAGGACCCTATGGGAAATACATACAAATGTCTTCTTTTAGAGAACCACTAAATGGAATGAAACCAAACATGGCATGAATGTTCCTTATGAGGTGCTGACCAAGCGTTGTTACTTTAAAGCCGATCCATCATCTAAGATGGCCGCCATCTGGGGACTTATTTTAACATAGGACTCTATGGGAAATACATACAAATGTCTTCTTTTAGAGAACCACTGAATGGAATGAAACCAAACATGGCATGAATGTTCCTTATGAGGTGCTGACCAAGTGTTGTTACTTTGAAGCCGATCCATCATCCAAGATGGCTGCCTGCGGGGGGACTTAGTTTAACATAGGACCCAAAGGGCAATACATACAAATGTCTTCTTTTAGAGAACCACTGAATGGAATGAAACCAAACATGGCATGAGTGTTCCTTATGAGGTGCTGACCAAGTGTTGTTACTTTGAAGCCGATTCATCATCCAAGATGGCCGCCTGTGGGGGACTTAGTTTAACATAGGACCCTATGCAAAATATTTACAAATGTTTTCTTTTAGAGAACCGCTGAATGGAATGAAACCAAACATGGCATGAATGTTCCTTATGAAGGGCTGACCAAGTGTTGTTACTTTGAAGCCAATCCATCATCCAAGATGGCCACCAGCTGGGGACAGTGTTTAACAAAAGACCCTACGGACAATACATACAAATGTCTTCTTTTACAGAACCACTGAATGGATTGAAACCAATCATGGCATGAATGTTCCTTATGAGGTGCTGACTAAGTGTTGTTACTTTGAAGCTGATCCTTCATCCATGATGGCTGCCAGCGGGGGGACTTCCTTTAACATAAGACCATATTGGAAATACATACAAATGCTTCTTCTCGAGAGCATTGAATGGAATGAAACCAAACATGGCATAAATGTTTCTTATGAGGTGCTGATGAAGTGTTGCTACTTTGTTGCTGATTTACTGTTCAAGATGGCCACCAGGATTTTTTATTAACTTACAGGGCCAATATTAAACCAAATTTTGCCTCACTCATTATTAGGGTATCTGTTATGATTTTAATCTATTTTAACATGATTACCAAAACCAAAGTAGAATCAGGTGAGCGACACAGGCTCTTGAGAGCCTCTAGTTTTGTAATGGTGGGTTTTAAATATTTTTTTTTCTAATGTTAGAAATGCCCTTTAAACTGTTAAAGCACCATCCCAAGCTGTTATAAAAAGTGTTTGAATTTTTTTTATAGAAACAATAGTTTGACTTGTACACAGTCAGACACTGGGTAAGGAAAACAGGTTCTTTAAATCTCTTCTTACTATACATACAAGTAGATCTAAGAAGATGTGGTATGAGTGCCAATGAGACAACTCTCCATTCAAGACACAATTTGTAAAAGTAAACCATTATAGGTCAAATTACATTTTTTTCAGAATGGTTAGTCAATCATGACATGTGTGTAACCACCAATAATTAGAACTGCAGCGCATGTTTTTTATATGGCATTTTTGTAATTTGTTATAAAGTAATTTGTTGTTAATTAATTGTACACTTTTCAGACACCCATCAAACCGCTCTCTCTTCTTATTCATCTTAGATAGAAAATATTGGAGGTTTTATCTAAATATTACTTTATATTTTAAGGTAAAAATGACACAGTCAAAGGCACAATATTCTACAACAAGGAAGATGAAACAGTCACTTTCACTTTTCCGTCAGAAATACAAGTAAGCTTATACATGTTATAAAAATCATTGGAATAATTAGCATGATTAGCAAAATTTGGGGATATGAGTTTAATGATATGAGTATGAAGCAGCTAGTTTAAAAAAGAGTAAAGCAGTAAAAGACGTTGTTGGGTAAATGATATCTAGAAGTCAATATACAGTTTCCAACTATATATAGAGCTCCAATCTGACCTGAGTTGAAAAAGTGAGGTTATGAAGAATTTTTTGTAATAGGGTTACATAAGTCTTGAGAATGAAAAAAGATTTAGACAATCATATCTGTAGAATGAAGTTTTATTAATCTTGAGTATAAAAGAAGGTTTAGACAATCATCCATGTAGAATAAGATATATAAGTCTTGAGTATAAAAGAAGGTTTAGACAATCATCCATGTAGAATAAGATATATAAGTCTTGAGTATAAAAGAAGGTTTAGACAATCATCCATGTAGAATAAGATATACAAGTCTTGAGTATGAAAGAAGGTTTAAACAATCATCCATGTAGAATAAGATATATAAGTCTTGAGTATGACAGAAGGTTTAAACAATCATCCATGTAGAATAAGATATATAAGTCTTGAGTATGACAGAAGGTTTAAACAATCATCCACGTAGAATAAGATATATAAATCTTGAGTATAAAAGAAGGTTTAAACAATCATCCATGTAGAATAAGATATATAAGTCTTGAGTATAAAAGAAGGTTTAAACAATCATCCACGTAGAATATATAAGATATATAAGTCTTGAGTATGAAAGAAGGTTTAAACAAGCATCCATGTAGAATAAGATTTAAGACTTTGAAAAATAGTCTCTCAAGCACTTTCTTAATTGTTCGTTTAAATTTTATTGTCAGCTGAAGATTTGTTTTTTTATGATAGTAGGATAGGGAAATTAAGGAAGTTACATTAGTTCAAAGAAATGAACACTACATGGATATCTTAAAAATGTATATTTTAAACACACAAAAACATTAGTATCAATGTGAAATAAACTCTGTAAGGATAATACACAATCATGCTTACAGGGTCTTAAGGATGACAAAATACAATTTAGCTACACTTACGTACAGTTATTTGTGTAATATTTTCCTGGGGAAATACCACATTTAGGTTACATAGACAAAGATGATTTGTACATTTCATGAAATGGTCTATTCAAATATTCTAAGACAACTACTAAATGCAATGAATTAGAATAAATAACTTGAAGATAATATGTCAGTTGGTCTCATTGGCAATCATACCACATCTTCTTATTTTTACATAGATGTCTTGTGATTTAAAACTTTGAAAATATGTCAACTGTATTTCAGCCAGGGAAGGGCAGAATGAGTATGACTTTTACTGGAATTCTGAATGACAAAATGAAAGGATTTTATAGAAGTAAATACACAACACCTGATGGAGAGGAACAGTATTCAGCTGTTACACAGTTTGAGGTTTGTTATAAACTTATGTAACAACAAGTTGCTGTCCTTTATCTAGCATATAAAAGAATCTGGCAGAAGATGTTATAAAAACTAGGGATACAATAAACAGAATTGTAAAGAACAATATAAATAAGATATTTTGCTGCATATTATTACAAAGCCTTTTTATGCTCCCTCTATAGCGGAGGGGGCATTAAGTTTTACCCTTGTCCGTACGTCCCAAAATTTGTTTCCGTTCTCTAACTTTAGTTTGCCTCAACCAAATGTTATGAAACTTATCTGCAATGCTTAAATACCACAAAACACAGATCGAGTTTGAATTTTGGTGGCATCACTTCTACTGTTCAAGAGTTATGCCCCTTTAGAAATGGAAAATTGCTGAATTTTTCGTTTCCGTTCTCTAACTTGAGTTTGCCTCAACCAAATGTTATGAAACTTATCCACAATGTTTATTACCACAAAACACAGATCAAGTTTGAATTTTGGTGGTGTCACTTTCACCGTTCTAAAGTTATGACCCTTTACAAATGGAAAAATTGCTGAAATATTAGTTTGCCTCAACCAAATGTTATGAAACTTATGCACAATGCTAATTACCACAATACACAGATCAAGTTTGAATTTTGTTGGCGTCACTTTTACCGTTCTAGAGTTATGCCCCTTTAGAAATCTTATAAATGCTGAAATATTTGTTTCTGTTCTCTAATTTAAGTTTACGTCAATTAAATGTTATGAAACTTATAAACAATGCTTATTACCACAAAACTCAGATCAAGTTCAAATTTGGGTAGTGTCACTTTTACAGTTCTTGAGTTACGGCCCTTTATAACGTTATATGCAAGCAGGGGCATCATCTGTGTCCCATGGACACATTCCCCATTTATTTAATTATTTACACACATGATATAGCCATTATGGGCTAAAGTGGCAATTGGAGGCCAACAATAAATATTGTTCCCTTTAGATTTGACAGATAATTCTACTCCATAAGCAGTCAAAAGTTAATATAGAGAAAATGTCTTGATGCACTCCACTGAGGTTTATGTAAGTTAAATTCATTATGTGTACATCAAATTGACATAAACATAGCAATTTAAATATCTATTGTTCACTATGATTTTATTATTTACTTGTGTGCTGTAGGCCACTGATGCCAGGAGAGCTTTCCCATGTTGGGATGAACCAGCTGTCAAGGCAACATTCGATGTCACATTGGTTGTTCCTAAAGACAGAGTTGCCTTGTCAAACATGGTTTGTAGTTTTACATATTGAGTTATTTCCCTTGTTAGGGTTAAATTGCTGTGAAGGAAACATTTGATCTGATATTCCCAAAGAGAGAGCAGCCTTCTTTGATATTGGGATGATGCAACAGTTGATCTAATGATGTTTTGAAACATTCATAAATAAGTTGTGAATTTTCTCTTGTGGCAGCAAAACATTATTTTCTGTAGTTGTTGACAAATATGGATTTCAAGTATTTAATCATTAATTCTTTTTTATAAATGTTGAGTTTCTATCTTCCATGGTAAATTCTTATAGAATAACCTAAATTCAATGTTGATTTTCGCTAATTTTCATGCTTTTTTCACATTTCTCGATCGGTGTGAGAAAAATATTTCTTGTTTCTAGAGAAAACTTTGTTCTTGGCAAATGATTAGTCAAAATTTAATAATGACGTCAATGGTTTCTTCTGAATTTCCTATTGTCACATCATGAAAAAAGGTGATCTTGTCTGATGACATCACATATAAAGAACTTTCTGCAAATCTTTGAAAAGGAAGGATAAACTTTGTTAAGATATCGTTAGAGAAACAGTTTCCACCACTATAACTTGTGTATTACGATAGTTCTCCACTCTCAACAGTTAAATTTTAATTATTTAAAAACCTTGGCAAGCCTTGCGTTTTAAATTTTAAAAATTAACTGTCTCGAAATATTGTAACACACTTGATGCAGTGGTGGAATCTAAATTTCTTAACTTCTGTTAAATGCTGAAATTTGACTGTATTACAGCCTGTAAAGTCAGAACAAGTCTATGAAGGAGACAGCAAATGGAAGGTTGTTAGTTACGAGAGGACACCAATCATGTCTACATACCTGCTAGCGTTTGTTGTGGGAGAATTTGATTACGTAGAAGGGAAGGATGCTGATGGTGTACTAGTCAGGGTGTACACACCTGTTGGCAAGAAAGAAGAGGGAAAATATGCATTAGACGTAAGGAGGAATTACAATGTCAACTTTACATTTTGTTTTTTGTTTTATTTTGTTCTTTGTCTATTAAGCAATGATTATTAAGTATATTTAAAATCTGCCTACTCTTCAAAATCAAATTTCTATTTCTATTTTTTAGCCCACCTGGCCTAAAAGGCCAAGTAAGCTTTTCTCATCACTTGGCGTCCATCGTCGTTAACTTTTACAAAAATCTTCTCCTCTGAAACTACTAGGCCAAATTTAACCAAAGTTGGCCACAATCATTATTTGGGTATCTAGTGTAAAAAATGTGTCCAACGACCCCGCCAGCCAACCAACATGGCGGCCATGGCTAAAAATAGAACATAGGGGTAAAATGCAGTTTTTGGCTTATATCTCTGAAACTAAAGCATTTAGAGTAAATCTGACATGAGGGTAAAAATGTTCATCAGGTTGAGATGTATCTGCTATGAAATTTTCAGACGAATCAGACAACCCGTTGTTGGGTTGCTGCCTGTGAATTAGTAATTTTAAGGAAATTTTGCAGTTTTTGGTTATTATCTTTAACATTATTATAGATAGAGATAAACTGTAAACAGCAATAATGTTTGGCAAAGTAAGATCTACAAATAAGTCAATCATGACCAAAATTGTCAATTGACCCCTTAAGGAGTTATTGCCCTTTTAAGGAAATTTTGAACAATTTTTCGTAATTTTGGTAATCTTTTACAAAAATCTTCTCCTCTGAAACTACTGAGACAAATTTAACTAAACTTGGCCATAATCATCATAAGGGTATTTAGTTTAAAAAATGTGTCTGTTGACCGGCCTGCCAACCAACATGGCCTACATGGCTAAAAATAGAACATAGGGGGTAAAATGCAGTTTTTGGCTTATATCTCTGAAACTAAAGCAAAAGTATAATGGTTGCATTATTTCATGCATCAATTGTAAATGAAAATATCAGGTGAGCGACATAGGCTCCTTGAAGCCTTTAGTTTTCATCTAGTGTTACAAGAGTATATAATTCTTCTGGAAAACAAATAATCTGAGAAAGACAGCACACTATTTCAGAACTCTATGATAATGTACAATAGGTGGATAACTATACTTTATGAATTTTATTATTATTATCAATACTGTCTACAAAAGTTTAACAATTTTGATGTAACTTTCAACAAGATAATGTGTAAAGCTCTACAATGAGGCTGTTTACACTAAGTCACTAATGCAATGTTAATGTGTAGATTTCAATACTTGAGTGACATTTTAATGTCTTTATTAGGTAGCAGTAAAGACATTACCATTTTACAAAGATTACTTCAAGATACCTTATCCTCTACCAAAGATGGACTTGATAGGACTTGCTGACTTTGCAGCTGGTAAAATTAATTACTTTCTTTGGTCCAACTTTAACAAGTTAAAAAAGATAGCTACATATGTTCCCCAATCTTAGCTCTAATCAAATTTGAACAGTTTTTCTGTAATAAAATTGATTGAATCTACTGAAAATTTTGCAATCTTAGTTTTACAGTGCATTATTAACCCAATTTCATTCTATTTTTAACATACTGTAGAGTCATTTATTTTCGTGATTACCAATTTTCATGGATTGATAAAAAATTGTATTTTCTTGAATACTCGATTTCATGGTTTTGTCAAAGTTTGCATACAAACATATGAGAATTTTACATTTTGTTCAACATTTAAATTAATGTTTCATCTATTCCCACAGAATCCACAAAAATTGTTGCACAACAAATAATAATAAGTTCAGAGTAGCTAGAATTTAAACATTGATGTAAAATTTGCAATTCATATATGTATAAAAAAAACTGCATTAATTTATACTCTTGTCTAAAATATCTTTTCCATATACAGGTGCTATGGAAAACTGGGGTTTAGTAACTTACAGAGAAACAGCATTGTTTGTGGACCCAAAGAAATCATCAGCCAAAACCAAACAATGGGTTGCACTAGTTGTAGGACATGAGTTGGCTCATCAATGGTTTGGTAATCTTGTTACCATGGTAGGTTTTTATTGAAACTTAGCCTTTTATGAATAATAAAATTTTGCAAAATGTACTTTTTTAAGCAAATGTTTTGTTGCCCCCTAAAATATGTACATAAAAGACAATATCACAGAGGTGACCATGTGCTGATTTCTGTTTTGAACTGGTTACCTGTTGTAAATCTCCAGCATAAATAAAAGTTTCTTCACATCGAGAAACCAGTTTGAGATTAATGTTTGAAAAAAGATAATTTTGTTATGAATGATCATGGTAGTTGCAGAGATAGATTTTGACTTCTCTGAAAATATTAACATCATGAAGGTTGAAAAGCATTTGTTATTATTTTTGAAAGTTTTCAAATACTAAGCATAACAAAGCTTTATTTTTGAGACAGCCAATCTGGAAGTAAAATATGGCATGCTTTTCTGAGAAAGTTCCATTTAAAGGAATGTGTGATCCAACTTTCAAAATCACATGAATACATTTTAAAATTTTATATTTAAGTCTTAAATCTCCTTTTTGTCATGACTGTGACTTTTGTCAAAGAAAGCTCGACATAGGGATAGTGATCCGTCGGCTGCCAAGGCGGCGTTAACTAACTACTTAAAAGCTTAATATTTAAGAAGGTAGAAGACCTGGATGCTTCAAACTTTGTATATAGATACCTCATGTTATGAATTTTCTGTCTGTCATATGTCCTTTGTCCTTGACCTCATTTTCATGGTTCAATGAAGTTAAGATTTTTTGTAATGTTATTTTCTCTCTTATTATGAGTAATAGGGTAACTATATTTGGTATGTGCATATCTTGCACAGTCCGCATGCCTGTATGACAGTTTTCACTTGACCTGACCTCATTTCATGGATCAGTCAACATGGTTAAGTTTTCTTGATCAAGTCCATTTCTCAGATACTATAAGCAATAGGTCTACTATATTTGTTGTATGGAATGATTGTAAGGTGTACATGTCCAACTGGCAGGTGTCATCTCACCTTGACCTCATTTTATGGTTCAGTGGTTAAAGTTAAGTTTTTGTGTTTTGGTCTATTTTTCAATATTGTATGCAATAGGTCAGCTATATTTGGTGTATGGAAATATTTTATGATGTACATGTCAGTCTAGCAGGTTTTATTTGACCTTGACCTCATTTTCACGATCCATTGCTCAATGTTAAATTTTTGTGTTTTGGTCTGTTTTTCTTTAAACTATAAGCAATAGGTCAACTATGTTTGGTGTATGGAACAGTTGTAAAGTGTACATGTCTGTCTGGCAGGGTTCATCTGACCTTGACCTCATATTCATGGTTCATTGGTCAATATAATGTTTTCATGGTTTGGTCTATTTCTTGTATACTATAAGCAATAGGTCAACTATATTCAATGTATGGAATGATTGTAAGGTGTACATGTATTTCTGGCTTGGTTTATCTGACCTTGACCTCAAATTCTTGGATCATGATAAGTTAATGTGATACTTGTAGTAAAACTTTATATATAGGGTTATCAACATAAAATCAATGGTAAAGTAGGCGAGACATTTCAGCATGTGCACATCTTGTTTATTTATATACAATTATTTAAGATTATTCCAATGATGATTTTAGTTTTCAAATTGGAAAAATATATGGAGATTTCTATGAACAAATTGTAAATTCTGAATTTTCATTAATAAACATTTTGTATATCAAAGACATTGTTTAATCACCAGTAATGTGTTTTGGTTGCAGGAATGGTGGACCCACTTGTGGTTAAATGAAGGTTTTGCTTCCTGGATAGAATATCTGTGTGTAGATTTCTGTTTTCCTGAGTTTGATATCTGGACACAGTTTGTTAAGAATGATTTAGGAAGAGCTTTAGAACTAGATGCTCTCAATAACAGCCATCCTATAGAGGTCAGTATCACAGACACTTGAGTATCTGGATAAATTGGCCCAAAAACTACGTTTTCACTACTTTTTAGAATAATCGCTTTGATTTTGTTTGCAAATTATAAGTCATTAGCTGGAAAATAAGTGTAGTGTAATAAAGTCTTGGCCCAAAATGACAGAATAGCATGCTTATGGACAGTATCCCAAGTGACAGTTTTATGATAGTTTATGATATTTGAACTTGACAGGCACTTAAATGATGATCTATATCATTCCTTCATTGCAGTTGACTAAATAACAAAACTTTTTATCTTCATCATATCTCCCTTGCAAACTGGAATCTTTATCTAAGCTTTTATCATTAAATTTAAAACTTGACATGATAATATTACTGTTTCCAGAGACCTTTTGTTTATACATGGTTTTGCTCCTAGTTTAATGTTTTTCTTCTTTAAAACAAGAACGGTTAGAACACCATAAAAACAACCGAAATATTTACTGCTTTGTGATTATTTATAAAAAGTACTGTTTTTCTTCCCTCTCCAAATTCTTTTAGGACATCTATCAGAATTAAAAGAAAAATTTGATGCTTTGTGATTTATTTTTAAAAGTAGTGTTTTTCTTCTCTCTCCAGGTACCCGTAGGACATCCCTCAGAAGTAGATGAAATATTTGATGCTATATCATACAGTAAAGGTGCTTCAGTCATCAGAATGCTTCATGACTATATAGGGGATGCTGTGAGTCTCTATTGATAGGTTTACACCTGACTTATCAAACATATTTAGGAGTAAAAATAAAAGGAAAAGTGGGGTGTATATAAATGAGACATCAGCCCAACAAAAGAAAAGAAAACAACATCTTGAGGTCAACACAAGTCTTAAAAAATAAACAGGTTTCTGCTGTAAACAGCTTAATTTTGAGAGTGATTTATTTAAAAAAATGATAGGATTATAAATGGTCATGAACATTATAACATGGAATCTTCTCTTTAAGGAATACATCAACATAGTAAGGAAATGCTAAGTCAGCAAGAAAGGTCTAAACGTAAAAAATAACTATTGACGAAAATAAGTTGGTTTATAGTACAATATGTCAAGCTCTAAATTGTCTTCAGTCTAAAAAAAATTGTTAATAAAGGTGTACAAGCATGAAGACTAATTTTTTGGCAGAAAGAATTTTTTTTACAAAATTTAGAAAAATTACCGTAGAAAGGCTTGTATAGTCCGCGGTTTTATTCTCCAAAATTGGACCTTCCAGAAGGGGTGCAGACTATAGAGTACAATAAGCAAGAAATAAGAGAAAAATTTCAATTTCGCAGGCGAGGTGGTTTGTTTACGTTCTGCCATCTTTGTTATTTCTATTGTAGAGGGCGCTCTTATCATTTTTTAAACGAATAACTTTAACTCATCCATATTAATAAGTTATTTCTATTCAATATCAAATTAATACTGAAAAATATAAAAACTAAACCTTTCATTACAAATTTCATGTTTCTTTTCAATGCATTGGTTGAAATAAACTGGTATCTGCTTGATTGAAACGATACAAACATAGTGAAAAAGACAACCGTAAATCAGCTTAGAATTTGTAAACTACAAAACGTAATCGGTTATTGTTCGTTCCGTTTTGGTGTTTCATACTGACTAATATGGTTTGTATTAGCTTAAGACCCTTCAAACATTAATGTGATAGATATATTAAAGACTGTTTTACAAAAGGATGGAACTGTTTTACTTTCAAAGTCGTATTATAGTGATATCTGTTATGTACGGATTTCGACTCTCACCGGTTAATTTCTTCTTTTACACATGCTTTTTAAACTTCCTGTTTAAACATACACAAGTTTCTAAATTGTTTTTTAAGTGAATTAAACTTATTTTAACAATCATGAAGCGTTCTAGAATCATTTACAAGCAGTTTCAGCTTCTGTTTGATGATGGAAAACAGGTTCTTCCAAGAAAATTCTGCAAAAGGACCGCACAGGATTTGAAATTACCGGAGTTTCATTAGACCTTTTCTAACAGTTACAAAAAGTTTTTTTACCTAAAATTTCGTGGGGAGAAGGGGGTGCGGACTATGTACAACTGCGAACTATACAAGCCTTTCTACGGTACATAAAATAAAGAAATATAGATGATCTCAACACAATTTTTGAAGATATAAATGTATAACTTAGTCATAATTTGCATATATTTCATAAAGGAAAATGCTGATTTATGCCAATTTCCATCCAGTTTTTCTTTGTGAGTTATTCTTGGAACATTCAGTTCCCTCAGTGTTGAATATTGAAGTGGATGGAATACAAATTATTACAGTTGAAATGTGGAAAAAATTACAAATATATTTACATTACACTTATATTTTTCTTTTAAAGGATTTTAGAGTTGGTATGAATGCTTATTTAACTAAGTTTAAATACAGTAATGCCTTTACAGAAGATTTATGGGAATATCTAGGTAAAGCTAGTGGAAAACCAGTTGCTGAGGTCATGACCTCTTGGACCAAACAGATGGGTTATCCAGTTATAAAGGTAAAGGCTTAGGCATTAAATAGTAGTCCTTCTATCTACAAAAAGATGTCCACTTACATCTTCATCTGCCTCTTCACCAGTATCATCTGTTTCACACTTTAATTATCACCAACTTAATAAAAACAGAATGACAGAATTAAACAAAACACTTAACTTTGTCCTTTCAGAGACATCAGCTCAATAGATGTTAAGTTTGATGCACAGTGTAATTGTATATTGATTTACATTAAAGTATTTGTGTATAAACATCTGCCATTTAATTTGTCATTTCAGACAGGGTTTGCATTTTTTTTTTGTCAGGGTTCTAACGTTTGCTGGTCCTTCAAAAAATGTGGTGTCCAACATTGTTGATTACTCAACTGGATCCAAAAATTAGGTTTCTGGTGACAATATTAAAGGGGGAAATGTGTCTTGTGATTTGACCAAATAACCAATGATGCAACAATGTATCCCAACAAATCTTTGTAAGAAAAAATGGCTGGCGCAAAATGTTAAAATGGCTGACCTGATGAAATATTGATGCAAACTCTGTTTCAGGATCTAAATGGCTATGTGTAATTTCATTGTTCTTACCCCAAAATGAAAATAACATCATGTTATTAGTTAAATTTCTAATGTTTGTAGGACAAATTTTACCAATCACAATGTTTTGGTGTACTTTTGTTAAAATTTAACTTCAAAAGCATTTAGATTTTGAAATGGAGAATTATAAATGAATATATATACTTTTGAGAAATAATGTTTTTTTTTGGTTTAAATTCCACCGTTTTATTCTAGGTAACAGAAAAACAAGATGGGAAGAACAGAGTTCTATCATTGTCACAAGCAAAGTTCTGTGCAGATGGTAAAAAGCAAGAAGGTAACTTAATATTTTATTTTGAAAAATGTTTCGTTTTTTTTTTTATTCTATTTCATACACTCCACATTCTTGGAGAAATGAGGGAGGTTATCCAAGCAGCAAATTTGTGTAAATGTAATTGTTTGTTGGCTGTTTCTCTTTTTTGTTTATGTCAACAATAGTTGCAGTGTAGATATAAGTTGTTCAATTATTCTTAATCGTAAAAGGTAACATATATTCCACTTTAATTTGATGTTGAGGTAAAATTATAAAGCCTAAAAAACAAACTGAATACTATAATTATAGGGGAGCAGTCCAAGTGGATGGTACCCTTGTCATTCTGTACAGCATCAAGTCCAGATAAACCAGTGAAAAAAATACTTTTAGATAGCTCAACAGCAGAAGTCACACTGGACAATGTTAAACCTGGTGAATGGGTTAAGGTAAATAATGTATTATTATTCAGGTCTCCTCAGATAAATACATAAAGTGTTAGATAATATTTATTTTTTGTTTAAATAAAAATAATGAGTCGCATTATTTAAAATGTACAGGTCAAAGGAAGCCTAATTAAATGCCTAATTGCAGTTAATCTCCTTGATTTTGACAAATAATTGTTTATGTTTTTCTGACGCAGTCAGTATAATTTCCGAAATTATCCAAATAGATAAAAGTAAATTCAGGTAAAGAAGGTGTAATTATCACCACTGTCAAATTGTTTGGATTTTGTAGGCTTAGCCTTTAATACACGAGTAGGTAAATATCATTGACAGGTTCATTAGGCTATTAATAGCTCAGTGCTATAAATTATGTCTAATTGGCTAAAACTTCCAAGGCGTAATAATAATCTCTATAGAGTATATAACGCATATCCTCAACTTTCAGAATCTTCAGCCTTTGTCGTCAAATTGTGTGCAATTTTATATCTATGATTAAAAAAACCTGATAAAGATTCATGGTTTGTTTTTTAAAATCTTTGCTCACATCTGAATGTGTCAGATATCTTTTTTAAAGATAGTACTCGTTTTGTTTGTTGTCATAATGATATTTAATCAGTTTAAAATTTTCAAAAATATGTCAGGCTTCCGTAATAAAACTTATTTGCTCTATTGTGAAAACAATTTGGACCTAACACTAACAGATAGCCCATCGTGTTGTTGCATTCCTTGAGTATGGGAGGTTATTGATTTATCCCTGGCTGAGTCAAACAAAAGACTTTGAAATTAACATTTTTGCAGCATGATATTTAAGCATTCATGTAATATAGAAATTACTTATTGTTTGGTGTTTTTTTTATGCCAGCCATTAACATTTGATAACATGACACATTACGTATATTGATGCCAATTCCACCAGGTTATATCTCTTCAGTGATGTTTAAGGCCAAAATATTTTCGAGTCTTGAGACCAAACAAATGTTGACAAGTTGAGATACACACAGGACAGAAGTAGAGCCAACATGGGCTAAGTAATCAGATTTATGTGTGAAGGGATCACAGTTAATTTCAAGAATTTCAAAAATGAAATGAAAAACAAACAATTGTTACAAAACTTAAACTACTATTATTAGTATTTACAGATTAAGTAATTGTTGTTTTGTAGCTAATTATAAGGCTAATGTGGACAGAAGATGAAAATCACTCTATTTTTTAACAGGTAAACTGTGGCACTGTGGGAGTATATAGAGTACAGTATTCATCAGAAATGTTAGAGTCACTTATAACAGGGATCAAAGACTGTAGTATAGCACCTTGCGACAGATTAGGTATACAGAGTGATCTGTTTGCTTTGGTATGTATGTTTTGTTAAGCCATAAATTTATAATAATAATAATTATAAATTTGTTATTATTTCTTGAATGTTTTATTCTTATAGTAGGGATATACAAGCAATACTTTTATGCCCTGCCTACAATAGTATGGGGTATTAAGTTTTCCAGTCTCTGCATCCATCTGTCCCGCAACAGTTAAAGTTTTTATGCCCTGCCTACAATAGTATGGGGTATTAAGTTTTCCAGTCTCTGCATCCATCTGTCCCGTCACAGTTAAAGTTTTCCAGTCTCTGCATCCATCTGTCCCATAACAGTTAAACTTTTCCAGTCTCTGCATCCATCTGTCCCGTCACATTTAAATTTATCCAATCTCTGGATCCATCTGTCCCGTAACAGTTAAAGTTTTCCAGTCTCTGCATCCATCTGGAAAACTTTAACTGTGACGGGACAGATGGATGCAGAGACTGGAAAACTTAATACCCCATACTATTGTAGGCAGGGCATAAAAACTTTAACTGTTGCGGGACAGATGGATGCAGAGACTGGAAAACTTAATTTAAGTTACTGTCCCGTAACAGTTAAGTTTTGGTTTAAGGTAGTTACCCGTAAAAGTTGTGGAAACGACAACTTGAAACTAAGTACACATGGTCATTATGATGTGAACTTTTGAAAATATTTACTAAGTTAGGGGCACATATTTTTTATATTTACGGCTTTTTCTCAGGTTCTGTAAAGTAAAATAAGCTGAGTATTATACATTTTTTATTACAGGAAAAAGAGGAGAGATGGGATAAACATCATTGAGACAGCTACCATATTAAAGATCAGAATTGCCATTTGAAAATTCAGATTTTATGATTATAGAAGCAAGCCATTAATTGGAATGATTTTTCAGATTTATATCTCACCAACTTCCTGTTTACCAAAAAGTTCAGTGTTCTCACACATAATGACCATTATGGAGTTTTCGTCACATTTTTCTAAGGAACTATAGATCAAAGCACCCTGGAATTTGGTATTAAGCTTCATGTCAACATGCTATGTTGTGAAATAGGTTTTCAAATTCATTCTTAATCAACTACCTGCTAACTGAATACTTGTAGCAGAGGTATCATTAGTGAGAAAGAGCTCACAGTTCAACTTGTTCTTTTTCTTTACTTTTATCATGAAGCTTCTATATTATATTTATCAAGAAACTATGAACAGCACCCGACCGAAATGTTTACCTGAATAAACCGATCAATGTAGGCTAGAAAGTTTGCAAGTGTGTTTCATTTCTCACCATCACCTTGTGGCAAAACTTGCACACTTTTCTCAAGGGTAAAGTAAAGAAATACAAGAGAGACAACTTTAATTTTGATTGTCAGGTTTTTTTCTGTATTATGGGATCGTCTGTTTAAGAGTCTTAATATTAAGTCATACAACTTTTTATTTTGTCTTGTATTGAATTATCCAAGTTGATAAAGGTTACATTGTATTGATTCATCTCTCTATAAGTCTCAGTATGAAATCCTAGTACTGTTTATATTGTAGGCCAGAGCAGGATTAGTGTCTGCAGTTGATGTATTGAAGGTAGCCGAGGCCTATATAAATGAAACTGACTATACAGTATGGAGTGATCTTTCTATTAGTCTTGGTACACAAGGTGCATTGATACAGAGTACTGATGCCACAGATGAAATGAAAGCCTATAATCGTAACCTCTACAGCAAAGTCTTCCAGAGTCTAGGCTGGGAAGCTAAAGAAAATGAAGGTAAAATCATGTTTAAGCTGATGCAAATCTACTTTTGGTCAAGGTTGCAAGATTTATGTCGTGAAAGCGAGACATGGCGATCCTAGATTCCGTTGTTGGTGTCATCAACATTTAGGCTCAGTCTGTTTTGTACATTTAGCAATTAGATACAGTCTGGGGTTAAAGTTTGTTACACACCAATTACTTTGTCAAACCTTTATAGAATTTTATTAAACTTTGGCAGAAGCTTTTTATGATAATTCAGTATTTTTCAGTATGCTGGAGTTTCTTATTGACAACATATTTGTTGAATTCATAGGTAGACTTTTTCAACAAATTGGCAGCATTTGTATGGGAACGAACTGTGCGCCTCTACTTGCCGACCTCTTCTTATTTTCATATGAGTCGGAGTTCCTCCAGACACTTGTCAAAAACAAGAAGATCAAAGAAGCCAGATCATTTAATTTCACATTCAGATATATTGATGACGTTCTTTCCAATAACAATCCAAACTTTTCTGATTGCGTTCCATCAATATATCCTCCAGAACTAGAAATTAAAGAAACAACAAACACAGCTTCCTCCGATTCATTTTTAGACTTATACCATGAATTTGACATAAGCATCATCTTAGTACCAGAATCTATGAAGTACGAGAAGATTTTAATTTTGAAATTATAAATTTCCCCCACCAACTTCACCTGCATATGGGATATACATTTCCCAACTCATTCGGTATTCAAGAGCTTGCAGCTGCTAATCAGACTTTATAAAACGTCACCAGTGTCTGAGCAGAAAGTTGATGAACCAGGGTTATGTCAAAGAACGTCTCGTCCTTTTTCTTAAAAAGTTCATACCAAGACCTTGTTGATAAATATTCCGTATCTACTTCACAAATAATACATGATGGTCTTGAAGTATAGATTCTAGGTACTGACATTGTTTATCATCTTAATTATGTGTTATAGTGTTTTTATTTGTCTTTGTGTACTTTTAACCTTTACTGTTTAGTCCATTTTTGGTAATATACTTTTGACGTGGCTCTGTATTTATACAACTCGCCATTGTGTTATTGTGCTATGGTAAATTTTTGTATTCTTGTATTTCAATTGTGAATTTGTTAACCTTCATTGATTGTTATGAAACTTGGGCAGAAGCTAATCTTCAAGATCAAGAAATAGTATCTACAAATTTTTTTTTAATTCCCCTACCGACGAAGTCGAAGGGGACTTTAGGTTTGCAGTCTGTCTTGTCTGTCTGTCTGTCCATCCATCAGTTTACCATACTTTTTATACGCCAGTTTATGGGACATATTATGGTATACCGTTGCCTGTCCGTCGTCAACATGTCGGACAATAACTCAAAAACGCTTTAACCAATTTGCTTGAAACTTTGGTGAATTGTTTATATCTATTGATGTGAGCTCCCTTTCCTTATTTATAAATTTTAGATTTTACGTTTCCGAGTTATGGGATTTTGTTCATAAAAAGGGGGTGATTTTCCAGATTTTGGACAATATCTTTAAAGTGCTTTGAGCAGTTTTCATGAAACTTTGGTGACTGGTTTATATCTTTTAAGATACCCTCCCTTTAGTTTTTCATAAATTTCATTTTCTGATATGACATTGAGAAGTTATTGAACTTTATTTTATGAAAAAGCGATGGGAGTATCATGTGCTCATGGCGCAGCTGTTTATTTTAATCATGTTTGAAGATGTTGATTTGATATTTGGTATATATTTTAACCATGAAAAGTTACAGATCAAGGTAAAATTTTGTTCCAGACTGATGATTTTGTGCAAAGTTATTTTCTTTGGCTGTCTGTAATGTAATATTGTACTAATATGTATTTGTTGTATATATACAGTTTGCACTATCATAAACCATTCATTCATATAGTTTACATCATGACAAGTTATAGATCAAGTTAGCATTTTGTTCCAGTACTAATTCACACTAATAAACAGTTTTCCACACTTTTTTTTGTCATGTTTGAAGTAACTGATTTGATATTTGGTATGACTATTTGTTATTTATTTTTCAAATATATTGAGTTTCAGTTTGGCAGTGCATCCTAAGCTTATTTGGCTGGCTGTAATGTAATATTGTACTAATATGTATTTGCTGTATATATACAGGTTGCACTATCATTAACCATTCATTCATATAGTTTACATCATGACCAGTTAAGATCAAGTTAGCATTTTGTTCCAGTACAATGAATTTTTAACCAGTAGGGGACAATGTATTGCCATGCAATACTCTCAGAATGCTTGTTAATTCTGTATTTTACTGATAAATTCTGTTTACCATTTATATTCTGAATTTCTAAATCATCACTCTTTCACCTATTCTGTTTACCATTTATATTCTGAATTTCTAAATTTCAGAATTATGAAAGTTACAAGAAGTACTTTGATTTAAATTACAATTTTCAGATGTCATTGAAAAAAAAATTAAATTGAAAATTTAATATGACCCATATTTCATGATTAAACTTTTAAGTTATATGATTGCTTGATTTGGAAATTTAAAAAAAAGAGATTTACTTGATTTATTTATATTTTAGTAAGTGTCATACTGAGACATTTTTTTCATACCTATTTATTGTATTTTATAAGACAGTTCCTAGTCCCATTAGTTATAGTGTTGCCAACATGTTTATATTTTATAGGACCATTAACTGCCATGTTAAGAGATCTAGTATTGGCCAAACTAGGTCGTAACCAAGAACAGTCTGTTGTTATGGAGGCTAAGAAGAAGTTCCTAGATTTTTACAATGGAAAACCTCTGTCAGCTGATTTAAGGGACCCTGTATGTTTAAGCAGAAATATATTTTTATTGGTGTAGACTGTTTTATAGAAATAGGAAGTTGGAGACCATGGTAAAAAACAAAACAAAACAAACCAAAGATGAAAATACAAATAGAAAACCAAAGAATTAGCTACACAGTGCCACTAATTTCAAAGCATGTTTTTGACTTGTCTGCTTTATAACTGTTTCAATATACCACTAGCTTCACATTCCAAATTTTGAGTCTCAACTAATTAATAGCAGTGTGTGACAATAATTCCAATTAAACAAGCATGACAGTGTCATAGTTTTGTTGCAAGGATAAATGTTTGCTAATTTATGAACATTATTTTGGGAAACACTGCAAAAAGATTTATTTATGATGTCGAAAACAGGTATAGAAAATATCAATACAAACAGTTTGTCTTTACAATTCTTCTCTACGGTTATTGCTATCATGTTTGAATGATTAAAAAAATTACAAAGCATTCTCTTTATCATGTCAATAATTTGCTTTCTGTCCAGGTATATGTAACAGTTATGTCTAATGGTGATGAAGATCTGTTTAATAAAATGTTGGAGGTAAGATAACTGATGTCAGAAAAATTATATTGCTATAACAGAACTAACATTTACTGGAAATTTGTTAAGCCAATTATTGTATTTCATATGTTCAAATATTCCAAACTTACATTTCGTGACCGATTGCACTTTTACATTACTATATCTTGAAATTCTTAACTCAATACCAATGAAATAAAAACAAGACTTTGTGATTTCCTTAGTTTAGGTAACACAAATAAAGACATAAGTATAAAACAAAATCTCAGATAAATGATTAGTTGTATTATTTTGCTCTTTTCTGAAATAACTTTCATCTGGTTTGCTTATAAATTTAATAAATCCAAAAAAATGTAAACTATAGGAAGTATGAGAATCTAAAAGGGACAAAACAAAACACTCTCAAAGTCAACTTAGCCAAATGGATAGTAAAAGATTTATGAATTGAACTTAATTCTTCAAAAATACAATGTGTTTTTTTCTGAATGTATCAAAATATTCCTCTTAAATAATCAGAGTAGATATTGAGAGGACAGCCAATATTGAAAAGGTCAAGTTTGAGATTATTAAGTATGCAAATTTCATTTGTTTGCTATAATTGGGTAGAGTGTAGGAAAAAGAAATAGTATACATTTTTTGGACATTATTAGACAAATTTTGAGATGAAAAATTATTGTCCTATCTCATTATTAACTGTTTAAATATTCTGCAAATGCACTAAATGGAAAATAAAAGATGAAGAAATAATTTAATTTTTCTAACACATTACAAGTGAGAATATACTTTTCAATTTACAGTAATAAGGAAACTTTTTTTTGATGAATCATTTTAAACCTATTTCCCCCTCAAGCCATTTATTGAATTAATGTTAAGGCTGTCCCAGAAATAAATGTACCGGTATGTGGGAAGGTACAGTTTATTTTACCTTGCCAGGTATAAATTTGAACTGTTTTTACATATGATCAGTAAGCTATCATTCGTTAACAAGCACCCTCTATTAAATATTAATGGAAGTGCCTTCTGTTAAGATTCTGGAACAATCTTGGCTATTACTCTTGGCTTGTCTATTTTCTTTATAATAAACCCACAGCCATTTCAGACTTGTGTATAAATTTTTGCCTGTGATATCAGTCTCTGCATATTGTTATTGTTACAATGTACTGTTGAGGCAAACACTATTATTCCAAAGTACCTGATGATCTTGAGAAACAGGCTTCCAAAACGGTTGTATTGTCCGGACTTGACTTCTTGTGCCGAGCCAGAACTGGACATCTAAAGTAGGTTTGCCATTTTAAAATAATTCTGAAAAAAAATTTGAAGTTAATGCGATCTTTTTGACCTGACCTTTTGTCTTAAACAGCCACACATATCCGGTCATAAAAGCGACATGATGAATAGTTACTATCAAAACAAACCCTACTTTAATACCCTCTCATTACAATCAAGGCTAATTAGTTGTCTGACATCTGAAATTTACCTGTTCAGGCAACAGGTAAACTATTTTGTAGGGTGACATTGATTGGTCTATTTAAAGTTGTATTTTAAATTTCAGTGGTTTGCATCTTATTAATTTAGTCAAAAAGATTTAGATTATCAAAAATTCTTATATAAATATGATTTGATTAAAAATTCAAAAAGGTAATTCAGGTTGTAAGTGAAAAATCGCCAGAACCATGTTGTTTGAACTAGTACATGTGTGCCCGGGTGTGAGCTTTAATTATGCATCCAAATTTTTCAAAAATACTAAAGGAGTAGGCCAATAAGGCTCTTATTTGGCTCAAATATTTCTGCAAATTTAAAAGTTATCATACATATTCTTAAATTTGTCCTAACTAGACTAAGGTACAAGGTATTCAGGAAATAAAAACAAATTTTACATTTAACGAGTTACTATGGCAACAAACCATGAAAAAATTTGTATATTTTGTAAAATTCCTTGATTTTCCTTGTTTTACATCAAATTTTAAGTATATTTTTGATTAACAAAGTATGTGTGCACCCAAGAAACAACTTTATTTTTGGTGAGATTATGTCAATAGTTATAACAAAGCTTCTCTTAAGTTATTTTGTTGTTTCTTTTCTGCGCACAGTCCATGGTTTACCATTATCAAGTCAACATCCGATATCAGAAAAATGTGTTTTTTTAAATCAAAAGCAAAGTTGTTGACAGCTTAATTTTTCACAAATAAAGAGTCTAAGGCAGATATTAGTATGCTGTTGTTGCACACTTCGAATTATGCACTGTCAATTGCAGTTTACATCAGAACATCAAATTTATATCAAAAGTCAGGTTTTAAATAGTTTTTGTGTCAATCATAGTTTATATAATGCCCAACTGATTAAAATGATTGCCTTTTGTTACTTAGTCTTAAGAATTTAAATCGGGATAAGACAAAAAATGTCCGGCTGGCTCGATATTTTTTGGAAGCCCTAGTGGGAAAGTCTATAAACCTCTAGTTATATATGTTGCAGTTATATGATAAAGCAGATAGTCAGGAAGAGATGAATCGTATCAGCAAAGCAATTGGTGCAGTTAAAGATGAAGCTTTAATCAAAAGAGTTCTGGACTTTGCCATGTCTGTAAGTTAAAATCAATTCACAATTATTACCAGTACCCTAAATTTTTTTTCTCTCAAATTTGGGGGACTAGTGCTAAGGACACTTAAATTCCTTATCTCTTACTATAATTCATTAACATCAGCTTTATGTTATAAATGTTTACATTTCCCAAACTTATTTTAGGAAAAAGAAGGGATATGGAGTAACATATCATGACAATAGATGAACGCATAGACAGGAACAATAGTTATAAGGAAAAATGTTTAATATTAAATTATGATGTCACTCAAAAAGGAGGGTGGTTATTGATTTAACAAATGTTCTGAAATATATTAAAGAAAATATTTATAAATTTCAGGAGAAAGTCAGATCTCAGGATACAGTATTTGTGATTGGTGGTGTGACAGGTTCTGTTAAGGGGAGAGAAATGGCTTGGCAGTTCTTAAAGGATAACTGGACACAGTTACATGATAGATATGAAGGAGGTTTCTTATTATCAAGACTTGTGAAGGTGAATACAGAATCAGATGCTTGATACAATTCAGGCTATGAAAAATGATGATTTGAAATAAAGTTTTTAGATTTGGATTTAAGATTTTGGGCTTGTATAATTCAATTATGCTGGCAACAATTCCTGGACCTGAAAATTTGATGTTTTCTGAATTACCTGAATTCAAGAACAAATAATTGTGTAACTGTAATACCTTTTCTATTTTTACCTGCATCTCCAAAAGAAGGTCTAGTAACCGCTGTGTCTGTCAGTCCATCCGAAAGAACTTCTTGTAGGAAACTTTTGTCAGCTTAATAGTGTTAAATTGTAGAGAGTAAGCCTTACATCTGCAGTTTAACCACTACCTGATTGCCGATAGTTTGAAATTTTACATCACTCATTGTACAGGGAAAAAGTTTTCCATGAAGGGGATTTGTTTAATATTTGGTCTGTAGCTTGATATGTTTAGTTGTAGTGAGTTAGCAATTTTTACATCCACTGTGCAGCCACTTCCTGTTTGCCAATAGTTTGAAAATTTACAACACTTGTGCAAGGAAAATTTTCTTCAAACTTTTTAGTGGCTCCTTTTGAAGGGAATAATATTATATTTGGTGTGCAGGTTGATAGTGTTGTTGAAGCGAGTAAACAATTTTCACATCCGCTGTTTAGCCACTACCCATTTTGGGATCTTACAACACTCATTTGTACAAAGAAAATTTTCGTCAAAGATTTCTTTACTTCTATGAAAGGTAATGTTTTGATATTTGGTCTGCAGTTTGTTAATGTTGAGTTGTAGCCAGTAAGCATTTTTTACATCCATTGTGCAGCCACTTCCTGTTTGCAGATAGTTTGAAATTTTACATTCATTGAAAATTTAAAAGTTCTTGTCATTTTTTCTTTACTTCAATGAATTGGAATGATCAAATATGCTGGACCAGATCCAGACCCAGTATTGGTCTTGTTTATTTTTTTATCAAGCTGTTTCCACATTGAACATAGTGCCAGAATTTTTATCCCTTTATTGTGTATTCTATCACTATAGAGTTTCAATGTGTTTTACAGTTTTTAATACATTATTCCACAGGTAACCACAGAAAATTTTGTGACCGAAGACAAGGCTAAAGAGGTAGAGGTATGTATTATGTATTTACAGACGTATTATACCCTTATGGTTATATGATAGGAAATCTAAGGTCATTTGTTGTCATTGTATCTATGTAGAAATGATGTCTTTGTCCAGTGGCAAAACCGATGAAGAGAGAACAATAGATATATACATGTAAACCTCCCGACGAGAGTACTATAATCCCGTTTTCAGGGGTCTCCTCTCGTCCTCTTGTAGAGAAAAAAATCCGGTGTATAAAAAATTTCATGAATGCAGGCACCATTTTTTACCTGGCTGTTTACAAATGTTTAATATTGAAGAAGTAAAAACCTGAGTATATCGTACGTATCAGGTGTTACTGAAATTACCTGATTATGCAACGTGTAGATTTTGACCTGACCTGCAGCTAATTAACAAGTGTTTATAGTTTGAACAATAAACATGCGATAGGATATTAATTACTCAATATGGCTTCTGTTTATGGCACATGCTAAGGATGATTAAAGGTAAATACTGGCATTGATAGAAAGTGGAATGTTGTTGTCAAAACATCGATCGAAAGGTTTTGATGCAGAAAAAAACATTATAAACTTTCAACTCAGCAAAATTGTTTTATTTTCATTATTTTTTTAGCTATTTGCATAAGAAGGTGTGAAACTGAAATTTAAATAATATTTATCTTTGCTGCATATTGTTAAAAAAACAAATCATGTGCATACAAAACCTTAAGCTCTTCAAGTCACCAATTTCTTGACATGTTACAATTTCCCAAAATATACCTATTGCCCACAAAAAAGTTTTCAAGTCAGCTGGTCTGCTCTTATCACTTATGAACTTTCTATATAGAAATTTATATTGTCATTTCCTGATTAAAAATGGGGAAATGATATTATTACATGGGAAATTTTGTTTTTATTTCAATTTATTTTTATTGTTTCTATTTTTCAAAACGTTTTCTTGTAAAATTTATAATTAAAAGCATCCTTGCTATAACAGGAAGGTAATATTTTGACACTAGATTTCCCACTGACCCTTATGAAATTTTAATACATTTTCTTTGGCACAAAACAGGGCCCATATATGATTTATAGTTTCACCCACTCACCATGTTATTTGACTGTTGACTTATATCTTACATTTTTTTCAGCAATTTTTCACTGACCACCCAGCACCAGCAGCAGAGAGAACAGTAAAACAGTCGTTAGAAAACATTGGTCTCAACATCGAATGGATGAAGAGGGACAAAGATGCTGTCTCAGCTTTTTTAAAAAGCCGAACAGCTTAAATCAAAAAGACATCAAAAGTAAAATCTGACTCGAAAAGTTCCAACTTAGTCTCTAATATAATTCCATCTGTTATCTGACTTTTTACATGTTGTCAGTTCTATTTAGATCGGTATAAAAAAACCTGATTACTTTTACCATCAAAAGTGGATCTAAGTTAAGTTACAGAAATGATATTTGGTTTCTTTTCAAATTATTTTTCAACAGCTTTCAGAAAGCTTGTGTATTTAGCTAGAGAGCAATGATACCATGCAAGAAAACTTGCAGTAGACAAGTATTGTCTGCTGGAAGATAAATTTAAATCATGGAACTTTAACAGTTTCATTAAATGATAACCAGTTATTGTTATATATAGTGTAATGAATTTAAAATATATTCATAATGGCATATATATGGTGCATAATTTATGACAGTGCTGTTTTCATAAAACCATATTTAGAATTGCATAATAACTACATACTCTGTTGACTCTTTGACAAGCTTTGAAATGTCAAGAATTCTTATTTATCTAACGGATATAAAAAACTAAAGTGATGGATCTATTTAATTTTGATTTGAAACATTATAACACTAAATGTAATTGTTTTAATTTTCATTCATTATTTTGGTTTATAACTATAAGAAATTGAAAAACTACTATAAAAAAGTCATGAAAACAGACAAAAACAGTAGTATTTTATTTTTTTTATAATTACAAACTGAACAAAACATTACATAAAATCAGATAGTGCTTTAAAATTCATAAGAGTGAAAAACATTAATTTATGATTCAGAACCTTTTTCAGCATATTTGTTCTGATTCGTTGAATTCAAAATTATCATTTCGTTATATATATTTTTTTCATTAGTATATTAGAATGATATATTTTGTTATTCAGACACTTATAAACCAGTATTACTATGTTCAGTTAGAATATGTATTAGATTGTCTGACATGAACTTTTCATAGAGAATCTAATCTGTTGTCTTTTGTTATGTTGTATCTATATTCTTTGTTGTTTGGAATATTTAATGTTAACATCATATTAATGACTTCTGAGTTTAATTACATCATTTAGGTACAGCAAGATTTGACATTTTTTCAGGTAGAAGCCATTATTAAGTTGTCTTGATAACACATGTTTTACTTTAATTTAAAATCGGTTCCATACTGGTATCAAACAAAGTTTTGCTTGTTAAATGGACAAAGCTAAATATAAACTTTTTTCTTTTCTCACATTGAGGGAGGATATTTATTTAAGTATGATAAAAGGGGGTTACTGTATAGCATAAATTTTCTCTTATTTTCGCGGATTAACCAAAATCACCAAAATAAATTCTGCCAAATTAAAGCACATGTACAGGAACATTTTTATAATACACAGGTCTACAACAGTACATGTAAACTAAACTACCAAAAATAACCTGCTATACGTTAACTGATAAAATTTCAGCATTACAAGTATTCTGTTATCATTCACAAATTAGTTGGATTATTAAAGTGTATTTGAATAACTGGGACCAATAAATTATATCTGACCTCTGTGTGTTGTTATATTCCACCTATAATGAACCTCTGTGTATTGTTATATTCCACCAATGTTACATCATGCTATCTGGCAGATATTTTATTACCATGAGTTTTTATTATGTGCAGGGTGTTAAAACATAGATGGTGGGACCTATTTCTTTGCTAGACATTGATCCTATTTTTACATTTCAGAAGCTGGGTTGCATCTTTTTTTTTATTATGCCCCCGCCGTAGCGGTGGGGGCATTAAGTTTTACCCTTGTCCGTCTGTACGTACGTACGTACGTCCGTACGTCCCAAAATTGGTTTCCGTTCTCTAACTTGAGTTTGCCTCAACCAAATGTTATGAAACTTATACACAATGCTTATTACCACAAAACACAGATCAAGTTCGAATTTTGGTGGCGTCACTTTAACTGTTCTAGAGTTATGCCCCTTTATAAATGGAAAAATTGCAAAATTTTTAATTTCCTTTCTCTAACTTAAGTTTGCCTCAACCAAATGTTATGAAACTTATACACAAGGCTTATTACCACAAAACACAGATCAAATTTGAATTTTGGTGGTGTCACTTTAACCGTTCTAGAGTTATGCCCCTTTATAAATTGAAAAATTGCAAAATATTTAGTTTCCGTCCTCTAACTTAAGTTTGCCTCAACCAAATGTTATGAAACTTATATACAATGCTTATTATCACAAAACACAGATCAGGTTCGAATTTTGGTGGCGTCACTTTAACCGTTCTAGAGTTATGCCCCTTTATAAATGGAAAAATTGCAAAATTTTTAGTTTCTGTTCTCTAACTTAAGTTTGCCTCAACCAAATGTTATGAAACTTATACACAATGCTTATTACCACAAAACACAGATCAAGTTTGAATCTTGGTGGGGTCACTTTAACCGTTCTAGAGTTATGCCCCTTTATAAATGAAAAAAATTGCAAAATTTTTATTTTCTTCTAAATATCAAGTTATTTTTAAAATTGGAGTTATCTTCCTTTGTCCATGATTATAGTTGAATCAACTACAATCAATGCTTTATACAATGCAATGTTTAATTTTGACTTCCACTGATAAAACACAGATCAAGTTGAATTTGGGTAGTGTCACTTTAACCATTATTGAGTTATGCCCCTTTATAAATAGAAAAATTGCTGAATTTTTAGTTTCTGTTCTCTACTTAAGTTAGTCTCAACCAAATGTTATGAGACTTACACACAAAACTCAGATCAAGTTCAAATTTGGGTAGCGTCACTTTTACTGTTCTTCAGTTATGTCCCTTTATAACTATATGATATGCAAGCGGGGGCATCATCTGTGTCCACATGTGGACACTATCCACATTTATTAAATCCTTTTTCAACATCTCTATGAACTTGTGCATAAATATTATGAGATGTGGTATGATTGCCAATGAGACAACTATCCACGGTAGTCCAAATGATGTGGATGTAAGCAATTATACTTTATGTGCCTTTACAGTGTCATGTTTGCATATCTTTCAGACATCATCTTAATTGGTCCAGAATTCTTTATATAGTGATCAATATATTATTAACATATGTATGGAAATATAATATGTTGGGTGAATGTTAATTAGACAGCCATCCAACAATAGAAGTTAACCAAAGTGGTTTATTTTCAATACTTCAAAGACCAACCCTGTTTACAAGGTGTTGTTTTCTGGTTCTTGTTCTAAATTTTATGTTAATCACATATTTAACGAAATATAACCCGCATGAAAGTTTCCCACAGCACAGTATCTATACAGTTAGCCATGGATTTATGTAAAAACCAAGTGACAAGATTTTAAATTACTGAAGTCTAGACAGGTTGTGATTGAATTCAACAGAGATGACCAAACCCCTGTATTCTACAGTTTATTACTCAATAGACTAAGTGTCTGAAATCAGCACTTTATTCCTAAATAGACTTAATGTCTGAAATCAACACTTTATTACTAAACAGATAAAATTTCTGAATCAACATTTTATTACGAAATAGACAAAAAAGAATGAGAGACAATCACCACTGCTGATATTTTTCTGACTAAGCACATTAGGGATTTAAACTTTGGTTCATATATCAGGCTGTGGTATTAAATAAGAGGGCAGCATACAAATGCAAGAGAGGTGTTATGATATTGACAAACTTCTGCCTACCAATGTTAAAATAAGCATAGAGCATGGCATGAAATAATTATTTCTTAAATGTCATTTAAACTTTATGAATTTGCTGTCAAAAGTGTCTCAACAAGTGTATACGTTTGTGCAATTATTCTAGTAAAAGGAAACCACTAATGCTAGGTCAAAGACAAATGGTATGCAGTTGTATTAGCACTGGCACATCTCATATCCATTTAAATTATTTAACCTCAGACATGGTTTAATGACTTCGAAGATTTTGCTTAGTTGAGATGTTAAAATTTGTGATTAGGCAAATTTCAGGGGAAGTACTAAGGTAAGTCAATGATATTTGATATACAGTTGTATAAGCATTTGCAGGTCTCTTTTCCATGGAGATTAAACCGTACAGCCCCTGTCAGTCATGGTTCATTGATTTTGAAACTGTTGCAAAGTTTGTTTTAAAAGCTTGTGTTTAGGTTAGTTTAAGAGGAACCACTGATGATAAGTCAATGGTATTTGTTAAGGAATTGTATTGGCATTGGCATTTCTGTTTTCCACTGATTATTTGGCCATGCACCAACAGTCATGGTTTATTGACTTGGAAAGTTTTGCATATGTATTACCATTTTGATTTCAACATTTGTATTATACTATCAACTTTACATACAGGCTAGACATATCTCTGTGTCAACATTTTATCTATCACATGAATTTCTTACTTTTTATGGGAAATGGATAACTTGACTTGGTATATGGGATCCTTGCATGATCTACATGTCATTTAGACCAGGTTCACCTGACCTTAACCTCATTTCTTGGATCGGTGATCAGGGTTATGTTTGTGTGGTCCAGTCCTTTTATCAGATACTATAAGCAATATCTATAAGTGTTCATGTTTAAGTGTGTTTTTCAGATACTTAAAGCAATATGTTAACTATATTTGGTGTATAGACATTTCCGTCTGACAGGAATCATCTGACCTTGACCTCATTTACATGGATCATCGATATAGTTATGGTTATGTTTTTCTTGTAGTAAAGCCTTTATCATAAACACTTTTAACATAAAGTCAATCATAATCATTACAGCAGGCGAGATATTTTAATTTTAAGGGAAATACTTAGAAAATTCTCAGAGGACTGGACTAGTTGGCAATGAACTAAGGGAATGTTGGCTATGAGATTGTGAAATGAACTACTTGAACTTTAATAATCGATTGGTTGATAAGTGGTGTTTAACACCACTTTCAGTGCTCTACTATATCGTGGCGGCCATTAATTGATGGAGGAAGTCAGAATGACGGGAGAGAACCATCGACCTTTGACACGAAAACTGGCAGTCATAGTCAACTAATTTCGGAGTCGAACACACCTGCCTTGTGCTGGGTTCGAACTCACAACCTCTGTGTTGTCAGGCTGACTAGTTTTAAATTACTATAGATTAATTAGTTAGACCACTCGGCCATCGAGGCCCTTTAAAAACAGAAATGACCCAAAAGTTTGCAGGGAATTTTCCAGTGGGGTTATGTTTGTAAAAGTATATGAATAGCACTTTAAGTAATTGGTGAACCTTTGTGTATTTTTCTTTTTGGTATCTGGAAAAGAAAGTAAAATATGCAGTTGCATCCGTTGTATCTGTTTAATTAAAGTATATGGAATCACAATAAAGATGTCAATCTTATAAAACAGTCGCACTTTATTCAATCAATTTATCAGTTGAGTTGTGATGCAAGTTTGTATTAAAAGAATTATATGTATTGATATAGTATAGTACTTCAATGCCCATTTCCCATCCTCTAGGGTGAAGGCATGATCTCTGGTGCTTTTTTTCCACTACTGATCTGATGTTTCAATTAATTCTAATTTTGTTTCTAGTAAAGGTGCTAGGTTAATTTTTCTTATTCCTCCATCTACATAATTTCCAGGTGCGTTTTTGTAGCAGGGACTCTCCAAGATAAGGTGTTTTTTGGTGCTCCACATTTGCAGGTTTAATTGGCGTTGGTTTGGCCTTCTCTTTTTAGTAGAATGATGAGTAGTGGTATCTTGTTCTCAGGTAGGCAAATATTCTGAAGTATCTTTTGATCGGGTGATCAAAAAAGATTGTGTGATTGGTATCTTCTGGAATAGATACCTGCCTTTTTTGATATATTTCTTCGTCTCTGCCATTTTTGCGGTGGTAGCTCTTGTTTGCCCCTCTTTTTGACATCATTAGAGAGATTACGATGCTGCTCTCTTGTGGTAGGTCTTTTGATTCCCCTGCTGATGTTTTTGCAAGGATGTCCACCCTTTATTATCTTATATATAAAATGAGGACACCTAAGGCGCTGAAAATATATTGAGTACTCATATGGCGTTGTGTAGGTTTTCAGTGATACAGTATTCAAAGACAAAATGAGTTTTGCAATTAGTTCTGCCAATAGCACGGATCCTCTTTGTACCACAGGTCTATGTAGACACACTGCAAGCTTTAGATGTTAGGTTCCACAGGATTCATCGGTGAAGGAATGTTGCCTATACTTTCATCAGTCTCCCATTAGCTCCTTCATGATTTGCTGACATATTTGTTGTTATTCTGTTGTCCTAGTTTTGGTGTTTTCTAGTCGGTTCAAGTCTGAGACTATATTTTGGGAGTCTCAGATCCGGTTTTGTCTTGAGTCATTTGCATTGCAAATTCAGGTTCTATGAGGTTGATGTCAATTCCTGTTCTTTTTTATGTCTGATGCTTGATACAAGATCTTATCGATTGACCGGGGGAATCTCTAGTACATGTTTTCTTCTTCCTATCTTGCAAGTTGTCATTTCATAGGTTCTCGTGCCGATTTCGATTTAATCTTTGCTACCTCTTTGATGGCTATTTGTTTTATACTGAGTTTTACTGGCACAACTTTCAATTTCTACTCCTTATGCTTCTCTGCCAGTTGTTATAATGATATGCATGCATAGAGCCACTGCTATTCTCTGCACTCTGAAAGAGTTCTTTTGGCTTTGCTATTTGTCATGCCGGTCTACAATATTCCATGACTGATCTTAGCAGGCTCTAATACAATTGTAGTAGTTTCTCTGTCCTAACTTGCCAATTTGCCTCTATTAATATAAATAACTTCCTGTTTGTGCTCTTTTTATCAATGTTATATATGTTCTTGCCAAATGTCATTTTGTTGTCTTATGATTTATGATTGATGGTTACCTTCTTGTCCAATAAGTCCCCTTGTCTGGTCGTTGTCCCTTTAGTTCGTCCATTCTCAGTATGTTTCCCAAGGCTTTATGGTTGATCGTTCTTTACTTGTCTAATAAGTGTCACTGTCTGGTCGTTATCCCTTTAGTTGGTCCTTCTCAGTTTGTTTCCGCAAGGCTTTATGATTGATCGTTCCCTTCTTGTCCAATAAGTCTCACTGTCTGGTCGTTGTCCCTTTAGTTATTCCTTCTCAGTTTGTTTCCCAAGGCTTTATGGTTGATCATTCTCTACTTGTCCAATAAGTATCACTCTCTTGTCGTTGTCCCGTTAGTTGGTCCTTCTCAGTTTGTTTCCCAAAGGCTTTATGATTGATCGTTTTCTCCTTGTCCAATAAGTCTCACTCTCTGGTCGTTGTCCCTTTAGTTGGTCCTTCTCAGTTTTTTTCCAAAAGGCTTTATGATTGAGCGTTCTCTACTTGTTCAATAAGTCTCACTGTCTGGTCATTGTCCCTTTAGTTGGTCCTTCTCAGTTTGTTTCCCAAAGACTTTATGATTGATCGTTTATTAGTTGTCCAATAAGTCTCACTCTCTGGTCGCTGTCTCTTTAGTTGGTCCTCCTCAGCTTTTTTTTTCCCAAAGGCTTTATGATTGATCGTTCCCTTCTTGTTCAATAAGTCTCACTGTCTGGTCATTGTCCCTTTAGTTGTTCCTTCTCAGTTTGTTTCCCAAGGCTTTATGGTTGATCATTCTCTACTTGTTCAATAAGTATCACTCTCTTGTCGTTGTCCCGTTAGTTGGTCCTTCTCAGTTTTTTTCCCAAAGGCTTTATGGTTGATCGTTTTCTCCTTGTCCAATAAGTCTCACTCTCTGGTCGTTGTCCCTTTAGTTGGTCCTTCTCAGTTTTTTTCCAAAAGGCTTTATGATTGAGCGTTCTCTACTTGTTCAATAAGTCTCACTGTCTGGTCATTGTCCCTTTAGTTGGCCCTTCTCGGTTTGTTTCCCAAGGCTTTATGGTTAATCGTTCTCTACTTGTCCAATAAGTCTCACTGTCTGGTCGTTGTCCGTTTAGTTGGTCCTTCTCATTTTGTTTCCCCAATGCTTTATGGTTGATCGTTCTCTACTTGTCCAATAAGTCTCACTGCCAGGTCGTTGTCCCTTTAGTTGGTCCTTCTCATTTTGTTTCCTTAAGACTTTGTAAAGTTATTACTGACCGTTCTACACTTGTTCCAAAATGTGACATGATCCACTCCACTAGTGTCTTATATCCAAATCTCTATAATCTAATATTTTGCGTTAGTTCCTAAAGTCCCTGTGACTTTGACTACTACTGATGATAACATAGTACTGTTCTAGCAAGGAAAGGACGATCAGTCAATATATATGTTAAAGGAACAAATGGTGTACAATCATTCATATTTAAGATTCGTGAAACAAGTGTAGAACAACCGATCACTAAGACTTGGGAACTTAGGATATCAACCATAGAGAATTGGAAAATAAGTGCACACATGTAACGAGCGACCACAAAGACTACGTAAAATTATAGAGATTTGGAGAACAGTTTGTTATTGATATTTCTTCACTTATCTCACAAGTACAAAAGATGCTAAACAGGTTAAACCAACATAATTAATTATTCCATTTCCTTTTATTGAATATATAATTTCATTCATATAAATTCTTTTTAACTTCAACTTTTATGGTTATTGAAAAACTATAGTAATTAAAAACTTAACAAGGCCTGGATCAAATTTTCAGTGACAGGACAGAACATTTAACTATTATGCTCAATGAAACTATGTATTTTAAGAAATAATAGTTCCAAATATCAATAAAATATTCCAAATTGTGGTTAAAATTAAATGCGAAAATAATGATACTGAATATCAAAGGAAAAACGTAGCATTTAAAATGATTAATGAGTAAGGAACATACCTCATACATTATGAAGATTGAAAAACATAAATGTTCCATTGATCTGACACTCGTGAAAGCTATAAAATATTAGCCATCATGGTTGCCTGTTTAGGTGTAGGAGTGTTGATAAATCTGTAATTGTCACTTTCTTGGATCTTGCATACCCGATAAAACATTTTAACGATTGGCTCGGAGTTTTTTTTTTTTTTACTTTTATATAGAACATCAGATTACAATTAAATTATTTGGTATAAGAATATATGTTTGGATCTTGTACGTCAGATAGAAATACTCCTGATCATAAGTGTGACGGGATTGCTTCCCTTGAATAGTAGATATTTAGCCAGTCGTAAGCATTGGAGTCTTTAGCTCAGTCGGTTAGGTTCGAGTCTCGGAGGAGACTATGTGTTTATCTGATAAGAATCATGCTCTCCGGTTATACAAGAACTGAATGATTGACCTAGCACTCACGATACGAAGGATAATAGGTTTTGCGTCGGCTTTATTCGATGCTCTTTGATAAAAACGAAATTATCACATGGAATGCTTTTCTTTTCCAACACTCCTAATATTTAAAAAAATTGGGCTTCATGAGGTACTTGCTTGCGTCTTCATACAAGTAAATCAAGTGTAAAATGTTGGTCAAAGGGGTTTACTTTTTGTAGGAGGCTGCTATCCTCCTCAGTAAACACCATCACAACAAGTGTTTATTTCTTAATTTTAGCACAAAATTATTTTTGATTATTGCACTCATAAAAATGTTATCTTTTATTAAGTGTCTGTTTGCGATGCGCCGACGTATAGTCATCAATGTGCTGATGGGTCGTCGTACGATGTAGATGTAGAAGAAGCCTGCCATCCTGACCCAATCTAATACTTCGTCGATAGTCTACTGCCGAACAGTGAGCCAGGATCCCAGGTTAGATGTAGAAGTAGCCTGCCATCCTGACCCAATCTAATACTTCGTCGATAGTCTACTGTCGAACAGTGAGCCAGGATCCCAGGCTAGATGTAGAAGTAGCCTGCCATCCTGACCCAATCTAATACTTCGTCGATAGTCTACTGTCGAACAGTTAGCCAGGATCCCAGGCTAGATGTAGAAGTAGCCTGCCATCCTGACCCAATCTAATACTTCGTCGATAGTCTACTGTCGAACAGTTAGCCAGGATCCCAGGCTAGATGTAGAAGTAGCCTGCCATCCTGACCCAATCTAATACTTCGTCGATAGTCTACTGTCGAACAGTTAGCCAGGATCCCAGGCTAGATGTAAAAGTAGCCTGCCATCCTGACCCAATCTAAGACTTCGTCGATAGTCTACTGTCGAACAGTTAGCCAGGATCCCAGGCTAGATGTAGAAGTAGCCTGCCATCCTGACCCAATCTAATACTTCGTCGATAGTCTACTGTCAAACAGTTAGCCAGGATCCCAGGCTAGATGTAGAAGTAGCCTGCCATCCTGACCCAATCTAATACTTCGTCGATAGTCTACTGTCGAACAGTTAGCCAGGATCCCAGGCTAGATGTAGAAGTAGCCTGCCATCCTGACCCAATCTAATACTTCGTCGATAGTCTACTGTCGAACAGTTAGCCAGGATCCCAGGCTAGATGTAGAAGTAGCCTGCCATCCTGACCCAATCTAATACTTCGTCGATAGTCTACTGTCGAACAGTTAGCCAGGATCCCAGGCTAGATGTAGAAGTAGCCTGCCATCCTGACCCAATCTAATACTTCGTCGATAGTCTACTGTCGAACAGTGAGCCAGGATCCCAGTCTAGATGGATAAGTTATATATAAAACGTACGTCACTTTGTACCTGATATTTGAACATAGTCGAAGTCCATAAATCTCACAACTCCTGTTATACCTACCCTATTTAAACAGGTTCAATTTGATGTGTTGTAAGGTACTATTTGTGATAAGTTCCTTTATTTACGTTCTGCTTTTATTCCTGAAGATGCACATGATATGAAGGATACTAAAGTCCCAAGATAGTTTTTCTACAAAAGTCTAATGACTACGCCAAACACGTCGTCTGCATGAAATATCAACTTATGGATAATGTCTGGTAAGGGGATCAAGAATGAAAAGTGAAATCGATTTTTTTAGGTAGAAATTTGTTCAATCATTCCATTTGCCTTATTCGCTCATGAAAAGACTAGGCGTTTAAATATAAAATCGTCGCGTGATACGTATCACTTTCTCGACCTCCACGTTAAATGGTCACTTTCCAGGATGTAGCACAAATTTTATAAGTAATTAACATTGGTAACTTTGGCATTTACTTATTTTTTTTTTTTTTAATATATACATATATATATATATAAGTTTTATAACAATCGAGAAATTGAAACTGAGTCCGATTTCATCTTTTGCTGCCCTCTACATTGACTGTCGGATTAGAATTTTTGGTGAACTTTTCACTGAAGAAAATTTCTCAGATTTGAATCATGCTATTTTTTAAAGACTTTCCACATAAAAAAATAGAAAACATATATAGTTCGCGAAAATATAAAGCGTCAGGTGCTGTATAATCCATAACATTTAAATATTTACACCTTTAATCTAAATTTTTATTTAATTTTGAATTATTTATCCGTGATATTGTATAAACTTAATTATTTGTCAAATAAGTGACTTATAGGTCCAATGGACCGGGTGCAACATTAACTATACAAACTTTGTAATTGGGTTATATTGATAAATATATGTTCACAAGTCACGATAATAAACAAATTACTGACTTCCTTACTTTACTATAAGCCCCACAAATGTAATATTTTTGTGGATCTAACATTTGAGATATTCTCTAATATTGTTGTAATTTTAAAGCTGTGCGAATGCATTACAGCTCCTTTTAATGTTATTGTTATAATTTTCCGGCACAAAAACGGAATACATGATAATTAAAAGTCAAATGAATCCAAATATGGCTGGCTTCCTGGTGTCAATGATAATCATTACAACGGTTATTTTGAAGTTAATATAATTTTACAGGTTTATAGTTGGTTCTTTCGACTCTTGTTTCAAAGTAATGATAGTTTTTGCAGCTCTGATTCCTGTTTCATAGGCACCATGTGCTGTCGAATAAAAATTAAAACTTGTCGCCTCTCCTGCAAACAGTAATCTTGGATTCTGAAAAATAAAAGAATGAATATTGTCACTTCAGCCACTCGCCTGACAGACGTTCTTGCATATTACCAAAGAGTATTTTAGCCATATTGCACAATTAATAATAAAATCTACTGCATCATATATAGATATGTAGATGTAGATAACATAGGAATGTCAATGTATACACATGCAGCACAAGATAAATGAGTGACCAGGCTGTGTCTTGTCGTCTTCCAGCAAAATAAAAGTCACAATGATTGAAACAAATCAAGATATATAAATCCATAAAGGTCCTTAAAATTCACTTTTACCGTTCCTTCGTAATGTCATCATTTGCTGATTTTCTTTTTTTGTTTTTGAAATTAAAAAAAATACGTTTTTTTATATAAAAACTAAACTATCGTGTTTAATTATCTTACACACGTGTAAACGAAAGTAGTAAGTAACAGCACGGCCGTCTTTTTTTGCACTTCATATGACACAAGTTTTATAACAATTTTGTTCATAATAACTTTAACCTTTTTTTACTAAGACAGACAGTCAGAGGTATAAGGCCATAGAAGCTTAGCTCACAACATTTATATAAGGTGCGACAGAAATTTCAAATGCTTTACCTGATTTGAAGGTAAGGATTGACAAAGTGCTTCAAAATCTCCATCTTGTGTTCGTGTAGAAACGTAACTATAACCTCCGCCTATATACTGGTTACTTTGCCATTGTGATCTAGTAATAGAAGAACATTTCAAAATTGAATGCAGATCACATAAATTGTAGAAGAACAAAAGCAATATGAAATAAAGATTTAAGAACTGTGTAGGTTTATAGGTGGCTCAGTAAAAATTTCCGCTTTTTATCCCGGTCGACCTACTTTGAATAATCAAACAGTTCGATTCATTGTTAATTTGTTCCTTTCTTGAATATGCATGAAGTATTTGCCACTGGAAGTAAAATGAGCAACAATTAATCAATCAATCAATATAGATTAAGACAAAAATATTTATCAATGTTCACATATCATAAATCCATTAATAGAAGATATAAGTCAACAACAAAAACTTAGGAAATCGCATCCACATCAAAAAGAGCGAGAGCTTCAACAGGGTATAAGCGTCTCCTGCTATACATGTATCATCCCCAAGCGCGTCCACGCTCAGTTAAAATGTCACAACAGGGTATAATCGTCCCCTGCTATGCATGTATCATCCCCCAAGCGTGTCCACACTCAGTTAAATGTCACAACAGGATATAATCGTCCCCTGCTATGCATGTATCATCACCAAGCGTGTCCACGCTCATTTAAAATGACACAACAGGGTATAATCGTCTCCTGCTATACATGTATCATCCCCCAAGCGTGTCCACGCTCAGTTAAAATGTCACAACAGGGTATAAGCGTCTCCTGCTATACATGTATCATCCCCCAAGCGTGTCCACGCTCAGTTAAAATGTCACAATAGGATATAATCGTCCCCTGCTATACATGTATCATCCCCCAAGCGTGTCCACGCTCAGTTAAGATGTCACAACATGATATAATCGTCCCCTGCTATACATGTATCATCCCCCAAGCGTGTCCACGCTCAGTTAAAATGTCACAACAGGGTATAATCGTCTCCTGCTATACATGTATCATCCCCCAAGCGTGTCCACGATCAGTTAAAATGTCACAACAGGGTATAATCGTCCCCTGCTATGCATGTACTGTAGAAACATTAATTTTCGTGGGGTTGAAATTTCGTGATTTTGTCTCTATCTAAAATTTCATGGGGATTTAATTTCGTGGTTTCCATTAAATGGAAGTGATATTATATGTAGGTTAAATTTTCGTGGGGGTTTTAATTTCGTGGATATATTCTTTCCACGAAATAAACGAAATTAAATCCTCCACGAAAATTTCTGCTTTTACAGTATCATCCCCCAAGCGTGTCCACACTCAGTTAAAATGTCACAACAGGATATAATCGTCCCCTGCTATGCATGTATCATCCCCCAAGCGTGTCCACGCTCATTTAAAATGTCACAACAGGGTATAATCGTCTCCTTCTATACATGTATCATCCCCCAAGCTTGTCCACGCTCAGTTAAAATGTCACAACAGGGTATAAGCGTCTCCTGCTATACATGTATCATCCCCCAAGCGTGTCCGCGCTCAGTTAAAATGTCACAACAGGATATAATCGTCCCCTGCTATACATGTATCATCCCCCAAGCGTGTCCACGCTCAGTTAAAATGTCACAACAGGATATAATCGTCCCCTGCTTTACATGATCCCCCAAGCGTGTCCACGCTCAGTTAAAATGTCACAACAGGGTGTCCACGCTCAGTTAAAAGTCACTACAGGGTATAATCGTCCCCTGCTATACATGCATCATCCCCCAAGCGTGTCCACGCTCAAATAAAATGTCACAACAGGGTATAATCGTCCCCTGCTATACATGCATCATCCCCCAAGCGTGTCCACGCTCAATTAAAATGTCACAACAGGGTATAATCGTCCCCTGCTATACATGCATCATCCCCCAAGCGTGTCCACACTCAGTTAAAATGTCACAACAGGGTATAATCGTCCCCTGCTATGCATGTATCATCCCCCAAACATGTCCACACTCAGTTAAAATGTCACAACAGGGTATAATCGTCCCCTGCTATGCATGCATCATCCCCCAAGCGTGTCCACACTCAGTTAAAATGTCACAACAGGGTATAATCGTCCCCTGCTATGCATGTATCATCCCCAAAGCGTGTCCACGCTCAGTTAAAATGGCACAACAGGGTATAATCGTCCCCTGCTATGCATGTATCATCCCCCAAGCGTGTCCACACTCAATGTAAATGTCACAACAGGGTATAATCGTCCCCTGCTATACATGCATCATCCCCCAAGCGTGTCCACACTCAGTTAAAATGTCACAACAGGAAATAATCGTCCCCTGCTATGCATGCATCATCCCCCAAGCGTGTCCACACTCAGTTAAAATGTCACAACAGGGTATAATCGTCCCCTGCTATACATGCATCATCCCCCAAGCGTGTCCACGCTCAGTTAAAATGTCACAACAGGATATAATCGTCCCCTACTATGCATGCATCATCCCCCAAGCGTGTCCACACTCAATTAAAATGTCACAACAGGATATAATCGTCCCCTACTATGCATGTATCATCCCCAAGCGTGTCCACACTCAGTTAAAATGTCACAACAGGATATAATCGTCCCCTGCTATACATGTATCATCCCCCAAGCGTGTCCACACTCAGTTAAAATGTCACAACAGGGTATAATCGTCCCCTGCTATACATGCATCATCCCCCAAGCGTGTCCACACTCAAGTTAAAATGTCACAACAGGGTATAAGCGTCTCCTGCTAGTCTGTATATATTATAAGGTTCCGGTATGTTTAGTCACCACAGAAACATTGTAATAGACATTTTCAACAATTGTCTACACCTACAATTGAGAACGACTACGACAGGAGAGATATGAGGGGTCGTCTCAAAAATAAAATTGAAAAAAAAGATTATTGATCGCATATGATTATTTTGATTGCCAATGAGACCACTATCCAACATGACGTGTATATAAGCAATTATTGTGTACCGTACTTTATTTTGTTTGTTTATCAAAATTAAACTTATTTGTGAATTGACTATGAAGAAAAGGAAGGACTTCAATGTTTCATTTCTTTTAGACGTCGAGTTGAAAATAAAAAAAAAAAGAAACAAAAAAAAAAACCTGTAGTTTTGTAGTAGATGTTTAGTTAATCAATGTTAATTATCTGTTGACTAGAGCTTTTTCTTTAAATAATCCGGTTTACTGTGCCGTCGCTGGACCTGCTCCCCGGCAACCAAATGAAGAGGAAGAAGCTGATGAATTGCCTCGCCCTAATGTTGTACGACCAAAGCAAACTTAAAGCAAAATAGTACCAACAAATGAACCTCATTCGCGAGAATCAGCCGGAGTACAATAAACTCATAGCAAAATAGATACCAAGATTTTTAAAGGCCCTTGGTGTCACTTCTGATTCAGATTAAGATTCAAATCGTAAGCTTTTTTTTTCCTTTTATTGCTATTTTTATGACTTCCGCAGTGGGAAAAAAAATCACACAATGCAACATATAAAACAGACATTCAGAGTTACCGCATAGTCTGCATTTTGGTTAAAGACCCCAATCTACGACAAAGGGAAAAGGTATGTTGTCTTTTGGGACACGAACAACCTATAACGATCAATCAGTTCGGCACTGTAAAAAAAGACACTGCAATAACTGTTGAGATATAAATACCATACGCATCAGTGGCGGATCCAGATCTTTTCATAAGGGGGTTCCGCTGACTGACCTAAAAGGGGGGGGGGGGGCCCACTCGAGTCATGCTTCAATGATTCCCTATATAATCAACCAAATTTTTCCCACGAAAAGGGGGAGGGCGGGCACCCATACCCCCCCACCCCCCGGATCCGCATATGCGCATCACTTAAGAGACATTAATTGTAAAAATGCGCAATTGTGGCGCAGAAAAAAAATGGTGTCGTTAATGTTTCCAGTTCATTAAGGAAACATCGCTTATCTAAATACTCACATAATCATTAAATTTAAGAAGAAAAAAGGCAGATTAAGATGTGAATTGATTGCAGTAATTATTTACTCGAAGGTTTAATAGATTCGACGTAAAATGTTGTATAAATACATGTAATAAGAATATTATACAAAGGAGAGAAATATAGTTCATATTTGTTTAAAATATGTTCTTTCGTCAAAATAGTGTAGGTGTAAGCGTAATACTATTCAAGAATGATTTTTAATTTTGAGACGACCCCTTCATTTTACCTGTAAACTGTAGGTGTCATTAGTCGGTGTCGAGAGTTGTTGAAAAGGTCTAATAGTCTCGTGCACTAGCCTGAGTATATTTCAATGTTCAGGTATGTTGTAGTCAGTACAGAAACATTGTGATAATCTCGTGCACTAGCCTGAATATATTACAAGGTTCCGGTATGTTTTAGTCACCACAGAAACATTTTGATAGTCTCGTGCAGTAGCCTGAATATGTTACAAGGTTCCGGTATGTTTTAGTCACCACAGATACATTGTAATAGTCTCCTGTACTAACCTGTATATATTATCTGGTTCCGGTATATTTTCGTCACCACAGAAAGAATGTAGTAGTCTCGTGCACACTTTCGAAACGTCTATGTCGCTCAATGTAGTTGACAATTCGGCACCCTCTCCTACCAACCAACCGCAAAGTACGTTTGGTCGTCCGGTACAACGTTCAAATCCGGTGATGTCATGATACCATGGGTTTCCATCTACCTAATAAATATATGAATAATTATGATAATGATTAAAAGTAAAAAAACAAAAGATAAAACTTCTTAAGGATTTTAGCTACTGAAATTCAAAATTACAATCTTTTCATTAATGAAGTTTTTTAATAGATGCTGCATTTGAATTTTTCATATGATGTCTATGGGGATAAATGAAAACTACAGAAAAAATAAGAGATGTAACATATTTTTGTATCGATATGTAATATTTCACAGATATTAATAATTTTATGTAATTTTTCACAGATGCCGATATTTATCATATACTATTAAAGGATAAGTATGTCCAGTTCTATATTTGTGATTTTCGAAAGAACACTTGCTGATAAGCCCACATCAGCCCGGCATGGCGCCACATGGTCGGGTGTATATTGGTTATCTACCTTGGTGCGCTCGTACATCGGAATTATATTGTAAACAGATTTATACGTGGCTTAATTATTCCATGTCGGCACTGTTATCATCCCTCAACCCATATCTTTACCTCGGTTTACATCTCGGGCTGATATGGGAGTCTCGGAGTCATAACCGGACCGCCATGTATATTAATTCAATCTGCATATAGCTTTTCACTTATTTCGATATTTTTTTTCTCACTCTTCATACCGTAATCTGTATGTAAATTTTCACATATATCGATGTTTATTTTTTCATACTGTACACACCGTGCCTTAGCATTGAGCTTGAATATCTTTTCATGCTTTTGGTCATTTGCGCCTTAGCCCACGTGAGTCAAAATTTAATTTTAACAGTTTGGAATTTTTTTTAAATGTATAACCACAAGAAGAGAGAAGAGAGGAGGTGTTGACAAAACGATATTTGTTTTAATCCTAAACAGTTAAATTATGCGGGGTTCCTTGAGAAGGTGGTGATCTTTTTCAATTAGTTGGAATAAAACAATTTTCCTCAAAATAAACATTCACCTTTAACATTTTTGTTGTTCCATGTTTTCCAATATCTGTTTGAAGTTGGTCTTGTATTGAGTCTGAAGTCCAAACAAATTGCACGCCACTATAGGGCTCGCACCAAAATGGTTTATTCCATGCCAAAAACACTTTTACCAGAGTGGAAAACCCAACGTTTTGTATTGCTTGAACCTTTTTGTCGGGTAATGATGGACAGAACATCGAATTCATGTGATCTTTTAAATAACCAATTGGAACCGTCACGATCACGTGCTTTGATGTATACACCGAACCGTCAAAACATTCAACAGAACAAATATTTCTTTTCCATTTTATCAGTTTTACAGGCTTGCGTAGTTGGACTTTTTGTTTTGGAAGATCTTTCTTCAGCACATCAAAAACGGACCCAAAGCCAAATTTGAGATCGGTGATTCCGTGACCCTCACACATTATATAGCGTCCAGGAAAGGCAACGTCGTCCAAAGACGCACAACAATTATCCCCAAGCTCCCATTTCAAGCGCCACTTATACAAAGCTTTCTGTATATCATAGTCTGTATTATCACAACTTTCCAAATACTCATCGAAGCCTTCAGAATAATGAGTAGCGAAGGATTTTGTCATATAATTTCTAGATATTGCCTTGTCAAACTTAGACGTTTCAATTTCCGATATGATATCATTGTCCTGTTGATACTCTTTCGGAGCACTGTCGATAGATTTACAATACAAATCCTCCATGGCCTTTGACACTTGACAAACAATATTTCTATTAACCAAGCTTCCGTTCTCTGTCCGGAATTCATGTACATCGTATATACTTGCAGATGAAGGACTTATGTAGAAGCTTTGATTTCTGTTATGGACGAGTCGATTTTCTACAGCAATGTCGTACAAAGTATTTCCTTTTTGACCATGGATCCACTCTGCTCCAAGATCAATGTGTCCATATTCTGTATGGTGAAGATAACAAATAGATTAAACTCATTTTTTTTAAAACATCGAAATATTCAGAAACACTATATAATAATATATAGACTTACGACTAAAATAAAAAAAAAAGTATGAATAATAAAATATATAACAGTTTGAAGTTCTTTGGGTTTTTTTTACAACGACCATAATGAACCTTACACTACCACGTGATCCACATACAAGATGTTCTCGAGCCAGTTAGTCAAATCTTAAAGCTCTATGGAACTGCGAACGCAGAGTATATGTAACTATACAGATAGGGAGATGTTGTATGATCGCGAAGGAGACAACAGTTACCTTCCACTTAAGACGGGAACAAGGATGCAACTACACGTCGCAGTACGTCTTGTACAATGACATAAACCTAGTCCAAAAATTTAAGATGTTTTGAAGGAGGCTATTTTAATGTTAAGCTGTGACGTATTCCTACGTCTAGTCCAAATAATTATGACGTCTTGAAAGGCTATTTTTAAAAAATTTTCTAAAAACAAATTAGATTTAGCCTTTCAAGACGTCATTTTTATTTGGACTAATTATTATTAACCCACGCCGTACAATGTAAGTAAGCAGTCAAACGGCTCACGGTAGAAAGAAAGTGAAACAATTAAAAATAGACAACAAAAAGCCTGATTGTATGACAGATGACAACCACTGGACAAGCTCACGGCTTGGGACATGCATATAAAATGTGTGGCATGGTTAAACATATAACAACAAAACATTGGAACTAAGTGTAAAAATCAGTTAAAAGAAATACCAGTATTGATAGTCTTTATCCTTCCCCCGAGGTAATCTTGTGCTTCTAACAACAGTATGTTGTTAATACCATTGTGAAGTAGTTGCTGTGCGGCAGCTATACCCGCCATTCCTCCACCGACGATAATAACGTCCAATTCGACATCATCAATCCTCGTTTCCATGTATTTGAAGTAACTAAAATAGGAGGATTTTAAAAATGAATATCCTAGCCTGGTAATAATTAAAAATATGTAATTTTTAGCTCACCTGACCTGAAAGGTCAAGTGAGCTTTTCTCATCACTTTGCGTCCGTCGTCCGTCGTCCTGCGTCCGTCGTCCGTCGTCCGTCGTCCGTAAACTTTTACAAAAATCTTCTCCTCTGAAACTACTGGGCCAAATTTGACCAAACTTGGCCACAATCATCATTGGGGTATCTAGTTTAAAAAATGTGTCCGGTGACCCGGCCAACCAACCAAGATGGCCACCATGGCTAAAAATAGAACATAGGGGTAAAATGTAGATTTTGGCTTATATCTCTGAAACCAAAGCATTTAGAGCAAATCTGACATGGGGTAAAATTGTTTATTAGGTCAAGATCTATCTGCCCTGAAATTTTCAGATGAATCGGACAACCTGTTGTTGGGTTGCTGCCCCTGAATTGGTAATTTTAAGGAAATTTTGCCGTTTTTGGTTATCATCTTGAATATTATTATAGATAGAGATAAACTGTAAACAGCAATAATGTTCAGCAAAGTAAGATCTACAAAGAAGTCAACTTGACCAAAATGGTCAGTTGACCCCTTAAGGAGTTATTGCCCTTTATAGTCAATTTTTAACCATTTTTCGTAAATTTTTGTAATCTTTTACAAAAATCTTCTCCTCTGAAACTACTAAGACAAATTTAACCAAACTTGTCCACAATCATCATTAGGGTATCTTGTTTAAAAAATGTGTCCGACGACCCTGCCTGTGAACCAAGATGGCCGACATGGCTAAAAAATAGTACATAGGGTAAAATGCAGTTTTTGGCTCATATCTCTGAAACCAAAGCATTTAGAGCAAATCTGATGAGTATAAAATTGTTCATTAGGTCAAGATCTATCTGCCCTGAAATTTTCTTACCAATCAGGCAACCCGTTGTTGGGTTGCTGCCCCTGAATTGGTAATTTTAAGGAAATTTTGCCGTTTTTGGTTATTATCTTGAATATTATTATAGATAGAGATAAACTGTAAACAGCAATAATGTTCAACAAAGTAAGATCTACAAATAAGTCAACCTGACCAAAATTGTCAGGTGACCCCTTAAGGAGTTATTGCCCTTTATAGTCAATTTTTAACCATTTTTCGTAAATTTTTGTAATTTTTTACAAAAATCTTCTCCTCTGAAACTACTAAGACAAATTTAACCAAACTTGTCCACAATCATCATTAGGGTATCTAGTTTAAAAAATGTGTCCGATGACCCCGCCCGCGAACCAAGATGGCCGACATGGCTAAAAAATAGTACATAGGGTAAAATGCAGTTTTTGGCTCATATCTCTGAAACCAAAGCATTTAGAGCAAATCTGACATGGGGATAAAATTGTTCATTAGGTCAAGATCTATCTGCCCTGAAATTTTCAGACCAATCAGGCAACACATTGTTGGGTTGCTGCCCCTGAATTGGTAATTTTAAGAAAATTTTGCAGCATTTGGTTATTATCTTGAATATTATTATAGATAGTGATAAACTGTAAACAGCAATAATGTACAGCAAAGTTAGATCTACAAATAAGGCAACATGACCAAAATTGTCAATTGACCCCTTAAGGAGTTATTGCCCTTTATAGTCAATTTTTTACAATTTTCATAAATTTTGTAAATTTTTGTAAATTTTTACAAAGTATTTTCCACTGTATCTACCGGGCCAAGTTCATTATAGATAGAGATAATTATAAGGAGCAAGAATGTTCAGTAAAGTAAGATCTACAAACACATCACCATCACCAAAACACAATTTTGTCATGAATCCATCTGTGTCCTTTGTTTAATATGCACATAGACCAAGGTGAGCGACACAGGCTCTTTAGAGCCTCTAGTTTCTAAGACAGGATGAAAATGAATATTCGCAACGCATAATACAGGAAATATTTGTATACTCAAGTGAAAATAAAATTTAAAAGCCGTGGAACAAAATAAGCATTTGCTGCAACAGATGAAAATGAATATTAAATCCGAAAAAAAATATTCTTGTCTCCTCCCCCTCCGAATATCAAATGGTCGTTCCCTTGTCGATAATGTTGTTGTTTTAAAGATTGCAAGTTCTTCGAGCGCATATTTGATTTTAATGATCTAGGTTCTTTGGCTTCTATAATCTAAAATGTATGGCATTTTTCTTCTGGGAATCAATTAGGAATAGACTCATGATAATAATATTTCAGAAAAATACGTTTTTTCTTGTTCCCACAATTAGACAACATCTCGTTCTCACTGGAAGCTGGATAAAACAGAAAATCACTTTGTTCCGACAAGAAAATGTCCCTTCCCCAGAAGAAAAATATTACGATCTTTTGGGAACGGAATATTTTATGGTGGGAAGAAGATGATTTATCAAGGTTCCAGCTTTTTCTTTTACATGTCATCTTACTCACTTTGCCAACGTAAAATGTATTTCATGAGCTACTTGTAGAAGATACGATGAAAGAAACATCGATTACTAACAAAGAAGATATAATCTAACAAGCTAATCATCCCAACCACGTCTTCTTTTTAAAATTGACCATTTTATAAGTTGTAACATTTCTGTCACAGTTAGTTATAACAACATGCAAATGTTGAGTTATAATCTAGTTAGAATTTCAATTGTGATTAAAATTCTTTATCAAAATAAAAGTTGTAAAAGCAAGGTCATTCGATCAATCTTTCTAGATACATGTATGCCATTGACAGAGAAAATGGAGCGCCGTCTATCTTCTTTATTTATAAAATTATTTCATCATTTATATTCATAGCGATATTACAACATGTACAGTATGAACATGATATGTATTACAATGACCGGAAAACCACCGGCACTGGGATCATGTACCCCCTTTTGGTAGGTGTTTATATTTATAGATTTCTTTAATATTTCAACTTACATAATGTATTCTTGCTCTTATCCATTCATAGCATTATTTACAAGTATGAATAGAGGGACAGCTCGTAAACACTGATGTTATTGGAAGATTGTATAAATAAGAGCAAGAACACATTAAATAAATAAAAAAGTTCATATATTAAAGAAAAACTTTTAAAAAATTTAAACACCGTCAAAATGAAAAAAAGGATGGAGAACATGACCCAAACGCCTGTGGTTAAAATATAACCTTTAGAAAAATCTATACATACAGAGTATAGATATTGAAATCAGTAGACAAAAACCTTCAACAATTACGATTTCTTTTGAAAAAAAAATGTAAGTACAATATCTAAAATATGTAATAAACAATAAAGAAATAAACTAAATATCGAATATACAATATAAGTGAAAATGATCTAAATGTACGAACCAGGTCTATTCTCAGTCAGAAGATCTCTGTACACTGTAAACAATAACATCATTGAATGACCCCAATAACCCGAAGGGTACATGTATTTAGGAAGAACAAGATTAAATGAATTAATCACTGTATTACATCAACAAGCTGGTCTGTGTCAATACTTTACTACGTGTGTCCATTATATATTTAAGTGTGACGTCCACAGACTATTGTCGGATTTATAAAAAAAACTCTTTCCACATAGTTTTAACGCATTCAAGAAGGAAAAAGCAGAATAAAAAAAAAATACCTGCAGATCGAATACTTTTTAGATGGGTGTAAGAATACACAGACAGGAAGAATCAAATAATACTCTTATGATGTCAGTTTTGCAAATCATGAATAAAGTTGCTGGTATTTATTAGTAGACTTAGACCCATTGGTGGCCTTCGGCTGTTGTCTGCTCTATGGTCGGGTTGTTGTCTCTTTGACACATTCCCCATTTCCATTCTCAATTTTATTTTTGTTACAATATATTTCCTGTTTTGATGACCTTTTAAACTTTGAAGATTATAAATCAAGGTTCAACGTTTGTTCGTTTAAAGATATTTGAATGGGTAAACGGACAGAAAGTCACATGTTAGAGAGTCACAAACTTCATCGGACACAAATTCACAGTTAAAGGTTTAGTATACGCAATTGGGCGATATTTCGGATCTTGATGACATTTTGTAAGATCTTGTTGAGCTGCATCTGAATATGTAGCATTTATAATTCCAAAGATACAATCAATAAAAAAATTGTATACAATCATTATTATGTATACTCAAAAAAGTTTAGCAACGCAACGTCTGACTGAAATAAAATATAACAAAATAACGATATATCGTTCAACTTTGTGTTTTCCTATTCCTCAATCATTTGTGTATTCAAAAGTACTCCAGTTGTATTGGTCAAATTTCAGACGGCTACACATTTTACAAACTTTGAGGGAAGTGGTCAAAATTGAAAGTAATAATTTTATCTATTTTTGCACAGGGTCTAGTTAAAAAATACTTACAAAGCACAAAATTGACGAAGTGGGGAATCCGATGGCATAATGATTACATATAAACAGAAAAATAACATTTCCCTCGCAAATAAAAAAAATGAAAAAAAAAAATGGGAGGGGCACTTTTTACACCTCCGACAATTTTTTCTCATAACTTATAAATGTTCTTCTTTAATCGTTTATTGTTTAAACATATTTTATTTGCAAAAGTAGCAAAAGGGATTGGACACAAGTTATAACAACATTAGTGACGTCCTCTCCTTATATAAATATAAACACAAAATACATTAGATAATGACGAAAAACATAGTAAGAATGCATGTATAAATACAAACTGCAAACAAAAACAAAAAACAAAAAACAAAAAACAAAGAAATACAAAAAAATACAATATAATATGGAATAATATATAAAACTGGACTGGAGTGAAGAGTTGGAAAGTAGGAATTCAGAATGTTAATTGATTGTTTATAAATCTTTGTGTTATTCTGATATATGCTTATACTGACTCAAAAATTTCTTTGTTTTGCTGAAAAGAAAGGTCACCGTCACCAGCCAATAGAAGCTCAATGGATGTAGGATACATTTCTAATTATGAAAACAATATTTCTCTTGCTTCGTTGTAAAAAGGG